TATTGAGTGCTTGATTATATAGGTATCGTAGGTGCGAATGATGGTTGGATTCCGTCTTTTGATTTTAAAATTTGAAATTTCTGCTTCGAATCGTTGATGAAACCGGAAAAGGTAATGACACCAATTTTCCGGGTCGTTCCAAGAATAATTAAATTCGTATGCAGAAAAAGTTATGGCGCCATTTCCGGGAAATTCGAATTTTCCATCGTGAATCGAGGAATTTTTTTTTTAAAGCTTTGATATCATACTTCTTTCAGCTAAGACTGGCTCCATCACAAGCTTCGCCTTCCCAAGCAACACTCGATGCTCTAAACAGTGTCCGGAAGTTGAATCCGCCGATACCAGAACAGCAAATCATGCCGAACCCCGGAAACCAGCCTAATTCTTCAAAATTGGTCCCGGTTCATTCGGAATCCCATCAGCAGATTGCCTCATCGTCGGGTCGAAAGGCTTTGAACCCGAACCTGGGTAACCTAGGCTTCCTGAAAACGTCTCAGGCAATTGCTTCGCCCAGTGCTGCGGGTTTTGGTCCTCCTGTTACGACGGAAAAAGTGGCAGCTCTGGTTCAAGCCACGACTGAAAACGCATTCGTCGTCACTCGTCAGGCCCCGAATGTCGCGTCCGTCGACGACATTAGGTCAATGCTCGAGAGCAGTACTGTGTCGAGTGTCGGTGACGATTCCGCGACTTTCGTGACGATCGGACAAGACGTTGCATCGTTTATGCTGGCAGCAGGGCGAAATGCCGCGCTGAATTCAACGGGAAACAGTACGGAGAATTCAGTACCAGAAAACGGGTGCTGGAATGCGGATGGATACTCGGATAGACCTTTTCTTGAAATCCGAGGCGACTCAGCTCAGCTGATCGGTGCGTTGAAAAGTACAAAGATTTCCCAACGAGTTCTTTCGTGAACTACTACGGTTTCGGAAAAACTCGTGAGCCACGCGGAAATCGGGAACTTTATTTTAGTCCAACGCAAATGTATATATTCAGAGAAAATGTCTGCTTTTTTCTCCCTCGACTCCTGGGACTCAAAATCATAGCGATCGATAACACCGAGGTCTTTAGCATAGAAAAAAAACCATTTGCAAAATCTCCACCAGAAAGTTCATTTTTCAATATTGGGAACAGTATTTATTCAAATTTTCAACCAATAGTCGTGTTTTTCAGTCTGCGGAAAAATCCTCGCTCGTTCCTTTCTTGCGATCCTTGCTGTTGACGGCTAAGAAATTTGGTAACGAATATAAAAACTAAATTTCAGTCCAAGAAGAATACCGTACATATTTGATGAGCTTCTCTTCGTTTTTTTACAAATCCTACGAAAAAAAAATTAGTTTTGATCAACAGAACTACAAGGAGTGCTGAAATAAATATCTAAAGTCAATTTTTGGACTTCCGAAAATTATTCCTTTCACTTTCAACAACGGTAATTTTGTCTCATTTATACGAGGTACAGTATAAATACTTTCTAATGCGCAACGAGCTTATCATACATTTCCTTCCAGATTTCATATTAATGCCCTTTTAAAAAAATTTCAAATTATGGTCAATAAGCAAAATATCTTTAATAAAACGTATTTCGGTTCAGACGTAGTTAATACTTGTCAATTAAGACTTGAATAAGGGACTTTCAACTTCCTGAAATTCGAACTAATCTAACTTTATCCTATGCTAACTCAATCAACAACAAAAAAGAAAATGCTGGTACAGTCTCAGTTTCAAGAATATTTTTGCGGGAACGTGTGCACTAAAATTCCTGAAAATCTTGCCAAAACCGTCGACAGCCATCACTGAAAATCGAAAGTATTGTTGGATGGAATCAAGATGCTGAAAATTTTACCAAAACTGGACTGCTGTTTAAATTGTATCTTTATTTATTTTTCAACGGACCCCGTATTATCACGAGGAAAGCTCCGAAATTGAATTACATGTATAATTTTAAACAGAACGATAAAAATCTATTGCAGCACTGGCCTTCGTAATGTTCGCTGAATATCTTAGATGTTGGAAATTGGTTTTTGTTCATTTTTGAAGCACATTTTTCATCATAAATTAGAATAGTTGCGAGGCATAGGAGAGAATTGGATATAATTTATCGCTTATTCTTGCGCCGAGAGAAGGAAATGANACAACGGTAATTTTGTCTCATTTATACGAGGTACAGTATAAATACTTTCTAATGCGCAACGAGCTTATCATACATTTCCTTCCAGATTTCATAAATTACGGGAAAATTTTTTTAAAGTTTAATACCAGTTATTCGTTTTATAGAAATTATTTTGCATAAAGCCAAGTCTGCATCAATTATGAACAGTTAATTCTGAACTTATTCCCTGAAAGTTGAAGGAAAAATTCGAACTAATCTAACTTTATCCTATGCTAACTCAATCAACAACAAAAAAGAAAATGCTGGTACAGTCTCAGTTTCAAGAATATATTTGCGGGAACGTGTGCACTAAAATTCCTAAAAATCTTGCCAAAACCGTCGAAAGCCAGCATTAAAAATGGAAAGTTTTGTTGGAAGGAATCAAGATGCTGAAAATTTTACCAAAACAGGACTGCTGTTTAAATTGTATCTTTATTTATTTTTCAACGGACCCCGTATTATCACGAGGAAAGCTCCGAAATTGAATTACAAGTATAATTTTAAACAGAACGATAAAAATCTATTGCAGCACTGGCCTTTGTAATGTTCGCTGAATATCTTGCTACAACCTTTAACCAAAAACAAGTAAAAACTTCGTGTAAAAAGTAGTATTTAATCTTATCAACGCTCCGTATCCTCTCTTAACCTATATTAAATAGCGAATAAGAACGCGGCTCTCTTCCTTTACTGTAAAATATCCTCATCCCATATAACTTTGGGTAGAGTGTAAACAGTATTTGTACATAAACGGGTGTCAAAAATATTCTTGGAATTTATATTCATTTAATATGCATATTTTTTATTTTTAAAATGTGGTGAGCTATAGAATAAACGAATATTCTCTCGGTATGTACGGGCTCAGTCGCTAGTCCGGGAATCCAGTCCCGGATAAAAATATTGTAAATACATTTCAGTGTAAAGTGGGTGTCATCGTCACAGAAGATTTCCTTTCCAATGTCAAGGGTTCCTATTTCAGATGTCCCATCGCGGACATTTTTTTCCCGTCATTTTTATTTTTCTAGGACTATAAACGAGATAAGGAATACGGGTGACTGGAAATTCGTTGTTTGAGCAGTCCGAAGTCGATTTGGACCAACAAATACGCATAACCAAGAGTCGCAAAGCAGCAAGGAAGGGGGCGCTGACAAACAAAGAAAGCGAGAATAATAAAGGAGGTGCACTGCTCGCTAAGAAGTAATACAAATGAGAACTTTCACGACAGCTCTTACTCTAGCCCGACCAGGTGTGTGGATCACGACAGGAGGAAGGAATCACTGGCCGAGGTCATGCGTTGGACCGTGGATCGCATGAACAGCCAAGTAGCGGACGTTGGCAACGGAGCCAGGAGTGAAACTAAATTCGGTCAGTACAGTACTGTATATGGCATATCTCCCCGTTTTCAAACACGTTTTCCAATTTTCTTCGAGAACAAGTTTCAAGACTACCGTAGTTGAGTGAATTCAAGACACCATGAATCATAAAGACGCGCCTGAATGTTTTGCACTAAAATGATGACTTTCTCATGGCATTGAATTTCTTTGGAATTGAAGCACAGTACAGTACTGTACATTACTGTACAGGTCAAACCCAATATAAGAGGGTATACGCACAGAAATTCGGAATTTTTTCCAGTTATGTAAACCAGCATTTTTGCTGAGGAAAAAAGTAAGGGAAAGTTTTCAGGAAATTAGAATTGGTGATCTTCAGGACCTGAAACTGCTGGATAAATGGGTTGACGTGATGCTGAACTTGGAAGCAAGGGTTCATTTGCCCCCAAAATTAAACACTAACTTCCTTTAAAAAAAAAAACTTCATTAAATTTCTCATGTTTTTTCTCTTCCCTCGGTTCCAAGAATGAAACCCCTAGAGGTATCCAGAAATTTGTTACACAAGTTCAAGGTAGAAAGTCTTGGAGTTTGAGGGGGTTATAATAAAATGCTGTAAAGTCTAAAGGGCATTCAAACAGGAATCCCATAAAAATCAACATAGAGAGGTTCGAGTTATTGAGATCCAGCTGTATACTGTAACTTGTAATTGCAATTCATACTGCCATTCGTTCGTATGTTCTGTAGAAACTGAATTCGCTCATATGCTTTTAATTTTAAAAAATGAGCATGGTCTGACGGAATAATGAAAAATTGCAGAAAGTTTTGAAGCCGCATTCGAAGTCAAATTTCCCATTTAAATCTTGGCCAGCATTACGTGACACGTGAAGATTATACTGAATTTGGTTCTTCTGCCTCTCATAAGAGGTATCTTTCTTTATTCGTGATATTTCTTTACGTGTCTGATGTTGATCTTCAAATTTTAAATTGAGTAGCTCATGAATTAAAAAGAGTCACTTTATTTCCTTGTCTTGAAATATTTCAATGTACGTGGTTAAGCGGAAGCTCGGATCATTGACGCTCTACTGTTCATTAATTGACCCGGAAAAAGATTACTCGTTCGTTTTATTTCCGGTATTTTCTGTGATAAAATCAAAATCGCACGAAAATTTGCTCAACTCCGTCGGCCCAGCACAGCTGGAGCGTGAGCGAACGAGGAAGATTTTCACAAGACGCTCCATCAAGGGTTTGTGGGGAAAAGCAATGAAATATTATTGCAATATACTTGAAAGAATGAATTTCAGGGAAAATGTGGGAAATTTATGGTTCTTAGTTTCCGCCGATTTTCCTTCCTCGTCAAAGTAAATGCGAAAATAAACGAGCAGCAGCTGCTGAGAATAAATAGATCGTCGCATTTATCGGCAAAGGGGTTTCTGATCCCGCACAGGTTTGAGGAAGGAGGTTTTTTTAGGGAGTTTATATAAAATGGCCAATGATAGCGTAAAAAAATGAAAAGAAAAACAGGTCAAAATACTTAAACCGATATTACGATTTCGAAAAAACGCGCTATAGCAGTATTCACGCGAATGCATGACACCATCGATTATAAGAAGAGCGTGTATTTTTTTTCATTCACCATCTGTGTCATCCATCGTAATATGAGACGAATGCCGTCGTTCGTCTTGGGTTTAAAATTCAACCGAATTCAGTCTGATTTATAGCTATCGGATTTTTATTATCCTGCGATTCATTTCTCGTGCTGAAGCAGCATGTTAACAGACCGATAGAAGTGTCTTGAATGATTGTATGACGTTATTTTTAAATTTCGCCTGTTTATATTATATAGCAATGGTCCTTTTGCATCCAATGAGTGATTTCTCATCAGCTTTGAATATTCTCTACAGGGTTGTCTGTCTACGACACTTGTGGAATGCGTGATGATTCGGCTGTGACGGTTGCAATGGCGGCAATATCCCGAGAAGCCAGACTCAGAACCCGTACAAATGTTCCGATTGCTGCTTTTCCACTCGGTAAGAATTTTCTAATTAACAAAAAATGGTTGAGTTCAACATGTTTCTTACTTGATTAAATTTTTAGAAACTTCTGGTAATTTCTCGGAAACTATTTCATGGCACCTTTCTTTTCTTGGACTGTTGCTTTCTCATCGAAACGGTGCATGAGGTTTTGTCAATGCGTTAACCACTGCAGCATATACTCGTATATGTCCGAACATATGCGATACTATTCCATTTAAAATAAATTCCACAATGTGTATTTTCCACTGTGTTTCTCCATAAATGAAACTTAGTCGCCGAAAAATGCTGCCTTAATTTTATGCACCACCTCCCGGAAAGCCCCCAGATTTTTGTGTGTGTGAAATATAATGTTGAGAACACATTCTTCAATTTGGAACAAGAATAGCCTCAAAATAAAATTCAGCTCTCTCCTAATCTTCTAATCCACTTGGATCATTCTGCCATCGATCTGACTCCATCATTCCGATGCTGGTATAAAAAAAAAGGGTAGAGTAAACATACAGTACAAATCCAAATTCACCCGTTTTTCCCGTTCTCATGTTAATTTACCAGAGATGTACAATACTTTGAAAATTAGCTTCCTATTTGGAGTAAGTTAGTTGGCCAAGAACCGATTTATTTTAGGGAAATCTCAGCAGAAGTCATAGAAACTGGCTGATTCTAATGATCGATCGGCGGATAGTACAGTAGTTATTTTGATGAGCACAGCAGGAAATAATATTCATTATTCTGGTCGTTCCTAAAATCCAAATTGGGATTTTTAAAATCATCGACGAAACAAGAAACACTAACTTTTATCAGTGTTGATTGCGAAGAGATGTCTGATATGGTAATGCTCCCATGATAAACCTTGTCAATTAACCTACTAATAAGAGTCCTTAAAATTTGATGGGGCTGAAGAAAAGTGACAAAATTTTAGTCAATACAAATGTTGAATTTTTTAATGTTTTTTTTAAGCTTTTTATGATCAGTGTAGGAACAGTCGTATCTGTCTAACTTCAGCAAGGTCATGCTCATTTCCCAAAACCGCTTTCATCTCCCTATTTCCACGTGGTCAAACATTCGCTTCTCGATCCTTTTATATGGGGCTTTCTTTGCATGGAACAGAATAGTTGCTCTGAGTTTTTTTGTTTTTGTTTTTACTTTCAACCAGGGTTTTTCATCGCCGAGCCTGGGGATGAAGAATTGCTGAGGCCCGTGCTGAGCAACGGGTTCGAATTCCCTTACGTCAACCCGGTGGACTGGCGTATGAGAGAAGCTCTGCTCGGGGCTGCGCATTTACTCATGACCTGGGGCCGGTTTCCCCCAGTTGTATTGCTCACCCAAGACCCCAGGGCCCTGGCTGTTTTCCTGGATGCTGCTGATACATTCGGACTCTGTCTCAGAGCAACCGTTTTCTTTCCGCATGCTGATGATTGCAGGTATAGAAAATAATGACATACAGTACATGTGGTACCTCGCAATTTGACCTCCTGCAATTTGACCATCCCGCAATTTGATGGTTGAATTTGCGGTGGGGAGGTTGACCTCTGCCTCAGAATTTTACCAGATATTTTTCCACTTTTTTGCATTTTTTGGTGATATTTCTCAATTTTAAAAATTGTCTCACAATTTGACCACTTCACATTTCAACCCTAGTCCGGTGAAAGATCAGGGTCAAATTGCAAGGTACCACCTGTATAGTCAAGTAAAATATTGTTACAACAAACTTTTGGGGACTTGTTGGACAAGTACAGTACTGAATAATTTGTTATAGCAAGATTTCAAACTGAATGACAGGACAAATGTTTCTCATCAGACCTGCCTTTATAATCAATTAGATCTTGCTTTTCTGGCTTTGCTTGTATTTTCAGTATTAAAAAAAAACTGATTGAGCTTCTGAAAAAGAAAATTGGCTTCAGTGATGCATTCCATAGTTGCATTCCCATCTCTTCAGTCTGAGAAGATGATGAGAGAATCTCTTCATTCTCAGAGGATGATGTGTGAAACCACTTGGAAGCGTGTTTTTCATTAATTACAGCTTCAATCCATGCTACAAGAACCAGTTGGGATCAGAAATTCCAGACTGTGCTAGTCAGGAAACTTCTACCTGGAGAATCTATTAAAGATCCCTAAAAAAAGAGTTGCTAATGTAGCTCAACTTGGTAAGCTTGTTATAATAAGATTGTTTTCACATGTACTTCATGGTAATGCCAGGACTTGAGAAAAAGTTTGTTCTACTGAAAAACTGGTTTCAATGGCATTTGCCATAACAAGAGCTGTCACTGTAATATTCGACACCGGTAATAATAAATCTATTGAAAACACGCAAAGGAATTCGTAGAATTCTTAGTCTGGTTTGTTTTTTATTGCGCTCCAAGTAAAAATAATTTGAAAAAATTTTCACCTCGCGAATCTGAGCATAATTCTACGCGTCATGCCACTAAAAAGGTCTCGACTTTAAATAAACACCAGCAAAAGTTCCACACGCACTGATGCTCTTAATACACAGTACAGTATGTGATAATCCCCTCCTTTAGGATATAGAAAACGTCCGACGATATTAGATTTTCCAATCAATCAGGTTTATTTCGGGTCGTTTTGACACGCATGTATATAAGCCGGTAAAAGGATATATTGGTACATGTTTTCTATCATTCCCATCATTATCCCGGCCTATATATATGTGCTGAAACTGCGATGTTGCAGAACAAGAAATCCGCTGGAAGAGCTGAGAAGTTACTACGGAGAGGAGAGACGACCGGGCCCTTCACCAGCGGCTTTTCTGGAAGATGAACACAGCTCAGTGTGGATAATCCACGGATCATCGGATTTTGTCACTCGATGTGTGTCCAGGTATTGGGGAGTCGTCGCAAACGGCGGCGATTTGGGCAATCTCGTCATTGCTGCTCGTCACCCGTCGACCTCGAATCACGGTGATCAGTCGTATTATTAATTTGTTCATCTGTTGTACGAATAAAAAGCTCGCAGTTTGGAGAAAAAGGCACACATTATCAAAGGTAAAGACGTGAAATGCCTGTATATAGAGCATTCGGAGTAAATTTTCTGGAATCATGCCAAGTTGATTCGGAGGATCCCTGCAAAAAAAAATTAAAGTAGGGGGATTCTTCAGTAGTTATTGTTTATATATTGCGTATCATTAAAATCCTTCCTGGTGCCTATAAAGTTGGAAGTATTTTTTTTTAACCTACTGACAAGATGCTCATATTTTCTTTGTCTATGGGAAATAAACTTCCGCACAAATAGAAAAATTCGATACAATCAAGATGAAAAAAACCGTATCTATTCTGAAGCATGTTGAAATTTAAAAAATCAGTCAACCCTCGATTTAGTGCCCCCAATTTAGTGCCGACCCGCGCAGCAATGCTATCACTTTCCCATGAACACCAATTCTTCCTCCGTTGTGTTCTTACAATCTAAAATTCCAATTCAGATTGTGAAAGGGAAACAAAAATCTAATGATTCTCCGTGCTGATGGACAATGAACGCGATTAACTTCCGCGAAATGGCTTTGGCGTCGGCGAAAGAAATTGCTGGATCGAGAACGAAATGAAGTCCTCAACGTCTCTTACAAATTTCTATTCGTAAATATACAGTAAAAGAACGGTTCTCGGTAGAAATATGGAGTCGAGTTAACAGTGCAATAAAACGTTCATTATTCGTCCTATGATGGATGTGAGTTTTCATTAAAAACTATAACCGATAATAAAGCTATCGAATTACTCCCGGCATAAAAGATGGCAAAATTTCTTTCAGGATTAACTGAACCAATTTTATCGACAATCCGTCAAACTTCCAATACATTTCCCACATTCGCAGGAATGTTTTTTTTTTTCATCGGAAAAGTACAATATACGGTATATTTTACAAAACATACGTTTCTAAAAGGTTATTTTAAATTTGATCTGGTGCATGTGCAAATTTTGTTCGTGGGTACCGTATATTAAAAGAAAAAATTAGACTATAATCTCACCCACTTTTAATCGCACCTCAGGTAGGAATTTTTATCCATCCTGTAGCCTTAAGAGCAATAAATTACTGTTCTTCATAAACGGCTCGTCCTTTATTTTACATAGCAATCTGTTTTTGGCGTATGTATATCTTCCAGATTTTTAAAATCCCATTTGAATTTTACCATGCCTTGAATTAGAATTGGTATTGGCCCGCGCACGAGAAATTTAATTCATTATACGGAGTCGCATTTGTAAAAAAAAAATCTTTTTGAAGTGCATTGCGTTTTCACACGAAGTCACATGGAATTTTGTGCTTAAATTTTCAGAGATTCTTACAATTACGTGAGTTTTGAATGGCTTTGTGGCATTTTCTCATCAACAACCACTTTTCGTGTGCATATTTTTTTTATTAACCATCAGGAGTTTTCCGTCTGTGGTGACCCAATCTTATCCCCAGTTCGGCTGGTTAATTCCATCTGATCTTGACCAACTTATAGCTTATCAAATGCACATTGAATTGAACCCTGTTGGATAATTGTATTGTTTTATATGATTCTCGCTGTTATTCGAGCAGGCTTCGTGCCGATTATCAAGCTAGTCCAGACAACAGAGCCCAAACTATCGGAAAATGCGAACAGCATCCGGCAATCCGCCAGTTTCAACAAGTCCGTCGGCAACGCGTCGGCAAACGCCGTCGTCAGCGGAAATGACGTCGCCACGACAGTCAGCTCGACGTTGGCAGCGCTGCGGAAGCTCGAATCAGCTGGCGTCAACAACTGCTGGCAACAACAGCGCACCGGATCTTTTCGGCAGCAAGCAGAAAAGTCCGATATCCGGTCAGTCCTTTTTTCTTTCCCATCGAACAAATATGTGTTTGTTTTCAGGCTACTGAAGTTTTTCGGTGCCTCACGCTTGTTTTCTACCCCCGCTTTTGTTCTACTTGCGTGTGAATGTTTTATGAAACCCGAGTCAGACAGCGATGGAAACGATAATGTTCGAAAAAGCGAAGTAAGCGCATAAAAGCGTTCGAATGGACTCTTTGTCATCGAAAGTCTAGAAAGTCGGAATTATCTCTTGGTCTGAAACAAGGATTTCCGCGGTACCTCATTTATTCTCTGATGTGATGAATTTGATTTAAAGCAAGAAAAAAAACTGATAGAATCAAGAATACAGCGAAAGTCCTCACACATCTGAGTGGAGAGTGCGTTGTCTTATTTGGACGTGATCATTGGATATTTTCATAGTAGATGTAATTGTAAAAATAAATGGATAAACAAAATCATGACATACCCCATGACGTTCTAAAATTCTGAAATTTCTTTTCAGATTTTTAAACGAGGTTTACAATTTATTGCAAGATGATTAGGGGAAATTTTCTATTCAATGCCAGAGTTCTTCACCCATGTCAAGGGGTGCTAAAATTGTCAAGCTAACTAAGAAAACTGCATTTTTTGCTCTATATTTATCTAAAATGTAGAGATCATGGATGAAACAAGCTTTGCAAATTTTTAGCACACTGTGACATGAGTTCTGGAGAGCTCTGGCTGTAATTGAGAAGTTTTCCCACATCATCATGCAGTACAGTAAATTTAATTTTTATCATCCGCTAAAATTCAAGAACCTTAGAACATTATGGGCTATGTCAGGATTTTTTTTCTTTCCACGAGCACATCCTACTCAAAAAATATTAGAGGTCGCGTCCAACTGGTACAGCCCTCGTGAAAAAAATTTCGTGGAGAAATATAATTCAAGTTAATAAAATAAGTGATTTACGCAGAAGTCATTTCCCACTTCCGGACATGACAAGAGACAATCGCCAGCTGCTGAGTGGGGCAGTCCTGGGTTCCCCTTTACCCGATGGAATCATAGTGTCGACGAAGAAGTCCGATGAAGATAAAAGAGCGACGAAATGCGAGAAATTCCTGAAGGAAGCTCAGCAACTGGCCCCGAAAATGTTCGACATCCCGGACAGCTTCTTGAATTCGAGAAACGAATCTGTGCGGCTTCAGCCGGCCACTTACCGATTTTCCGTCCTGAGAAAACGACAAGGACTGCCGGAATGGGAAGACTTTGCTCGCTACTCGTCCCGAGACCTCACGCTTTTCGGGGAAAAGGTGAAGAGCAATTCCTTTTCTTATTGAATGAATCTGAGAAGGAAATCTCAAAGAGTATCATATACAGTGAGACCCCGCGATGCAGACATAATTGGTCCATCAAGAGTGTCCCTGAGTCAAGTCTCATTTTCCCTTAGACTTACTTACATTATATAATTTTCAATTGGTGTTTTATGGACAAAATATTACTCACCATAATTCCATGAAAATAAAAATTGTCTCCCAATTTAAACTGATTAAATCAATATATTTCAACACAATATGGACATTTGGGGAATTGAATGCTGATACAGCTTAATGACCTCTGTTTTGTAAGAAATGCTAATATTTTCTGTGACTGTGGGAAATAAACTTCCGCTCAAGTAGACAAACGAACGAGACCAAAGATGCAAAAAACCAATTCGATTCTGAAATATTATTAAAAGTTAAAAAATCAGATGCACTTCAAATACAGTAAAAAGAAAAATAATTTCATTAAAGGCTTCCTTATACTGCACACGAACGCTCATCTTCGCGCCAAAAATGCCAGAGTTCCGCTTAATGAAGCATTCGCTCGCGGTCGTATTTTTGGACATAATACCTTTGCGTGAATTAAATGCTCCCCCTTTTCTCACCTTATTCACACCGCCAATGTAAAATAATACAAAGCTTATACAGTAAAAAAAAATCTTGCATCTTCCTCTCTTTTATTCTGTCGCCTGCTGAAAAACATCAGGTGCAATACATGTTGGGTTTGCCCAAGTGGATCCCGCCCAAGCATCCGAGCGCAGACGTTTCTCAGGCCACGTGTCTCAACTACGAGCTGAAGCACGCCGGCACCGTGGCGGCGCCGTTGACCATCACGTTGGCCACGTGGTCCAGTGTGTGCCTCACTGCTGCAGTCATGGGTGTGCTGTGCTGCCTGAGTCTCATGCTCTTCTTCTACTACCGGCTGTGCTTCCGGAGCCGCGCGGAGCCCCACTACGGATATCCGCTGGTGCTCTTGTTCTCCGTCATCTGCTTGTACTGCTCCGTTGTGCCCTTCGTGCTGGATGCCAATGACCTCATCTGCCGGTGAGATATACGAGGCTTTTTTTTCTCTCTGTTTGAGATTATTTGATTTAACTTTCGGTTTATTTGCGCTTGTCACGAGCGTGTGCCCCATATACGAGGGTTGTCCCACTTGGGCGCGACCTTGTATTATTTCTGGAGTAGGTTCGACTGCAAAAAAAAATTATATAGCCCATGAAATTGTCAGCTTCTGGGATTTTTATTTTATAAAAATAAAACATTATTCAATTTACAGCATGATGAACGTTGAACATTTTTTTAAAAATCCGATTTTAAAAAACTTCATGGGCTATATCATAAGTATTTTTGTGCAGTTATACCTAATCTAGAAATAACCAGGGTTGAGCCAAAGTGGACAACCCTCGTAAGTGCCTTTAAATGTGATATGAGAACTACCGAAGATCATTTGGCTTTCTGTTTTTTTTTCTACCACTTGACTGAACAAATTTAAAAATTGAGCATAGAGACTCTAGGCCTCTAGGGTCTAGGCTATTAAAGGAAAAGTATCAAATAATTTGGGTTTCTAATAAATGCCAGGCATCAAAGGTTAAAAGGGATTATAGGACGTGGGTCAAAAAAGTTAGAACACAAAATTCAAAAAATTTGATTTATTTCATATCAAAATCTTTTTAGAAATACTGTATATAACATCCTTAATTTCACCCTATTCAACTGAAGTGCTGCTAGACTAATAAATTCCTATGGAGCAACATTTCAATAAAAGTTTTGTTGTTGTTGCTTTTAAAGCATGCCTGCCTCATGTACTAAAACCCAGCGGCTATCAAGGTTCTTTCCAAATTGTATCCAGCAGGTGGACTCTCTCTACAACAATCTTGCCTACAATGATAATCTATGTATAACGAATTTATTTTTGGCCCCAATGGGTTCTCTGTCCATGTCGTTGGGGTTCGCTGCAACGAAATTTTCTCTACAATGATTTTTTCCGATCCCTTGAATTCTGTTGTATAACAACTTGAATACAGTACTTCATACCTTTTTTACTGCTTTCCTTTTTTTCTTTTTCTATCAATTTTTTAGATGTAATTCATGTAAATAATGGCTGTTTTTTAATAAAAGCTTGCATTTATGAAAAACTCGGGGGAAGTCCGTTCTTTTTAATGAATGGAAGGTTGTTTATAAGAGCATATATTGTACACTTGTACAGTAATGAATGTCGGGAAAGTAAATGATTTCCTTGCTCATCGTGGAGGGAAGTGCGGCATGGTGTTTGTCATGTCGGAGATGAGTGAGCGAGTGGCAAACAACTAGGGCACATAGCCCACAAATTTTCCCCTTATTTCAACATTTCCCTAGAAATTGTCATTTTTAATTTTCGTTTTATCCCCGAAATGTCTGTTCAAAATCCGGATGCAACCGAAAGGTACATACGCTTTTAAATTATTGGTGCTCATTCACCTGTGATTGAGTAGTACAGGTGGACTCTCTCTCTCTATATAACGATCTTGTCTACAAAAATTTTTTTTTCGTTCCGAAGGGGTTTCTCTCAATGTTAAACGGGGTTCTCTACAACGAGATTCTAGGGAATCGAAAACGAATTAGCCAGTCCATAAAAAAATCTATGAAAATATGGCAGGCGGCAGTCTCAAAAAGGTTGGGCAACACTGGTATAGAGAGTTCACGTGTAGTAATGAAAATGTCGTCCCTCCCCTCCTCTTGTTCTCCAGTTTCCGGATGTTCGCTGCCGGGGTCGGCTACGCACTGCCATTCTCCACGATGCTCGCTCGCCAAGCAATGCTCGCCACGGCCTCGGCACATCACATCAGCGGCGTGGTGCAGCTCATGCTCTGCGGGTTCGCTTTCGGGATCCAGTGCTGCGTGGCAGTAGAAACGTGGGTTCTCAAGCCCAGTGGGCTCGTGGTCGCCTGGGACCCGTCTCGCGGGCGTGTGGCCGAGTGCGGCCATTCCGCCAGCGAGATCCTCGTGGCATCCACGTACGTCGCCTTTCTTCTCGGGTGTCTCTTGGTCGTGGGACCAGCGGCTGCCACCAAGAAGCGGAACTTCCGAGAGGGGCTCTATTTGTGCGTCGCGTCCTGGGCCGTGGCTGCAGTGTGGATCACGTGGTGTGCGTTGCTGGCACTTTATCCGAATTGGACCCGGCTGATAGTCAGTGCCGGGATGACTTCGTCAGCCACGATCATACTAGTCGTTGTCTACGCGCCAAAGCTGTGTTTCATCATGACGCACTCGCTGACGTTCAGCGAGGAGCCAGCAGACGGGAAACGAATAGTGTGAGTGTGATGGGATATTTGCACGAATCTGCGGGAAGAACTCGCATCACGTCTTATATAAGCATACGAATGAAAAAACTGATTTATGACGTATAGAGCGGTGTTCCCTGATTGGTGGTAGTCAATTTTTTGCCAGTTAGTGGGAACTTTTCTTCAGCATATTACGTTTATCAAAATTAGCAATGCAAATTGTCTGTCATCTTTATCTGAAATTTTGGGTAGACAATAACAGTTGAAATTATCTGATGAAGAATGAAAGTTGGCTTTTCTCCTCATAACACTTCAGACAAATTTTCACCGGCTGAAATAATTAATTTTATTTTTTTTTATTCTAAAGAACCTTTCTCCAAGCCCACCTTTCTAAATTTTTTAAAAACATTCTACTCTAGCTGCTTCATTGGTTCGTAACTTGACTTTTGCAAAAAGGCTGAAACTTCTTAAATGCCTGCCATGAAGTCTTTTAAACAAAACTCTTTTGAGTCTGCTAAAATTTTATGGAAATTTGCTGGTCCATGGGTCCAAGAAGGCTGGGGAACACCAATGTAGAGAACAGGTTCTATAAAGCGTTATTGGAAAGGGATCCACTGGTGTTATGCAGGGCATCTATACCAATACCAAGTGGTACTGAGAATGGTCAATGAAAAATGTGAGGTTGCATTCAACGTACTGTATAGGATTCTATGTCCATAATACTGCATCTTATCAGCAGAGCAAGGAAATTGGGAGAATGATTTATTGAAAAAATTGAAGCATTGGGAGTAAAAATGAAGCAACAGTAAACTATTTTATTCATTTTATTAAGATTATTTCTTTATTAAATAAAATCCATACACAAGCGGAACACGGACAATTAGAGGCATAATTCCCACAAGATGGCCAGTGAGCAAAATCAACTCCTCGAAGGGGGTTATTGTCAATAAAAAAATTGTTTTTACTCGTTCGGAAATTTATTAATATTTGAATTTTAATCAACCATTTTCGTGCACTGGTTTGGATGTCCCAACATGAGTTAATGAACAGAGATACATTTGTATCTAAGTAGTGATTAGCAACTGATGTAATTTTTATGATCTGTGTATGTATCATTCCAAGGATAGGAAAAATGCATCAATATTTTATTCAATGTCTTCGAACCACGCCATTCAACGTAGGCTTCAGATTGGATTAAAGTACTGTACTGTACTTTGACTTCGAGCATTCTAAATTTGTGTGATAGCGAAAGTGTACCCATCACTTCCCTTCGACTGAAGCATAACTTGACACTCGTCCACCACACAACATTTTTGGTTCATGTTTTTGAAAAAATAAGCTTGTTCTCGAGACTTAGTGAATAACAATAAAATATCGAATTGCCGTATTTATTCGCGGTACCAGGCGCACGTTTTTTTTACGATCAAGTCGGAAAAAAGAGGGTGCGCATCATAATAAGCAAGTGCTCAAAATTTAGGTGCTCATAACACTTGATCCTTATAGAAAATTTTCAAGAAATATATATGTTCACTGGAAATAACGGAAAATTAATTCAGTTTGGGTTCAATGGAAGTTACAATTTTGATTTTAATGCATTTTATATTTTAACTTAGCCCCCTCTAGTCACTAAAGATGGGGTGCACGTCATGATCACGTAGGGTTGGGATTTTATCCTAATTTTAGGACCAGATAATACTCCAGTGCGCGCGGTACTCGAGTAAATACGGTGTAAGTAATTTGAAAACTCCTTCCGTCATTCTATACGAACATTTGTTTTACCGTAAAACGTCGTCGACATTTTAGAGGGATTCCAAGAATAGGGAATGCGAATATAAAAGGGCAAAAGAGGCACCACAGCAACTCTCCGTCGTCCCATGGGAAGTACTGCCCGGATAATGAGATGACCATGACAAGAAGCATCGGCGACGACGACACGGCAACGGAGATTGTTCATGCCACGAACTTGGCTGTTCTCAACCGTGCTTTCGCATCCGACGTGAGTAATTATTACCCTTTTCACTCAATATATTTGGAAAAGTTCGTTAATTGACTTGCACCACGGTTAAGGTGCGAGGTTTTACTATGCGTCACATTCGACTGAGCGTCAGCTGGAATTAATTTTGATTCTCTGGAATAATTCCTGAAGAAATGAATTAAAGTCAAGTGTTTCCCAGAAAATATGAAACGACATATCCATCGATTGTTTTCTCCACGTTATATTTTCAAGGCACTGAAGATTTTGTTGTGCCGTGCGAAGTGAGCACGAAAATGTTGGTTCAATATTAAATTGCCTTATCGAATAATTTCTGAAGGCCGAAGATCTGGATTTAAAAAACGACTGAATGTTCCATGCCAATTCTATGAATGCAAAATCATTATTCTTCATTTCTTTATTGAAAAGAAAATCAAAATTTCGCCCGTCAAAATAATTCTCACTATTAAGAATATGACAAGAGCTTATTTTCGGGGATACTAGCTTACACGGCGCATAACATTTACTGCTCATGATTGGACGTACGCCCTCGGTTTGATCATGTAAAAAGGACATGCTGTAAAAGTCACACATGTGTACCATAAAAATTGCAACAATTCTCCAAAATACTGACGGGCCATACATTTTTCAGATGTCCTCTAAATGATCACCCAGGGTGAAAGAATTATTTTATAATCATGCTGCTCAGGGGCTTCCGGGTATAAAATTTGGGATGAGATTTCGCGGTTTAACAGAGAACGGTTGCGAGTTGAGGCTAAAGACAGCAGGAAGTAAAGTACCTTAAAAACTTTATGCAGTCTATATTTTTCCATGAATCGGTATCTTTTTGGAGAAACCCCATGGGGAGTAATGTTTTTCTCACGACAATCACGTCGATGACACACTGGTAAAATACGAATCTAAAAATAAATGAAAAACAGAAAACAAAGAGGAATCCCGCGCTAGGTTCTTTTTTCAAACTGAACCTGTAACGAACTTGGACATAAAATGTACAATTTTTTTTAAACCATTACAATAAGGTTTCTGCATTTTAAAAAATGTCCTCAAGTCCTGGCAGAAAGCCCTTAGGAAACAAGTGAAAACAATCTTATTATAACAAACTTCCGAATTTCAGTACAGCAAACTTTTGGAGAAATTCTTGATAGATTCTCCAGGTAGAACTTTCCTGACTATAATGCAGGCAGTCTGAAATTTCTGATCCCAAATGTGACTAACTGTTTCTTACAGCATGAAGTGAAGCTGTAATCAATTAAAAGTACGCTTCCAAGTGGTTTCACACATCATCCTCCCAGAAAGAAGAGATTGGTGCACCTGACGAAATGCATGAGTGCTGAAGCTAACTTTATTTTTCAGATGCTAACTCAGTTTTTCAAAAACTGATGAAAAAAATCTGAGAATGCCAGAAAAACAAGATTTAAGTGATTATATATACTGCATAAGTCTGATGTGAAACAGTTTTCCCGTCATTAATTTTGAAAATCTCGCTATAACAATGCATTCAGTGTCACGAACTTTTTCTGAAGTCACACTACTACACTTTGTTGTAACAAGATTTTACTATAATTTCGTAACAGTCTACTCCCAGTCGTTTGACTTTCTCGTCACGTGGTCTTTTTCAAAGATGGAAAACGGAGGGTTCGGGTCGTCGAATACCCGTAAAAACAGGCGGATGTGCAGGGCAGAGTCGGTGGAGACCGCAGGTACGATGCTGAGCGGCGTGACGCGAACTTCGGCACCCAGGATTTGCGAATTCGGACCCCCCGGCGACATCAGCAATTACGGGACCTACGTCGAAGACGAACCCACTGTGCATACGGAGCATTTGCGACGCGCGGACCACAGTGATCGGCAAAACAGTGTTCCCGTCGGACGGGTTCTGAAAATTTAGGGTCAATACCGTCAACCAAAGACCAGCAGGAACATTTTTCGATGTTTGTATGATCTTTTTTGTTTTGCTAAATTAGAGTGAACTCGTCATTCTGCCGTCCAACTTCCACTTGAATTTTACGTTGGACGCATTTCATCATTCAGGGGTAAATGCGTAAGTCTTCACACAAATTTTGCAAGACATATGCGAACTACAATATCATACATGTCAGTCGATAAAATTTTTTAAAAGTAATCATCGTCCTTTCTATGGAGGGGGGAGGGGAGCTCGCGTTCTTTTGCACGTCACCTTGCAAGAAAAATAAAAGCTTGTGTCAACTAATGTGGCACAAATTTGATTTTCTTCGACATTAGTCATGTTATTGATGAAAAAGCGTCTAACTGACATGACATCTTATCTTCGAACGTTTACACTTGTCCATCATACTTTACACGAGTCTTACTCAAAATAATTCATCTATTCCCATTAAAATTGCTGCCTTTTTTCTTGAATTTATTGTTTTTTTTTCACACAGTCTCCACGCTGTGAATAATTCGGAGAAAATTAATTCTCAAGTTCACGATTTTATGGCAGATGGTCAAGCAATTAAAATGTAAGCTTTGCTTTTTTCTAAATTTTGAAATTGTTCAGCACTGGGGTTGACTTGAAACAGACGAAGTAAAAACATGCGAGCATGGTAAAATTATTGCTTAAATTTTCCGTAGGTGTCCCCTTGCTGAGCATCTGCTTTGTGCTTCTTAACTCTGTCGCATCCCAGCCGGAAATTTGAATAAATTGTGTGCACCTTAAAATTAACGAGTATGCATGAAAAATTCTAGAGTGGTCGATGATAGGCAACTATTGTCGTAATCAAGCTTGCAAAATTTGTGGGAAAACCCTCGCGCGTCTGGTTAACTAGGAATACCGTATATCTCAAGGAAAATCTGATTTCGGAGAATTTTTGAACAGCACAAAAAAAAACGGTTCCAGTAATTTGTTGACGCGCGTGAACATGAAACGTTAGATGCATTGAAATTCTTGCATAGCAGTTTTGAAGAAATTCTACGCACCGTTTCACAATCGAAGAATTAACGATTCCAGGACTCAATCGACATATTTATAGTCAAATTTACTCAAATAAGAGGGTTGGTTCGTCAATGATAAACTGCCACTTGCCGTCATTGGAGCCTTATACAATTGTTTCTCTAGCTCGTAAGTTCTTCATTGGTTTCTAATAAATTTTTCATCAACTTTTCAGCTACAGAAGGAAACAAGAAAAAGGCCTGGATCACAGTGAATCCCATCCACTGAAGTGAAATTTAATTGATCATGACCAGCTGAATGAACACTTGCATGCTCTTAGTCTATGGCTTTGGGGGTCACCTGGTAAACTTCCCTTCAGTGGAGGGGATTCACTATGATGCAGGTATTTTTCTTGTTTCCTTCTGTAGCTGAATAGTCGATGAAAATTTTATCAAGACAACCCAAGAAGAATTAAAGAGCAAAAGAAAAAATTGCATCCGCATCTGATGACCTCAAGTGGCAGTTCATCAGATTTTACGAACCAACCCTCGTATATGATGCTATAATAAATAAATTGCCTTGCAGCAAGCCTGTGACAGGAACTCCAAAATGGCATTATGTATTTGACCTTTATTCACATCCCCAGCCAAAGTACAAGTGCTTTCTCAGAAGTCATCAAAAAGTCCCTTTTTCTTCAACAGATGTGGGGTGATTTTGAATGATTTGGTCTCGATCTAAATAAATATTTTCATGATGGATAAAATAACCAGAAAAATTTACGTCAAAATGGTATCATCGTAAGGGCTTCGAAAAATTCTCATGCTTCTAGTCCTCGGAAAAAACCCTCAAATTTTGATTCTTCCACAGACTTCGCTTCCTGGCTTTTTTCGCATCGCCTGCTAATGTTTTTCATTTTATTTATAGAAATAGCCACTGTGTTTGTGCACTCCGCACAAAATGTTCTCTCAAAGTTTTTTAAACCCCAGATATGGAGCTTAATTCTTGAGCAGATCTTGCAAGTTGACTTCCAGCGGTTCTTTCGAGCTATTGACGACTCAGAAAGTCTAACAAAACTACTGCACGTCCCATTCCAGACCCAAAATTGTTTCGATACCACTTTCCATGGTTCCACGAGTTTGGGTTAACCATATTTTGCTTACGGAAAAAAAAACTCTTACATGTGTTGAAAAATTTCGATAAGGCGAACAGTTGTCTTACTTCGCTGACATTTAGTGAGTGACTCACAGACATCTGAGAAAATCTTGTCACAACACCAAATATCGTTTCAGGTCCGACACTCTGAACTGCTTTCATTTAGAGCTCACAAAAACCGCCAAATTTCGATATAATTTTTGAAGTCGTGCTGTGTGATTCATCGCCGCTGAAATACGGCATACGTCATGATAAATGCAAAAACCACACGTTTGCAAAAGCAGTGCCTTTTTTTTCCACCTCCTCAAATTTTCTTGGGTCTCGCGAAAGCGATTTTTTGTATCTCAAGGGCTTTTCCTACATCATGTTGAGAAACTGTGTGAATGTGAACCTGAATGATTACTCGGCAGGTGTGTGATGAACATAAGCTTCAAGAGAAACCATGACTCAAGCGAAGAGCCAAAATGAAACTCGTGTAAGCCGGAGTAATAACAAGTAATTTATCACTCAAACGCTTTTCCTCGGCAGTTTTATCCTCATTCGCCCCGACAAAGCAATCCCCCCTGTTCCGATACTGCGACATACATATTCAATATCCGTCAACTTTCTTTCGGGTCCAACGACGATTTCGATGTTCACATCCTCCCCAACTTTCAAGGGCGATAAGAAAGTGGCTTCCTTGGTCACCAACACGGCACCTGGAAATTTTGAGCCGACGATGCCTGAGACGAGACTGACGACTAGCATTCCGGGAACAACTTTTCCGTCTTCAGAATGTAACGGATTCGTATCCCCAATAAGTCGACAAAAGCCAGACACAACTTCGTCGTCCATTCGTTTCCGAACAACAAATGTGGAGCAAGTTCTCCCAAGTTTCGCGCCGGCGCCCGGATGAAGGCTGGGAAGCGTTGCGGGAAAGACCGACTTCAATAAATGCCACATTTTTTCTCACATGCTGCGCGCGAAAAGCTTAAATTTCATCCCTTGAAAGTTGCAGCTTTTTTATCAGGATCAGCATTATAAATCTTCTGAAATTTTTCAAGGCGAACCGTAAGTTGCAGCGGCAAATAGTGAAGTGTTCTGGAATTTTATTCAGCACGAGGAAATCAGCTCAGGTTTACAATGAACGATACAGAAAAAAAGTGTTGAACCGAGTGAAGCACGAAACATCAGTGGAAGTGCAAAGTCGTAGTTACAATTTGTTTTGAAGAAAGGAAATTTTTTATTGAAAGAAGCTCAAAAAGAATACAAATCATGTATACGGTCTTGACTGAAGCTGTAGGTCTTCGAAACATCTAAATGAAAACACTAACGCATAATTTCAATTCAGGAATGATCTGTTATTTGCCTCATCTTCCGAGAAACATCTGTCCGTCACTTAAGAAAACTTGAACGTCAGAAGACGCGATCACGGATTTAAGGAACCCGGAAGAATCTGGAACAAACTCGGTAGTTTTCTCAAACCTGTTTCCACAGAGGTAACACAAAAAACGTAATAATTCACGGTTTAGCAAGCCCTTCAAGGCTCGAAGGCGGACAAGATGAACCAAGATTTGTGTGCGGTTTTCCATTTGTTCGTAGGAAACAAATGTTGAAAACATAAAATGAACTCATCCATCGAGGAAATTTGAGAAAAATAAATACGCCTCACCGACGTGCACGAAAAACTTCTGGTCACCGAATCCTTTGACTCAACCCCGCAGCCTTCACCACATATCTCGAAGGACTTCGCATATCACACAAAAACCGCAGCATTGTCACAAATTGCAACGCACACGAGTCAATAGGCAAGAATTGCAGCCAGGAATTATCACGCATCCCTCAATAAACGTGACTGATCCACCGAAGCAAGACTGAGGCTCTGTCGAGTGTCGCAAACGAAGCTTCGAACCTATAAGTGAATATAGATTGTATCGCTAAAATACTGCACAACCATTCGGGAATAAGGCAAATTTTCACGGCTAAAACCTGTCATCACAAAAACGTACGAAAAACTTTCATTGCATCAACATTAAATGTACGGTAGCACCCTTGTAAAGCATTTTTAAGAAGCCCGAAAAGAAAGAAGTCAGAAGAATCCAGATCCAACAAGTAAGGCAGACTTCAAAACCGTCTGGCTTCAATTTACGTTACAAGAAAGAATCAAAAATAGGCCGAATCCGCCAGATTCTGTATGGTACGGATCATGATCCAAATTTTATTTCCTCGTACGGAAGAATAAAATCCTACGGCTTAAAAAACGCCTTCAAAGTATCTTGCTGGATTTGGATTCCAATTTTTCTCGGGTTAGTAGAAGAAAAAAATTATATAACTACTGCATATATACTGCTCACAGAATGAACAGCACTGGTCGGAGAGCTGTTGATTGATAATGAGGAATTAACTCAGTCCCGCCTTCCGCTCTAATTTTCGAAGAGTTTAAAAAAAAATTTTAATCGAACGTAATTTAACAATCTTACGAACCCCAAGTCGAAACTTGAATAACGCCATCGTATTCGATTGATCGCGCAGAACCTCGCAAATTTTAGAATTTTAAAACTGAAAAGGGGTGGATTTGAAAAAGTTATTCCATCAACGATGTTTTAAGGAACTGCAAATGTGCATTCAAACGGGCCATGGTAACAGAAACCCAGAGATGTATGAGCTTGCGCAGAATATTTCTGAAACATAAGGCCATTTCAAAATCAATTTGAGGCTTTTTTTCCTGAGTTAAACGTCTCGCAAATACTCTCGTACAGCGAAGTGTGCACGTTATTTGGCGGTACACAAATTCACACTGAAATACTGCGTACAAGGGGAAAGGCATTTCCAAAAACTACCAACATAATTCTCCCTCACCATTTGAGTGAAGAACGCTTGATGCGGCTTTTCCGAGTAACGTTCGTATTGATCCAAGCTCTCTTGCAGCTTCAGCGTCAATGAATCGTAATTCTGTCTCACGACATCCAAAACCTATGGTATCAGTCGACTCGTAAACAGCAACAAAATTCAAGAGGAACTGAAAAAACGATGACACTGACTTGTTCTTCCGTCAATGCGGCTCCACCGTTTGCTTGTGACACAGCTTCAATCCTAGGTGTGAAGTGGTTTATAATGCCCCGAATATTGACTAATGCGTTCGACAATTTCAACGCACTTTCCCGCCATTCGGTAGAGCTGGCCCCGTGAGGCGTAGTGGAATATCGTAAAGCCATCGCGTACAAATTTTCGAATACCTGGAAGCGACACCAACTTAAAACAACTATACAATACTGTATGGCAGATTACGCGAATGGTTCTACTGTAATTACAGTACACACTTCGGATTTCAGTGGTAGAAACATTAGTATTTTTTCAATTATCTGGGTTAAATTATCGAATGCCGTCTCCAGATAAAAGAAGCCCAGACGAACCGAAAATGGCCAAAATATTTATTTCAACAACCAGGCCTAATTTACCGAAAATTCATCCGAGTCTCGAAGAGGATCAAGTGTTCCAAATGTCCTGAACTTGATGAAAAAACATAAATGTTAACAAAATATTATGAATTCCAATAAGCACAGCAGATCACCACTGAAACTCGAGCTGCAGGAGTGCCTTTAAAGACAAAATGTCGAGTACGCTAATCACTGCACGGTAGCATTTTATATGCAAAAACTTCTCCAAACATGGATTTCCCTCGATGATACACACCTGACGCATCCGTATAAGTTCGTAATAGAGGTCGTCATAGGCAGTCGGAGCGGCGAGGAATGTGTCTCCATGAGTTATGAACAAGTTGAAGATACTGATAGCTTTTAAACATAAAGGAAATACGTTCATCTTCTTCACCAATCCGTTCTCATTGGCTTGAATAAACTTCAACAACGAGATCAGCGCCGACCACAGGTGATGCCACGAGTAACCTAACCGCACTCTTGCCCTTCTTTGGTAACATACCAGCCTAGAAATGGACGAAATCAACATAATGAAATTTATTTGGGGTCAGGTCAACATGCGCATCTACGACCTCACCTATGAATGATGCCAAGTCCTTGGTTATACAAATCCAGAGGAAAACGTTTGAACATGTGACTGACGATGAACTCTATCATCAAGTCCAGTAACGCACAGGCCAACGGTCGCGATGGTGATTTCATGTGCACAGGAACCTTCCGATGTCGCATTGGCATTCGATGAAGGACACACGAGAATACAAAATTCGGGTCGTGCATAAGAGAATTTGCGTATTGATCCTCCGCAACACAGGCCAATATCATAAAGCACAGTTTTACAGTGTCGCAACGCGACTCCATCTTCGTTTCCTGCATGACTATGGAGCTGTATTCCAAAAACGCTACGAGAAGATTCGTGGTTTCACATGAATTGGAGGGCTGGTCAGTGTCACTCTTTTTCTGGTTTCCCGAATTTTCCAAGGCAGATTCCCCGGTTGACATTGTTCGTCCACTGGCTTGACTAGCAGATCGTGCTTCTTTTGACATGTGAACCTCAGCTGGAGGGGGCAAAGGAAGTTCGCTTGACATGCCAGTGTCCGGAAGCGATGCCGAAGGTTCATCGTTGCCGACAGGCACCAAGTCGGCTTGCAACTGAGTTATCACGGCAATGAAGTTTCGATTCAAATGTACGGCTTCATACAGAGCCAGAAGCATCCCAATGTTCGCTCTAAAAATAAACGATTGTTGAAAAGAAAGTAAAGCAAAATCGACTAAGATTTTCTGATAAGTAATATCAAGTAATAAAATGCAAACCTGATGCAAGCAGTTTTTTCTGTCTCTTCCCCAGCGAAAAAACTTCCAACAACAGATGATATTGCAGAAAAAAGACCACCACCGGCAGCATTAGAAGCAGCTCCTCCGGCTCCATCCTGAACGTGGACCGCATAACGCTGAATGAATTCTCCCAGGGATGACCCAACAACCTTCCAAAAATATTCCACGGTTATTCGATAAAAGGTCACCTTCAGTGAAAAACGGGCATTACCTGGCCATATCCATGCAAGGCGAGCTCATCACTCAATATCGAAAGCTTAACACCATACGGATTGACTGACTCGAATTTTCTGTAGTTCACAAGCAATGTGAGCAAAAGGACGCATTCATGCCCGAATTGTTGTCGCCAGGCAACGCAGGAAAGAATCTGGAAAACGATATGATTTTCTTACAAACAGACGATGCCAAGGAATCCATAGCGGCTCATGAATTACAGTACATAAAACCAAGCGAGCCGCTTTGCGGAAATAAACTCACATGTATGATGACTTCGTGAACAGGATTCATCATCAAAAATTCCAGCAACGTATTTTGACTGACATTGTCTGTTCCTAGGGCGATGGTAAGCAGGAGCTTCAAACATGAAGACTTCAAGCAGGAATGGTAATCCCCTGTCGAAAAATGTTGCACAGCTCTCACGGAAGTAAGAACAACTTCAGTACAAGAAACAAACCAGCAAGGAATTCATTGATCTTGTCGAGCAAAGTTTTCATCAATCCCTCTGATTCCTGGAAACCCATTAGCAGATCGACAGTGTCAAATCCGTGATTCAAAGAAGTCTTCAAGTTCACGCTATGTATCAGCCCACTCAAAGTCTGTCGGGATAAAAGTAACTTACAACGTCAGAATTCATGTTATGTTAATAGTACACTCACTATCACGGCATTGATGGTCCTGAACTGATTCTGTGGAAGGGCTTGGTCAATTTCCAGAGTGGAAACGCACCTGCTGAATATCCTGTTCAGTATGGGTTTTGAGCTCACCAATTGCTCTCCACTAAATTTTCCGATTTCGGATTCAAAAAAGGATATCTTCGGCTTCAAGAGGAAAAACTCGTCCCAAAAACTGGCGTTCCCTATGGACGGATCCTCTCCCTTCACAAATCGAGCAAAAATGTCAATTAGTTTTCCACACAGCTTCGAAATGTATGCGCACCCTGAAGAGAGCTTCATAATATTGCACGATCTTTTCCTTGAAACTCTTCCGGATAACAGGAGTCGCTGAATACCTCAAGCGATCCATCCCAAAACTACACTGTTTTCTGCCGCTTCATAATCATAAAATCATTCTGGAATTCATCAAAGAAGATTAACAGCCATCATGAAAGCACTTCTGAAAAAACAATCACGATCGGGATCAAAATATAATTTTTCTTGTCGATAGCCTTTTTTTTCTGACAGGAAACCCTGCTAAATAACCCCTGACCAAGATTTCTTTGAAAAGCTTGAAGAGAGCGCAGCGTCGAAGGATTCAAAACAAGGAGTGTTCCCTTCTAACAATCACTCAAGGCAAGTGTCTCCATTTCGAGGCAAATTTCCATTGTTCGTCATCAATCACATCAACAAAATATTTTCACACTTCCGCTCCTGCTAGATCATATCTGTCCATCTAAACGCAACAGCCTGCACGTCACCTTGATTTAAATTTCATAAATTGGATCGAGGAAGTTCTATTTCGCCACCGAAGTTTGAACTTCACAGGAAGTCCAACAAATGCGAAATCAACGTCCTGCTGAAAATGTAGGCTCACTCGTGTATCCTTTTACGATTCGGAAAAATTATCAAATAAAAAAAAAAATCCCTTACTGCGTCGTCGCTAGTTGGAAGCATTGGTCATATACACTGTGTCTCTGGGCCTTACTTCCTTTCACAAAGCACCTGAAAACGACGATCACTAATATTAACAAAACGAGTCTCGTCAAATACACGAACGAAAGTCAGACGTCCATGAATTCAAGATGTCCCCAGTTTGTCTTCAAATTTTAGGAACTGAAACGAACATGAAACCGCGGCGCTCATGGTAAAATCTACATCCATGCTGACTTCATGTTGTTGCAGGTTTCCGTGCCGTTCCGTACATCAAAGAACTTCTTGAAGAGTGAAGGGGTTTACTTGGTACATGAAGCACCTGTTGCATACCCGAACCGGTTTCTTGTGTCCGAAATGCGGTAGGGCAACGTTATTTCGACTGCACTTGGAGCAGAACACCTGCACGCAGAATGAAGTGATATCAATCATTCAACATCAAGCTTACGAAAACTTTCTCCAAGCATTCAAAGCGCATAACATATCCAGAATAAATTACAAAAGGTCATTAAAAAACGTACGATTGCAAGATTTAACATTTTTTGCAAGTTTGTAACAAGGCAATAAATGCAATGCGTATACAGCAGCGATACAAAAATCAATTGACTGAACCTTGCCACAGCTGCGACAATGATGCCTTCTTCGGACTACGGTGAAAGGGGCTTGACATCCCATGCAATCCGGAGCAGAACTGTCCGGCACCCAAGATGGTGCCTTGCTCTGTTCCGGAGGCGAAGTCGCCATCAGGTATCCGTGTGAAGCCGGCGACGCTTGGAGATTACTCTCCATGACCGCCGCAGTTGCGTCAATCGGAACAGATAACGATTCCTGATTCCGTCTGTCGGGAGGGTAATACGGTATGTCCGAACCGATATTGTGCGAGACTTGCGGATGCAAATAATGGATCACGTTTGGGCGCACGGCCTTCGGGCGCATTAAGGCTTCCGCAGGAGACTCCGGACGAGGGTCATCAGGGGATGACGATGACGCTGAATTTTCACCTCCGTTGATGCGACCGGGATCTGGTGGCTTCCAGTCAAGGCATCCGTCCTCATCGTCTTCATCGAGCGTTTTTCCAGCCGCATGCTCACCGTCATCCGATGAGATCCTGCTGCCATCAAGAGCTTCTTCAGCACTGTCAACGCTGCTGGAATCCCCAGCTAAAATTAGAAGAACGAGCGGTTCAGAATAAATGAAAACATGGATATGATCAGGTTTCTCACATTCAACGCTCGGCGTTCCATTGATCAAAAACACAGCTTTCAAAATGCTCCTCAGATCTCCGGCATAATTTGTCTGCAATTGGTCTGCGATTCCAGACACGCAAACGAACAGCCGATGAATCAAATCTTTGCTATCCCTGATCGGTAAAATTTACGACGCATCATTAAATGTGAATGTCTTCAGAATGTTGGAGCAAGATGGACATACCTAAATCGCGATCGGATTTGTTCGCGATCTGCCAATTCACATGCTTGCATCGCTAAGGCGATAGCCTCGTCATCTGCACATGCAACATCCAAATCTTTCGGAGCAGACTGAGATTCCGAACCGTTCTCGCCTAGACTGGCTAACCGAAGGGTTCGACCTTCACGATGACCCGGGAAGCTGCGACAAGCAATAAAGAGAGGGTGGGCCAAAATTATGAACGACATTCGGCAATTGGGCTTCCGTTTAAAAATTCGCTAGCTCTTAATGAACAGTACCTTTCCCCAGGATCTTGGTCCCGTAAATGCGACACCGCAGCGGCTCCCGAATGCCTCCTCCTTATGCGCTGGCTCCTGCGCTCACCGTCCGTCCGCGGTCTCCGCACACGCTCACCATCACTCGCAGCAATCACAGATGAATCACTATTTTCTACGGCACACGAGCACTCGATACTGGCAACTCGTGATACTCGACACCTCGCCTCTTGCTCTACTACACCGTCAAGCTCGTCCTTGGTCCCTGTCGTTACGTCGCTCTCGGAACTCACAGAGGACGACGCTGTGTCATCTCCCGAGTCTGACAGAGAAGATGACGATCGCGCGGCATCTTCATCAACATCTGACTCAGTGCTGTCGCTATCCTGCCCAATTTCTTCAACAGGCTTCAACGTGGTGATAGTCTTATCCGGAACGGCCGCACTCTTCTCCAAATGAGCAACGGGTACGCGATTCGGCGGCACAAGCAGCGCCCGGCACTCGGGATGATTGGAAAAGAAATTTTGAAAGTAATGGTCGGGAACGGCTGCGTAGTACCCTGCTAGGCCCATTTCGGATGCGGGAGGGGGTAACGGAGGGGGTTTGTGCTCGATTACCAACTCGGACTCCCCTCCGGAAGAATTCTTCGAAATTGGGATCTCCTTCGGTTCTTCCATCGAACACAGAACTTTTTCTAAGGCACACAGTTCTTCCACGGTGAGCGTTAGAAGCAATTTCCGGATTTTTCTCAGCAAATTCTGGAAAAAATGTGAGATACATTTCGACACGGTTTAAAAACAACTATTTTCACTGCCAGCAGGCGCCTATGAATTGAATTGTGTGCCACTTCCGCACACTTACCCGCATATTGACAATTTTAATTCGGCGAATAGCACCGTATACCCGTTCTCGCATTTACTTCATCCCGTTTTTTTTTTCAGTTAGGTGCAGACGTCCACAAAAACTGAACAACGGGGGAGAAGTAATGGAAAGCCAACACAAACCCTCATCTCTATAATGAGCGGCAATTTGTTTCGTCTTTAGTTTCTTTTACGTCTGGGGATTACTGAAAATCATGCGAATCACATTACTGTACATTTGTCTCCATGTCATTCTTTCATCTATCTGTACATGTCAACAAGATACTATACCATAGTTTTGAAACAATAATTTCTTTAATGTCCAGATCGCGTCGCTCGATGAACTAAGCATTTATGGACTACCAGGCTATTTACAGAATCTTCACCGGTATTTTAAGACGGAAGTCTCGAGTGAAGTTTCAGCCGCGCCTTCACTTTGATTCCCGATCCCAGTTCAAAAAAATTTATCGATCAGAAGGGAAGACAGTTACGAGATTGCCTTACTCATACGTTGATCACGCAAGTTAATGCCGCGTTCAAGCAGTGGCTTCGATTCAAATGGCGTGGGAATAATTTTTTTTCACATGGTCAATACGAAAGACAATGTCTGCTTTTAGCGACAACAGCTTCGAATCAGAAATTCTAACGAAATATATTTCATCCCTTGACTATCAAAGCAGGGGCATCTACGCCCACTCCCTAGGAAGGACCGCGAGAGATACGAGGACGGATTTTGAATTATAGTACAGTACTTCTCGTCTCACCCTAAATGGTCGAAAGAGTTCCGACATGTTCTGTGCTGGCCCATCTAGTTGTAATGGACCCATGGGAAAGAAAATCAATCCAGCTAAGATCGCCAATCTAGGCACCGTGAACATCAAAGCTGGGTCACAGGTGTCCACCTGGTCCTGAGTCAACAGTCCTACTTTGAGAGCCCTGAAAAACATGACCGCGAGATTTTATGCTTCAATTATGAAATGACACGTCGTTAAAATTCACGATGAAACAAGAGATTTGACTTCAGAAAATCTTCACAAATTACGTGATCTCCGACTTACTAAACAAAAAAGGGGTGGTGGAATTACATGGTAATTTCAAAACCGGCTTATTGTCGTCCAGCCTCTCCTGGAATTATATTGTGGAAAAATCTTCCCTTTCTGCATAACTAGCCCAACATGGTACTGCTAAAACATACTAAAAGTTGTCAAAAAATATTATTGTTAAAAAAAAACCAGATAAATCTCGTACATTGGTAGAGGAAAAATGTTGTTTCTTAAGAACTGGAAAAACCTTGTATGCCTGAACTGGAGTATTGTTGTCAAGATAAAAATGGAATTATCTCGTAAATGAAATTCTTCCCTGTTTCCTTACAATACCTGATTTATGAAGCAGACTCCTGGGACAAGAACTGTAGGAAAAAATTGTAGGATAAATAGTGCAGATATTTTCCTCTGATGAAGTTTCAAAAACTGAGTGTTTAGAACTGGTCATCCTGAACATGATCTGAATTTATTTTTAATGATTTGTGTGTGTGCCATCATTTTGTTCAATAGTTCTGGTGAGAAAAAGGCAAGACTTTTTTGCAGTTCTCCTTGTAAAAGCATCATGGTTAAAATAAAAAAACCACTTTTAATTTTTTTGGCTTTCCTGACAAATTTATAGCACCCTGTGACATGAGTGAAGTTGCAGTTCTCCACTCATGAACTTTTTTTTAACCCTGTTCCAAGTCCTTGCTTGTACCAGATGTACAAGGAAGGGCCAGTCTACATTGAACAAGGTTATTCAATATTAATCATTACAAGGAAAGTCCAGTTTTGCCAGACAAGGTTGTTCCAATTTCAGGAAAAAGATTATGTTGACAATTTTATTACAGTTTAGCAGAAAAAATAAATTGCCAAATACGATATTATTCCCGACAACATAAAATCTCCACAACATTATTCCAGTGTGACGAGGTTAGGCCTGGCGACAATATTCCAGCCACCCACAAAAAAGAACTAAACCAATAATCACTCACCTTTGCAAAGTTTCAGAAAATAGTACTGTTACGTCCTGAAGAATGGAATACTCATGAAGAGTTTTGACGGGCACCATTGCGCTCACATACGTAAATTCGAAATCTGCAAGAAGCCTGTCAAATATTTTAAAGGTTTCTCTGGTCTTTTCCGTGTATTCCGGGTAAGACGACAAGCACTGCTCATGCAGATACGAGCGAATCTTGTCCAAATTTCGCACCACAGCCTTCGCTAATGGACGCATGCTAGAGCTCTCCGCTTCTCGATTCAGTATATTTGAACCCGCCGCCAAACACTGGAAAAGCAAATGAATACGAGATTTCAGACAAGTACGGTAAAAGAATAGGAATTTCCAAGAAAAAACAGAACGACTCTTGAATGTTGAAGATTACCTCTGCTCCGAACCAGAGTTGTCCTGCCAAATTGTCTTGCAGAACGTCATCGGGATACTTGACCCGGAAATCACGCTGCGCACGGTCGTGCGGTATGACGTAGTCCATCATTTCCGTAATTATATTCAGCACCTAACAAAATATGAATGCAGCACGAGGTATCAGTTGCACTGTCTAGATTATTTAAACGCAAACGAATGAAAAAGGATAACGATTAAAGGAACAGCACTTCACCCTTTCAGAGCAATTCATCCCACGAAAAACAAAAAAGGAATTACCTTATCCTGACATTGACGGAGTTGAGCAACAAGCAACGTACACTTTTCAGGGTCCTTCTTTCCATCTAAACTATCCAACTCCGCTGTCACAGCAGATAATTCTTCGTCCGCGTAGTAGAACTGTGCCAACAACGATTTGTCCCCTTTCTGTAGAATATGGGATAAAGCGGTGATATGCGATAAAGTGATACCTAAGTTATAACTTACCTTCGGTTTATAAAACCACCGGCGAATCGAATGCATGTCGATGCCTTAAGTTCCAACTCCAAAAACTTTTGGATCATGCCAACAGAATAAGAAACTCGACCCACGATTCACGCTCACCTCACGCGATTTCAGAGTTGCGAACTATGAAAAATTTCAACATATCACAGATCATTCATAAAAATGCGTAATAATAAATTAATAGATCAGACAGTTGAATTATCCATTTTCAACAAGCATCACCGTGTGGAGAATGTCGATAGTTGGCTCACAAAAATGAAGACAACAGATGATCGGACGGATTTCCAATCCCACCGGACGAACACTGGTGAACAATTGAAAAAATAAAACTCCTTGACACAAGGAACTCTAAAGCAGCAAAATCACTGACTTTGGTCCGTGATCGCAATCCCAGCACCATGTTCGTATCATCCCGGCAATTGCAAAAGTAAGTATTTTAAAAAACACATTGTAAGAGGTAAGGCCAATACAGTAGTTTTAACACAATAGCAGCACAAAATCAGGTTGAAACATTAAAAAAACTTGAAAATTTTCAATAAACGTGATTTTCTCCCGGTTAAAGCGTGCCACATTGTTCGCATTTTCACGTCGCTCCAAATTCTCTCATCCATTTTTCGTACTTGTCCAGGTCGTCTTCGGACACTGACTTATTGCACTTTCGGATGGCCTCGTCGAAGTCTGCCATTGTCACAGGTAAATCTAGTTCTTCTTTCGGAAGCGCTCGAATTTCGTCCGGTTTCATACCGGCGATTTTCTTTCTCATGGCCATCATAGACGCGTCTCTGGAAAAATCGCGATGATTTAATTTTAAAATCCCTTCGACTGCCTCACATCAAAATAATGACCTGCAGACGTTGGTGATGTCGGCTCCCGAGTACCCTTTGAGCCTCTTAGCAATTTTCTTCAGGTTCAAATCGTTTTCAAGTTTTACCTCCTTCAAACTTATTTTAAGCAATGTTTCTCTTCCCACATCCGACGGGAGTGGAATGTAAATGCGTTTCTCCAATCTTCGCCGCAGCGCTTCATCGATATCCCATGGGAAATTAGTTGCAGCCAAAACCATAACGACTTTTCCTGGATCATCGCCGGTACTAGAATGGTAGGGAATAGTTCAAGGGACTCCGTAAACATTAGAATGCTAGAGCTGAAAGCAGATTTCGCTCACGAATATGTGCTGATGCCATCCATTTGCGTCAGTAGCTCGGACTTCACCCGTCTTGAAGCTTCGTGCTCTGAATCCGTGCCTCTTCTCGAGCACAACGAATCGATTTCGTCGATGAAGATCGTACTCGGAGAGTAGAAAACGGCCATTTCAAACAGTAGCCGCACCATCTTCTCGCTTTCGCCGCGATATTTCGAGGTCAGTGTTGCTGATGATACGTTGAAGAACGTCGTTTGGCACTCCGTCGCAACTGCTTTAGCAAGCATGGTCTTCCCCGTTCCCGGAGGTCCAACCATGAGGACCCCTTTCCATGGACGACGGATGCCAGTGAAAAAATCAGGGCGTAGCATTGGCAGGACCACTGCCTCTTCTAGAAGCTTCTTGGCTTCCGCCAAATCCGCGATGTCGTCCCACTTAATATTTGGATTCTTCTGCACTATATCCCGTTCCAGTAAGTCCACTAAATCTTTGTCGTATGACTGAGAATCGAACCTGGAAAACCATGTTGAATGAAAAACGCAAAAAACAGATTAGTCCAAAAAAAGTCATTGTGAAAAAAAATTCAAAAAACGGACTTGCGACACAAGGGCGTTTCTTCAGCAAGGATCTTTTCTTTGTCAGTCTTTTCCTTCTCTTGACCAACTCCAATGTCAGATTCGCTTCGTTTGAAGCGAGTAGCTCCGACAGACGCGCCTCGACCACGTAAAGCCCCATTTTTAGCTCCTTTCTCTTGCACTTGCTTGCTGCGAGGAGCTGAACCTGATGGTTGGCTAGACCGCCGTTGCCCCCCACGAGCTGTCCGCGGCATCGGTGGAGTCGGATTTCGGATCGACGAGGAAACAGGCTCGGGAGGAGGCCATGCCCCAAAATCTCGTGTGGGCTCTTCGAACGGTGACGCGAAGGCAGGGGACGACATGCCCGCAACTGCAGGGCTTTCATCGAAAAGTCCTGAACGTTTGATTTTTATTAAATGTTTCAACGTGTCATATTCCTCGACGATTTGTCCTTGAACCTGCTGCCATTTTAGTTTTCGCGTGGGATCGTGAATAGATGTGAGCAGCTTGTGTATTTGCTGAATGGTACCCTCATAATATACACTTGCTGCATCATACTCTCCAACTAGCGCTTTCTCACGTGCTATCTTAGCATCTTCAAGAATTCCTTTTAAATTCACGGCCATCACAAAAAAACGAAGGCTGGCGCTGATTTCCCTGCAAGGACGAGGAATTGTTTTCATTAGATGTACGAAAAATAAATATCGCGACAAAATAGACTACGTGATTTCTCAGGGAAAACTCTTCATTCTCTGGACAGCTCAAGGCGACAGAGTTAACAATTTTTAGGCCCTGATATCGTGCAAGGTCTTCACTTCCTCCTTGTCCAGCAATTTCGAAAAATGCGCCTTTTTCTGCGCGACCTTTGACTTGAACTGTTTCAACGTAAGCTTCTTCTTGTTGAAACGCTTCTGCTTTCCGGTGAACTTCTTCTCTGATTTGATCAGGCTCGGATTCTCCCGGATCAAATTATGCGCCTTCTTGTACATTTCTTCCATCTGTGAAAGGGCAAAATCAGCGGACTGCGTTGCATCTTCATGACATACATTTGTAACTCACGTCATCGGCAGTGATTCCGTTCTTGATGAACTGGGAAAATTGACGTTTGTATGCATCTTCGTCCGATGACAGCAAAGAACGCATATATTCAGCGACATTGAGGCCGAAGATATGATCTCTGTGCACCTTCGCGTTGAATTCTTCGGATTCTTTGTCAAACCCAGGGAACCGCTTCAGGCTGTAATATTTATGGCATGAATTTAACTGCTGGATCTGATATTCTATACTTCGAATATTACCTGTGCGGGATCAACAATCCCCCATCGACCGCACCCTTGAGAACACCGAAGATCTTCGCTCCCGTCGATGTCCTAGTAAGTCCAGTATCCAAATGACACCTGAAAGGTGCAGGGCTACCGGAAATTTCTTCGACATTGTATTCGTCTCCGTCGACTTCAGTTTGACCCGCGTATATGCCATCCATGTTCAACTTTTTCAATATCTGTGAATGATATGCGTTCCATAAAAATCACCCGTATGCATCTCACACTGTTCATCGTATACATACTCTACGCGCTATCAAGAGTCCAGTACAATATGCAGCAGCATAGTTCGTCAGACCAACTTTCACGCCGTACCTTGGGAGTTCGGAGCTGTACGCACAGCACACAACGACATCTCCTTCGATGCGAGCATATGCGATCTTTAAATAAATCAGGGTATAGTAAAAGGTCTCCCTTTAGTTCATCGAACAAGCGGCGGTTAGTCTCGAAAACTTCCAAAAAATTACCTGCGCAACGACTTTGGAGTTCGTAATGCGGACGATCAGACGATACTTCGGGGTGTTGTATTTGTTCTTCTCCTGCACCACCAGCCGCTTCCTAGCAAAATAATCGGTCTTTCCTTCGCGACGCCTCCTGTATTTTACCTGGTATCTCTTGAAGTACGACTTGTTCTTAAGAACTTTCACGAAACCCTAGGGAAAACAATCATTTCTCTCTCAATAACGAGTGAAACCCACAAAGCCCACTGTAGCTCACCATGATGTTTCCGAAATTCGAAGTCGGATTTTCAGCACCCGGAAAAGATCTGTTCCGGAAAAAGGAAACGAAAAGGCGGACAATTATATGATCAAACAAGTCCATCATCTGAACATCTATTCGAAAATCAGCACTTCTTGAGATGTTATCAGGCTACACCACAGTTACGTCGAATATTTCAAAACTGTCCAGATCACCAACGATTTGTTTTTCGTCGATTTTCTTTCCGTCAAGATTCGCCGAAATCCATCAGAACAAATTCAGTCCACGGTGACACTGACCATGATTGAAATGTAGAAGGCCATGACACAAAGTCACACAGTAATGGCCGCCTTCCATAGACTAAGAGCTCTTAATTGTATGCAATTGTTCTCATCCCAGCTACAGTACACCACTGTACAAAACGTGTATGAATCTACATGGTATTTCAAATAACTATGTAAATAAGCTGTTATTTGGACGACTTTAAATAATACTAAAGCTGCTGGAGAAAAAATTAAAAGCTAAGATTCAGTTATTTTACACAGAGAAAAAATACGATAGCACCAGGAAAGCGGAATCAGCAGCAGGAGGGATATATATGCCAGGTCAATAAAAGGGGCTTCCACGAAGTCAAGTTTGAAATGTGATAACATGGTAGGATTCCTATACGTCCGATATGCGTATTTGAAGCTGCGTATTAGCATACCATTTCCTTCACAACGCTCAATTGTCAGATGCAGAATTTTCTCGTGCTGGTTCAAAATTTTCTGTGAGCTATAACATCTTTATAAGTCATTCCCGGAGCCAAAATCATTCTGAAAGCTCCTCGACTGATAACTCTATAAGTGGCCATGGGAACATGGTTAATTCATCCTGGATAGGACTTGTACTCGGCTCAAAATTTTTTTTTCAATTTTGCAGTTATGTCGCCTATATACTGTCGCGTTGACAGCAGCAGTCGATCGTATGCTGTGCCGCGATAGATCGATGAGACGAGTTCTTTGTTCTCACAGCATGCAATAATGACAAGCGAAATTGCGCGACTCATTGCATCCAAGATTCTATCCAGCATGAATATGGCAGGAATTTCGTCAGTTCGCTGTTTATGTTTAGCATTTTCGTCTCTTATCATAAGCTCTTCATTGATTGACGGTGCAACTGGCAGTGCTGATGGTACGAAATGGAGTTCATATCATGGGTGAGTCGATATCTGATTTGTATATACAGGTGGACTCTCTCTATCAGCACTATCACAATGATCTTGTCTACAACAATTTTCCCTATACAGTATGAGGATTTTTTTTGTCCCATCGGGTTCTTTCCCCATCACGTCAGCGGTTCTCAATAAAAACGAAATTCTCTCCGAAAAGCTTTTTTTTCTGATCCGTTGAAATTCTGCTGTAGAGAGAGTTCACGCGTATGTAAAGGCACACGCGCATCAGAGAGCTTTATTCATTTACAAATAAAATTGGATTTATTTCCAAAATTTGATAAATAAGAAATTAGTTAAATTTTGAAGAAACGCACTGAAATTTTCAATTGTTACGTAGATACAAAGTTATCCGAACAGAACCAGTTCCAGGGGTTAATTTTAATTTCGAGGACCGCGAGATTCTTTTGAACAAGCTTGACGCCAGTGACGACCACACCAAGAACGTCTCAATTTGGAAGAATTCGATGGCAACGGCCAACATCGACTTGATGGTTGCTCCGGACCATTTCAAAATTGTGGCCAGCGTTCTTGATGAACACAATATGCCATGGCGCGTGATGATTCCCGACGTTCACGAGTGAGTTTCAATCATTTTCAGAATAATATTTCCAAATACGAATATTGATCCTATAACTTATAGGTATGCAGCATTATGTTATTACTGTGTATATATTGCCAAGTGCTCACAGCAGAATCTTGGGACGATTTCTCTGACGCATACAGTAATGTATTTCAAAAACTATCAGTCAAACCGCTTATTAAGCACATTCTCAAACGACATGCAGAACGTTAAATCTTTAAATTTTTAGTCACTTTTTCAATATACTGTATTAACTGCTCTTTATACCAAAGCATATATACTTATGTTTTTTTTAACACGACCGCAGGGGTAAAAGTGCGTGAGAGTACCTAAATCTGGTAATGTGTGCTGGGCGCTGGGCATATTCCAAAATTGAATGCAGTTTATTTTTGATTTTATGGATTTTCAATTTTTTCTAAACGCGAATATACAAATTAATATGCGGAGAATGCTTCAGAATATGGATTTCTCATCATTTCTGTTCAAACTGTCTTTCTCAACGATCAAAAAAAGAGCCTAAACCCTCATAAAATGAGACAATAGGACTAATACGCATTTTTTACATAATCAATTCAAGGATCAATATATGCGATCGTGCACATATATAGAAGGTTAACCCAATAAATGGAACAAATTTGGATATAATTTACAGTTTTTAGCAAGAAGTGTATGAATTTAAACTAGAATAATGGGAGATCGCTTATATTGTACAGTATGGCGCCGTACTACAGCATACAGTAGATATACAGCGTGTATGTAGAGGTGTATAAATTGTGAGGGAATTTTGAGGTTGCTTTGAAATTATCCCCATAATGATTGAATAAATTGATACACTATTAAAATTTCTGAGGCTTTTAGGAAATTTACCGTAGAAATTAAAAGGTACGGTATTACAGCACTGCATACAATAAAATGTGCCACGTTGCTGTTGTCTGGAATGCCAGGGGTTATTTATAGCTCGAGTGCTAAATCAGCACACGACACATCTGAAAAATTCCAAACAGCAATGAGGACTATGTAATCGAATCCTGTGGTGTTTTCAGAAGTACTCAGAAAAATAAATTGGCTGTATAAAAGTTACGCCTTGAAGAAGCTGCTGCGTTCCACATAATTTTTAGAAACTTTGCCGCACTCTACGAATTCATTTTCGATGCATGAAGCACAAAAATAATGTAAAAACCAAAGGTTTATCTTTTTTAGCTGCTGGTTTACAGCAAATACATCAGATCTCCCCATCCAGCAGGGATGAATCGATTTCACCTATCTTCATTTGGAAATTTAATTATATACGAATCAGATCATGTCAAGTTAGGACATAATTTGTGTGAGAGAATAAGACGTTGATAATGTACCCTCATGGCGGATTTATCCATGTTAACGTGTGTGTATATATAGAGACATTTTATTCAAAGAAATCAAAAGTGACCTGAAATTTACTATAGTATCTAAAAGATTGAAATCACTGCGAAGTTTAGTGATATTTAGCCCAGTTTTCAACGAATGTTTTTATGACATTTAACACTCTTCGGGCTTTTATGAAAATATTTTTGAATTTGATGGAAGAAAATGTTCTTTAGTTGAATGCTAAGAAAAATGTTTTTTGTATAATTACGCCGTCTTAATTATTGGAGCAAGCATCTCAATCGCTGCATGCATCCCTGAAGTGCGATATCCTGCTTGAACCTGGTTTCAGTAATTTCTTATACCTATTTATAATTCCCTTCAAGCCAATGATAGCTTGTTTCCCACGCATACACGTGGATAAATTACTCGCGTATATTCGGTCATATTTGCGAAACGTACAAAATCCTGCTGATTAATTCGTCACAGCAGTCGGAATATATAAAATTGAGATGCAGATCGTAGGGTCTGCGCTGCAATCTAACACACGTAAGATAATCGAATCATTCTCAATATGATTTTGAAGGCGTGTGAAACGGCAAGCAGAGTCCCCAATGTATTCGGATGAGCAACAGCAATACAGTAGTACTGATGAAGACAATTTCCTACCAGATTCATTCAGGTTGGACGAGTACCACACCGTTAAAGAGGTTTGCATTTTTGTGTTTTTGGTATTGAATCCTTAAAAAAAAAAAAACTCAGCATTTTGGTTGATTGTTTGAATAATAAACTGCATCTCTAAAAAATAAAAGAATATAATTAATGATTCCTTCGGGGAACCGCCCAGTGATAGAATTGGCCTTTTTTCAATTTTTGCTGATCATTTAGATTTTAGAGTTTTTAGACCATTAAAATAATTTCCAGATTTACGCATGGATGGAGGCAATGGCAAAGAAGCATCCAACCATGATGCGAACGAAGGACATTGGTCTGTCCTTTGAAAAACGACCTCTGAAAATCATAATCGTTGACCCTGGAAAGGCAGCAAGAAAGATCTGGATTGACGGTGGTAAGTTGAAAATCCCGTTTTCTCTCGTATTATTTGTGGCACTTTTTTTCAAGGACGACAAATTATGAAATAATATCCGGGGATACCCATTTTCAAACATAACAGGTATTCACGCGCGTGAATGGGCGTCAATAGGCGTCGCAACTCATTTCATTGACTCGTTGATATACAAATATGAAGAATACAAAGATGTCATTGATCGGTACCAATGGCACATCATGCCGGTCATGAACGTTGATGGTTACGCTTACGCCAAGAGCACAGTGAGTCAAACATTCTTGCCAACATCAGATTAAGTTATCATATAGCGCTAAATATTGGGAATATCGAAGGGAGCATTATTTGTAAGAAGATAGTCTCTGCTTTGGAAAACACATTCAAAATTTTTTATTAGCACCCTGCATGCAGACCCCCTTGCAACAGGTTTTTTTTAATTCAGCCATCACAGTATTGTCTATGACTCTAGTATAACTGAAATTTATCGCCTCGCCTTTATTCAGCTGCACGTGTAAGATTTATAGTATGAACGCAGCTCAGAATGATCTCTCACTGATTTATGCCGAAGCCAGAGTTTTAATCATCTTAATTGATGTTTGTGAAGTATATAACATTTTATATTGCTGATGCGGTAAATGCTTGAATTTTATAGAGGTTAATTTTGCACCATCATTATAAAATAGGAATAATGTACAAAATTTGAAAGCTCAAAAGGGTAGCATGGAAACTGCGGAGTGTGCATGTACTCGTATATTCAGCCAAATTTTTTATGTTATCTTATTTTCAATTGTAATTCAGCACTACCTTTCCGAGGTTCTCGCTCGCCCACTCTAAAAAATCTATTTCCAAAATTCACATTGCAAATATTATGCATTATTAAAATTTTTATACCCAGAAATGAACACTTTTATATTTAATTTACAGAATAAAGGACAACCATTTTTGAATTGTATTTTTTTATTCCACTTGCGTGTTATGTATACAATTGTTTTTGGGTTTGTATATACAGTACTGTGTACCAAGGATACTTCACCGTTTCTGTAAACTAATGTTTACGTACACTAGCTTAATTATTGGTTGAGTTTTTGAATCTTGTATAGAGGAATCCCGGAATTTTAAAAATTTGAGAAAATTAAGAAATGAGCATTCAAGATTGAAAAGAGGTAAACACTGTTGATGATGCTGCGTGAAAAAAAATTGAGAACATATGTAAATGCTTGATGCAATAAGTCATTTTTACAAGTTTTGAAACTTTCCACATCTTGGTATATATACGCGACGCTAATAATTATGGCACCAAGAAAAATTATGAAAATATAATGTCTTGAAATTCGGTGTCTACACATCCCCTATGCTTAAATATACTGTAATAAGATAAAATTACCGGGTTTACTTGAGATTGATGGGAGAAAACCTCGCAATAAATAATGGTCCGAAGTTTGCACATTACTTTTAAATCTCTATGAAAAGAATGTCGTGCATTTTTCCATCATGATGGTTTAATATGCTGTTCATCAATAAGTGGCTGCTGGAGGTTGAATACGCTTAAAATTTCGGAAATGTGCATAGACGTTTAACTATATTCTTCAAAAAGGATCGATTGTGGCGAAAAACAAGGTCGATGACGGACTCGGTTTTTGGCTGTCGTGGAGTAGATGCGAACAGGAACTGGAACTTCAGATGGAGACGTAAGTGCGTCACCTTCCTATATAGCGAATTTTTAAAAAAGTGGCATAGCAGTTCGCCATAAAATAGAATTAGAGTCGTGAAAAAAAATCGCAACGTTTCTGCTGAGAAGTTGGCGCCAAGAAAGACCCCTGCAGCGGATTGTACGCTGGTCAGTATCCGGAATCCGAGAAATGCGTTCAAGCTGTCGGTAAATACGTGAAAACGATGAGTTCCATGGGGAATGTGGTGGCCTTCATCACCCTGCATTCCTACGGCCAGCTCTGGATGTCGCCTTGGGGATATGCTTCTCTCTACCCGCCAAATTATGAAAACCTTGTGAGTTCATATATTGCGTCTAGAGTCTCGATTATTTTACACTTTTATAAAGGCTTTCCTCGTCGATATATATGTTTTTCGCAGTGCCTTTATCTTTCGAAAAATTACTTAATAGGGTCTCACATGTATCCGCAAACTCGCCTGACCTCGAATGCGTGATAGCTATGCATTATCAGCACGGAGATTGCATTCAAGAGTACTGCAAAGTACGATACTTTAAAATAGTACCCAATCTCTCTATATCAGCCGCAGTTTGTTTATTCTATAAGTTGGTATTTTATCTGACTCTTTTTTAACCATCTTTGGTCTTTGCTGGTCAGATTGCGATATAGGTCATTTCGTCAATGGCGATGTTATGTTAAGACAGTTTAGGTAAGAGATGAAGCTCGTTTCTTTTATTCTCAGTCAGTTCGATACTTCTGACAAAAAGTACTGTACCTCTCTGGAAGTTAAGAAATCAAGGTCAGACGTTGACTTCGCATATTTAAGTAGCTTGCTCCAGTAACGAACCGGAAAATAAGTGCGTCGTCCTGCTACACTTCTTAATTTTTCTCAACGCTCTTTTTCCCTTGAAATAAAATTTGACCTTATTGAAATATCGTATTTTTGTCGGGCGATATGTGATGATACATAACCAACACGACAAGAAAAAATTCCCAGCGTCTACCTCTTTTTATTTATTCTTCATTTAATTTAGGAAGGACAAATTCAAATTTTTGGGGCAATATTTTCGAGGAGCGTTTTATTTTTTTTTAGCGTAATCCTGATTTTTAAATACTGTATTGTAGAAATGAAGTATAATGCCCATGAAAATATATCTGTGAGATACACTAGCCTACATAACGTCTGTAATATTTTCAAGACTGCTTGACGCGAAAAGCTACTAAAGTACGGTATTACGATCTGAATAATAGCTGAGGAAATTTATTCGCGCCGAACGGTTTTCTATACCTAACGTCAAACTTCAAACTACTTGTTTATAGTCGATCAGAGCATTATTACAATCCAAATTTAATCTCGTTCTGAAACCACAATCTGCATATAGATGAGGGTTGCTGAAGCGGGAGTGAAAGCAATCGAACACGTCCATGGACAAAAATACAAATATGGAACAGCAGCTCAAATATCAGGTCAAGAATACTTCAGGAACCGTTTTGACTTGCGAAGCCTCTTGAGAATAAATTTAGCGATGGATCCCCTTAGACATGAATTTTGAAGAGGGTATTCATACCTTTGTGAGTCAAGGACAGTCTTCAAATGTTTGTGGGCTCTATATACAGCAATGTTCCCCCAGCCCGTGGTCCACGGACCCACGCCAGTCCAAAAAGAATGTTTGCCAGTCCGCGGGAAATTTTTAGCATATTAAATGTATCAAAAGTGGCTATATGAAGTCTGTTATCTTTACATCCATAATTTTGAAGGACAATGGCAGTTGAAATTATCCCCCAAAAAGTAAAAGTTGGCTATTCCCCTAATAACACTTAAGAAAAATTGTCCCCTGCTTAAGTAAATTATTTTTTATTTTTCATTCTGAGAAACCTTTCTTCAAGCTCATGCGTCTAATTTTTTATGAAATTCAGCTAAAGCTGATTCATTCGGGCGTAACTTAATTTTGCAACAAAAACATAAACTTTTAAATACCTACCATCATAAAGTCTTTCAAAAAACACTTTTTTGAGTCTGAGAAATTTTGAAAAACTCTGCTGGCTCAATAGACAATTTTTGGAAAACTTACTGATGATTCGCAAAACATTTTATGGAAATTCGCTGGTCCGTGGGCCCAAAAAGTTTGTGGAGCGCTGCTATATAAAGTAATTATTTTTTTGAGCCTATAAAATCTCAGCGCCTATAACTGCCTAGTAATATCTCAATTGTTCGAGCAGTACTTCTGTTTCTTTGTCTATTTCTATTTCTCCGATTATTCCTCCCCGTTTTTCGCAAGCGGCCGCGGATCCCCAGCAATAAGAACTCCCGGCTTGAGCCCTTATTTTGTATAGTCGACGACTCCGCTGAGCCATCGGTTAAATGACTTGAATAAGACCTTCGAATAAGCCAACATAATAGACAGAGGATTACGATGCATGAGGATCTGTATAGAATAATTTTTTTCATTGATTAATAAACAGGTCCAGCGTCAGGTTCGTCGGATGACTGGGCTTTCGCAGTGGCGAACATCCCGTTCGTCTACACAGTGGAGCTGCGAGACACCGGGGAACACGGGTTCTTGCTACCACCTGACCAAATCAAGCCCACCGGCGAAGAAATATTTTCCGGGATTTTAGCAGCGGCCGAGGAAATATCAAACATCCTTGATGGCGATTTACTAGGACCAGCGAAGTCCAACAGCAGTGCTGAAAACATGGATGATCCGCAGGAATACGACTGAATCGGCACGCGAATTCAACGAATCCATCGCTCACCATCATCATTGTGACCTTCTCTGCCTCTTTTATGCACACCACAAAAAGAAAGATAACCCCAAAAGAAGAACCTGGAGTCTGTGAAATTAATCAACTTCTCGGATTTTATTGGATATTTCCGAAAGCGTCAAATTTTTCGTCCGTCAGAGACTGACCTCAGTATACTGTACTGAGTATATACAGTATATAATATATACAGCATACCGTATATATTACTCGTCTGTAGAATTAATTTCGTCTCGCGGAAATGGCGAATACAGGATACGAAAATCAATTAAGCAGGCTTCTGTGGTGTGGTCACTCCATAAGCTCATGAAACACAGCGTGCCGAATAAAAAAGAATTTAACTTTCCCTTGATGCATCATGTATTGCTTCTATGTAAATGAGTTTAATGTTCGTCGGCTTCACGGACTGATTCCAGCCGGTCTCTTTTAAATGCGCCGCAGAGTTTCCATTTAGAGCAAACAACGGCGTCATTAACTGTCGGAAAGAATCGCTGGGCCGGAACGTCGTCCATAAAGTGCATCTTTCTGAACATGTGTAACACCGGCTCTAAAAAAGTTAATAAAAAATAGACTTTGACGAGCGTTTCATAGTCAAATTCACACGACACTTTCCTCTTCAATATGACGCCTGATCTTATGCTATAAAATGTTTCAGTCGGGTGCTGCTCCTATCTATAATTTCCAAATAGAATCATTAACCTGGCGTAGAGCGAGTATATAACCTATTCATCTGATAACGAACCGTATACTGTATAATATACACACATAAACTAACTTCGACCAAATAAAAAGTTAACTAAGTTGGACCACACTATATACATCATCATTATATGCATTAAGAATCTCTTAGAAAGTTTGGCAACAAGTCACTAACGAAAATACTTATTACACTTGAGAGTGTAAATTGAAGAATCTTTTTAAAAGTGTTGCAATAAGTCACTATCGAAAATAATTTTTGGTTTAAAGTGTAAATGGATGAAACCAGCTGGTATACGCGTCGTCTCACTTATCCTGACTTAACCTCTCAACTTTTTAAAATAATAACACCATCTACAAACATTTTAGATATGCTAAAATATTTAAAGAAATGAAGTGTTACTTCGTGTTATTTTGCGCGGGTATTGAGTATTAAGAAAACCCTTAAAGATGGCATGCTTCAGTTATTAGAGATGAACAGAATCGCCCTATCCTCAATCTAAAAAAAAAATAATATTAACAATAATAAATGATGCCCACAAAAATGTTGAAGTCACGCCCGATGAGAGTTTAAAATTTGAGGCTTTTCGTTACATTGGCAGTTTTTCGTATTTTTGCTGTTTGTTTTGTGGGTCACCTGGAAACGCATTAAAAAATTAACGAACAATTGTGGGCTCTTCAAAAAAAAAAAAAACCTTCCCCGAAGAATTAATGTGTTTTCCGAATTCATTTTTTTTCTGTTTGTATCTATTGAAATATATAGGATGTGATCAAGCCTCTTTATAATGCCAAAAATAAGTTGCTGAAATTAATGCCCATACATTCAATGATGATTTTTGGGTGATCTGAAGAAGAAAATTTATCATTCACGCGAATGAAATCGAGGAATTGTAAAAATCGGACGTTCAGCAACACTCAACACCTATAAGAACACTTGCGCAATAATAGAGTCAAAATTCGGTAATTTAAAAATAATTGTGGCTATTGAATTATTTTCGAATAATTAAAAACGATCTACCTCTCGTCCCGGCAAAAAGGATCTTGACGTTGATCATGTCGTAATCCAGAACCAGCGATTTGAGCAACTTCACGCCGGCCATGTCAATGAAGCTGATCCCGCTGAGGTCGATGAGTAAATACCGGAACGGAAGCGGATTTCCGGTCGTGTCAATGTGAATGCTGCTCCGCCTCAAGCGCAGTCCCGTCGACGCCGGTAATGCCAAACTATCTCCGACCGTCACGCCTCCGGAAAGGGATTTCACGTCGATCTTGATTTCTCTAATCTCCGTCAGTCTACTGCCCGTCTTCACCTGATGATGAGATAAAGGAAATGACTTTGCAATAAAGAATTCGGTTTTTTTTGGATAGAAGGAAACATTCAACGTCAATGATGTTCATCTACGTATATGGGCTTCATTTATCGGGTACATTGAACCTCTCTTATCGTCTAATAATTGAAGGGACTTTTTTTTTTAAACGCAGAACTTTAAAATTGGGCTTCATTTGGGTAGGTTAATCAATGCAAATTAACGTATTTTCGGCATACATTATTCAAATTGATTATTATCCATAGATCTTCTGCCTGCATGAATAAAGATGCCAAATTCTCCATATGGAGATCACGAAAAATCGTTTGCATAATTTTTTTTTCAGAACAGGTGTTCTATATCTAAAATGCAGCCCCGATTTAATAACGAAAAGGTGCATGAAATTTTACTGGAATAGATTTTAGAACTGTTCCTAGTAAATTCATTTTTCCAAAATGCACGATATACTGCATAATTATAGCGAATATAGCGAAAATAAAGCATACATTTTGAGGACAATAGTTTCCATGATTTTTGAAAAACCCCGCGTTCATCCTAATTGATTCATTAATAATTCCTCAATCTTGAGCAAATTAAATTTTCCTTGATATATTTTTTTCTGTCCTCATTTAACCTCGCGATTCTTTGTGTTCGTAATTCTGTTTTGAGATGAAACGCAGTTATTGTTCATAAAAAAAAGCATGCTTTGGCGCAATAAAAAATTCAGTTCCGTTCGATATGTTCTTTGCAAAAGTCACATGCCGGCAGCTTTCTGCTCTTCACTCAAAATATGAGGTGCCCTTCTCGCATTTTTTTTGGTACTAGCCCAGCTTTTCCTTCAGAATTCGTAACATCTTTTTGGTGATGAAGAGCATAAAGCTGTCATAATGGCTTTTGCAAAACTTTTCTGAAAAGAGACTACGACAAAGAGGACTACATTTTTTGTTCCTGTGCCAAAAAATACTTTTTTCTGAACAATAATAATTGTTTTTCAAATCAATTGCATGTGCTGCTTCAATCTCTATTCCAGGAGCAATTGCTATAGACCAGTGTTCCCCAACTTGTGGTTCGCAGACTGGCACTGGTCCGCAGAAGTTTTTTTGCTGGTCTGCAGGAAATTTCTGCAGCACAATGATTTTATCAAAAGTAACAATGAAGTCTGTCATCTTCATGTCAAATTCTGGAAAGACAATGACGGATAAAATTATTTGATGAACAATTAAAGTTGGCTTTTCTCTTAATGACACTTCAGAAAAATTTGCATCGCTGAAGTAAATTCTTCTGATTTTCTCATTTTGAGAACCCTTCTTCAGGGCCGCCTTTTGTTCAAGACATAGCTGCTTCATCGGTTCTTAATTTTTCAAAAAAGCAGAAACTCTTCAAATACCCGATAAAGTCTTCGAATCAAAACTTTTTTGAGTCTGCAAATAATTTTGAAAAACTTTGCCAGTTCGCGGAAATGTTTTGGAAATTTGCCAGTCCGCAGAAAATGTTTACCAGTCCACAAAAAGTGTGTGCCATTTTGCCGGTCCGCGGGCCCAAAAAGGTTGGGGAACACGTGCTGCTATATAGACGCACCCCTCGTATATGTGGGGAGAATATGGAAATTAGGTGAAAATGCGCTGGCACGTCGTTGCTACCTCGAATTCAAATGATTCTCCTTCATCGCCACAAGTACTCACGGATCCGGAAGCGAAGTTATTTTTGGAAGCAGCAGCAGCAGCAGCAGATGCAGGCATGTCCTTCTCGGAAATGACGTGGCTTTCCGTGCCCTTTTCCTCCTCGTCGTCGCTGTTGGCGTCATTCCTGGGTCCGCGGAGGCACCGGGTTACGTAGGTGGTTTTATTCCTGCGTCTTTCGGGTTCGTCCCCGACGACGGATAAGGCCGCCAGAAGCAACCTGAGGAACCTGACGGAGAAATCAGCGAAGTACCGAACAAACACGGTGAACTGGCCCAGGTCTAGGCAGTTAACGTCGTTCTAAAGCGCCTTCATTAGCCGGTTGGCGAAATGCAATCCGGAGCCGTAGTGGAAAATCTTCACGTTGTGGATTTCTTCCGCCTGAGTGGGGACACAAACACGATAGGAACATTTGGTAACATCATGTCATCTGACATCAGCATAATGGAGTTCTAAATTTGGCAATGGTAAATACAGTAACAGCATTTTGCCTTCTATAAACTGTACGCACTGTAAATATACAGTTTTCAGCACGCACTGTACAAACATATTTCTAGCAATCTATAATTTCATATGACGAGAATGTTTGAAATTTTCCCTGAATTTTTACGTCAGCATCAGCGTGGCGTACGATTCTCAACAATGATCAAACGACATCGTCAGAAAAAGACCATAATTTGTTTGGTTTTTGCCAATTTTTTTTTATCCCGGTCGAGCCATTTTTGTGGCATTAAATCGGGTGTTTCCCTGAAGAACGCAATCAAAGGAAGATTTTTTTACTAGGGAATTTGTGGTACGATCAAAAGGTGGCACTGAATTGCGNTCCTCGTCGTCGCTGTTGGCGTCATTCCTGGGTCCGCGGAGGCACCGGGTTACGTAGGTGGTTTTATTCCTGCGTCTTTCGGGTTCGTCCCGCTGCTGCCTATTCCGGCGGTCTTCGTTGGACTCCTTGGACTGCCTCTTTAGTCGCTTCATGGCTTGTTTGTGCCACTTGACCGGGTCCAGATCCGTCAATTGCAGCAAGATTTCGCGGAAGTAATCGCGGTTGGCGAAATGCAATCCGGAGCCGTAGTGGAAAATCTTCACGTTGTGGATTTCTTCCGCCTGAATGGGGGACACAAACACGATAGGAACATTTGGTAACCTCATGTCATCTGACGTCAGCATAACGGAGTTCTAAATTTGGCCATGGTAAATACAGTAACAGCATTTTGCCTTCTATAAACTGTACGCACTGTATATATACAGTTTTCAGCACGCAGTGTACAAACATATTTCTAGCAATCTATAATTTCATATGACGAGAATGTTTGAAATTGTCCCTGAATTTTTACGTCAGCATCAGCGTGGCGTACGATTCTCAACAATGATCAAACGACATCGTCAGAAAAAGACCATAATTTGTTTGGTTTTTGCCAATTTTTTTTTTATCCCGGTCGAGCCATTTTTGTGGCATTAAATCGGGTGTTTCCCTGACGAACACAATCAAAGGAAAGATATTTTACTAGGGAATTTGTGGTACGATCAAAAGGTGGCACTGAATTGCGAGGGTACTTTATTCACTCGAATATCGGACATCTAAATCTGCAAAAATTTGCTGAATGGAGTTCAATTAATCACTTACGTATTGACTCAAATGGGCGTTGGTCGGTATTTTCTGTTTGCGAGTCAATAAGAGTGTACAAAGAAGCCAATCTTTTGAATAAAAACCAGGTTTAAAATCCAACTAACGAATCATTTTACCATTTTAAATTCAAGGACACTACGAAGGTTGGAATCGCGATTTCTACTAGAAGAGTGCGAGGAGCTTAAACTGTCTACATGTATCAGCACGAATTGAATCCATGATGATGGATGTCTCTGCTTCTGAATATCGTGAATAATTTGTTTCTCACATCCACAAGCCAAACAATTTTTTTTAGGAACCCACGTTAAACATAGAGGCGATTTATGCCGCCTCACATTCATTCGGGTAAATCAATCAATATAGGTCAGTGTTTATCATTTTCGCATCATATCCGCTGAATGAGTTGACTTTTTATGAATTCCGAAGGAACTTACGGCACCTATTGCTAAATCGTGATCTAGGTGCAGAAAGCCCCCGAATGATTGATTTACCGCAGAAAATCGTTCCTTGTCCACGTAGATCCCGTATGAGTTGACTTTTTATGAATTCCGAAGGAACTTACGGCACCTATTGCTAAATCGTGATCTAGGTGCAGAAAGCCCCCGAATGATTGATTTACCGCAGAAAATCGTTCCTTGTCCACGTAGATCCCGGTGTTGGGTATTTCGCCAAGCAAGCAGGCATACGCGTGTTGATTCCGCCACAATAAGGTGACGAGTGAGACTGCGATACCAATGGCCAGTCCGTAATCGATGTCGATGCCTACCACCGACACGAAAGTGGAGAACCAGATCAATGCGTCCAACTTGCTGCTTCTCCAGGCTTTTGCCAGGTCCGCGAACTGCACAAAGAGTCCTTTGAGGGAAACTATAATGATTGATGATAGGATGCACTGTAAAAAAAAGTAAAAATAAAAAAGAGTGAGAGAAAAATAAGAAAAATGTCTATACTGCACTACGTATAGGAGCCTCGCATGTCTCCATCTTTTGTTCGGGAATTTCGGAAAATAAACTATACAGAGCAAAATAGGAAGAAACAAAGCTTCGGAGCATTTTTGTTCGATAATTTTGTAAAATTTACCTTGTAGATCCAGAAACTTAGTTCGACATTGTTTGATCAAGGCACTTTTTCAGTTCTATCGATGCAAGATTCGAAACATTTCACAATAAACGCCAATTTATGATCTTTTGTCCCTCTGAAAACTTTACTTCACCTGCTCAATTATCATTGATTTTTTTCAAATATAATTGATTTTGAAATACTTTACGTTCGAAGGAGGGAGTGAACTTCGGAAATTTAAAAATTAAACGATTCCTCATTTTTATCGTCTATGAGAGGAATATTTTAGCGCTGAATATTTTTAAATTCCAGAAACGTTGGATTAATTCAAACGATCCGTTAGGGGGATCATCTCATGTGAACTTCCACATTTTACCTGAAATTATATAAGGGAAGGTTGAAGATTAACCCTGCGTTTAGAAATCAGTCGTTTCCCATAAGAATGAGAAAAATGTGTGGTGCATTTATGCATCTATTTCAAGGTCATCGGGTATTTTTGTATTATTTTTAGTTTTAATAGATGATTAATTTGAATCGTCTGCACGCATGATCACTAAAGCATGAAAAATTTCATAATTAGCTTTGCATAGCATAATTTTGCATGGGTTTTAATAGTCACATTAGAACTACTGCATCTTTATATATCTCAATTCTTTAATCCCTGCACTACAATATTTTTGCATCACGTTTTGCGGAATAATTGTGCTTACCTTTGGTAGATTTTCGAAGAATGGTCCGAGGTACAGAAGAATCACTAGTATCAATGCTGCCGAAATTCCGCTGGAAAGCTGCGTCACCCCGCCAACTGCTTGCTGGATCAAACTTCTAGAAAGTGACGCAGCACTCGGAGCGCATTGGAACAGCGAACCGAGTATGTTCGAAAGACCCTGCGCATATGAATTTCCCACATTTCACTTTCAATATCACACCGATAGAAAACAAAAATCCCTTGAAAATGCATTTCACACAACATTTGCATAAGTATACTTCTCTGTCACATCACTCCTCTAGTCTAAAGTATAGGGAAGACAAGTCAGCACGTACGTGAGCGAGAAGTTCCTGGTTAGCGTCAACAGTGTAATTCAGCCGCTTCGAAAATATGATGGCCATGGAATGCGACGTTGTGAAAGCCACAATTGCAATGACCAAGGATCCGATGAGAACGTCATTCATGATCTCAAACGGAGGTGTTTCTGGGGCTGGAATCCTGCAAACAGTATTTTCTAATCCAAAAAATTAAATCACGATTTCGAATAAATTCGAATCCACGCACCCCGTCGGAATGCTGCCAAGGATCGGCAATGCGTAGCGTTCGTGAAGTTTCATGAAGTAGGAATACAAGGTTCCGCCGACAACAGCAATCAATTCTATCGGCACAGGGAACCTACAGCGCTTCGAAAGCCATGGCTGTTGAAAACAAAATAAGTAAATAAATAGTTTTCGAATGTCAGCTACAATATATATAGATTCAGAAAACAAACACCAACCTTTATAAAATCATTATTGACTGCCAATGCCCCCATGGTGACAGCAGAGACGAGCAGGGCAACGACGTTTGATTCGAAAATATGGTTGATGATGTGCAAATGGACCTGTTATATTTTCCATCAAAAATATGAATTCATCAAATTTTATGGAGCAAATCATATATGCAGCAGTATACATTCGAAAAAAAAATGTAAGGGGGTCGAGGTCAAACAATCAACATTTTTCCTTTTTTAATAAAAGAAGTTTCTCGTGCTTACCCGCATCAGTTTGGGGAAGGCCGTGATTCTTGGCACAGGGATTCCGAATATACCTTTCAATTGTGAAGTGAGAATGTGAATGCTCGCACCTGTGGTCAATCCACTGATGAGCACGTCTGACAGCAACACTGACAACGCACCGAGTCGCATAAGTCCCATCAGCAGCTGTTTATCAACAGAGTAAATATATACAGTAGTTCAAAAGCAAACCATGAATTCTTTTGCAGTTGTTTCATATGGAGGGTTTCAATACAGACGACCAAGAGGAGGCGCGAGGTTGGATTAGATCATTAGAAGAAAGTACATGTGCATTATTCGGGCACAATCAGTGACTTTCTCATTACAGATATTCTCGTTTACAATTTATCGTTCCAGTTTTGTTGGTCTCGTAGACAACATGGACCTATATAAGATAATAACAAGCAGCGAAATTCTGGGGAAACAGCTGGGTTCTAAAATAGATGGGCACGAACAGCTTGGAAAATTATTGAGGTCGCGGAAAATTCCCAAGGCCGATTATAGATTCATTTCGGCCAACTTTTCCAGACTTGACAGATGCAAAAAATTATTATCTTTCGTCAAGTAAATGTAAGACATCTTATAGATTCGCATAGCGCACTACTCCAGCAATTCTTTTTCCGCCTTTACAGAATTGACGAATATATAGGGTACATCATACTACTGCATCAAAAAACCAGTATTTTTACATAATATATGTGGGTGAAACATTCCCCTTCATTTCGAGGAACATTTTTGTCGACAGTTTAGATTACTTCGAACAGGCAACATTTTTCATTAGTTAGAAGTTCTGTATTCATCCGTACATTGGACAACAATTTGTGCAACAGAATTCTTTCATCAGGAGCACTGTTTACTACAAATGTGCGCAAGTTTTCTTCTCGATGAACTGCCAGAATTTTGCAAAAGAAGCTTAGCATTTTTCTGACAATTCAATTCGTCGCACTGAATTTATCTTATATTTGTTACGGAGGGAACAAAATTCTTCCAACAGCTCATATACATACAGGACATTTCCTTCAGCATTATAAATACATCAATAAGGAAGAAATTAAGTCTACTACTGTATCTTTATCTGAACTTTCAGAAAGACAAAGGCAGTTGAAATTATATGATGAAAATAAAAAGTGGATTTTCTCCTATCATTACTTCAGATAAATTTTCACCAGCTGAGATGAATTACAGGTATTTCAAGCACTGTATTCATTCTGAAATAACTTCCCTGACCCTGACACGCAGCGGCAAGGCTTTCTAACTTTTTTTTTAAATTCCACTATTGCTGCTTCATTGATTCTCAACTTATTTCTTGCGATGAATGAAAGTTTCAGTTGGAAAATGTCATGGCAGGTATTTAAAATATGTCCGCCAATCTGCAAAAAAAATTATGGACATTTTCTGGTCCGCAAGTCCAAAAGGTGGGAGAACACTGCATATATATTGTACACTGCTTATTCCGACGGAACACGGAAAACTTCTGTTGTACACTGTCGGGTCGATAACAACAGATAATTAGAAAATGAAGAGGAGTCACGTTCAGCCTTTGATGGCCGGATCCTCCGAAAGGGAGTCCCTTAAAGCAGCACACTTTAATCTCAGACCCACAGGCAACTGCAGAAGGAAATCTACAAGACTTTCAGACACTTGTACATGTCAATCAGACAAGACAGAGCTCTCAGAATCAATAACCGCTGTTGGGCAATCCAATCCAAGAAGTGAAGTCTTTGGGGACTTTGCTGGGCTTTTGCCGCCTTCCTGATCATTATCTTTAATCACCATCAGGTTTGCCGCATTGCAGTAAACCGGGTGCCAATCCGCTTCCAGGTCTGTGGGCCACTACGTTGGACATTGGCGTGCCCAAGCAAGGATGCTGCACTCAGGTCATGCCACGTGGATGCAACCCCACATACACTGCTATACTTGAATGCTTGTTTATAATGGACTTTGACCTTTTATTAAAATATAGATTCGTTCGCCCCCAGCAAGCAAGCACTAGCTGGGAATTGAGTTAGAAAGTTGATCTCGAAATCGGTGTCAATTAATTTAGGTTGCGAAAACGAAAAGGGATTTGAAAGTGAGCAAAGGAAAGCTTGGGAAATCATCATCATCTCTTCATCATCAACATTGTAAGCAACAGCTGCATTATATATATATGATGCTGGAGCCCACCTGCCACATGCCGACGCAGAAGGCGACAAGAGCAACGGTTTGAGCTTGAGCGTAACGAACCACGGGTTCTCTCTTGGGGCTGCTTTCGTTGCTCAAGGTTCCTAAGGGGAAACCCGAATTTCTGCTCATATGCTGCTGATCTTCGAACAAGGTCCCTGGAGATGCTCTGTTGTACTTCTCCGTGACCTCCATTGCCAAAGTCCCGGTCATTAGGAGCACTACTGCGAACGTTCCTGTATTTAGCAAAGGGCGTAGAGAATTTATTGCTCATAATTCTGTGAAGAAAAACGACGGATGTCTGGTTTATTTTAAAGGTAATTTCGAGTTATAATTATAAGAGAATACACGAAAATCTCGTCTTTATTATCGCGGGTAATTTCCGGAGGATTTTTTCGTTCTACTAAGAGTTTATCTACAGCGATGCGCTATTGAAAAACAGAGAGAAAATCTTTTTATAAAAACCACCTGTAAGGGAGAATGTTAAAAATCGTATCTTTGTTAACATGTTACTAACAAAGTAATGTATATACACACAAATTATCATGAGTCCTCTAGAGGGTCGACATAATCACGATGAACTGTTTGCCGTTTTAAAAAAAATTCTGTCTATATATATATGTACGAGTACAGTAGCATTTTTGGCAGAAAACACAAATTGAACATTTTTCTTGAGAATCAATTTAAGAAACTTTTAAAGTAAACAACACAAAATCCTCCTGAGAAAGGATTTTTATTTTGTAAATGTCGTAATATAACCATCATCAAAGTGATAATTTGAAAATGTTCATCGAAAGAAAAAGACAGGAAGGTTAATTACTCATATTTCAAGATACGCATAACTATAAATTGTTGAGAGCAATATTTGGATGAACCACCTATTATCAGCAAAAGAGAACATACTTTTGGAAAATTATCCTGGATTCCCCCTTCGGCTCTCGAAACTGCTAATCAGTGATTCCAAAGCAAAAAAGTCATAAATGGTAAACTTCAGCAATATATTAAATGGGCTATGAAAGGAATTCTTCAAATTTCAAACTACTGTATATGGGAGCTAAAAAAAATACCACTCAAATTTCTCATTTTCTCTAGTCAATACAATCTAATTTTAGGCTATGCACAAAAAAAATTCTTTAGACTCTCGAACGGTCCACTTTTTCACCGGCGGAATCCGACGTATGTGTCAAAATCCAAAAAGAATCGAACACGGTAATTGGTGATCCGCGATGCTTGAGGAGAGGCTGACATATTTTTATTACACAAAAAAAAAACAAGTATATTACATTTAAAACTTCGCACAGCTTCTTATAGAATTATGAGTCTGAGAACGTATTCCGCATCAGAAAAAAGTACTGTATACTGTATTAGAATTTCTCCAAAATTTATTTCAAAGAACATTACAGTATTCAATTCTAAAGGTATTGCACATTATAACTATAGAAATACTGCGTTAATATGCATTGACATACTGTAGTGTACCGTAATTCAGAAGGAATTCACAGAGAAATTCTGAAATTTCAGCTTAAAGTCAGCTTTTGGAGTCATCGAACTGCAGTACCTTGCATTACGTTTCGGACTTTCGGTTATCGATTCAACCTCTGCTGTTCACGAACATCAAGACATATTAAATGATACTTGTAATAAGAAAATATGGATGTCGTTACTTTTTTTTCAGCCGTATATATCAGTACTGTGCGTACTGCACAGTTCTTCGCAACTACTGTATAATACTGTATACAGTACTGCTAATACTGAAGTATGCACCAATCAAACCTCCGAAATGAAAAGGAGCGACTATAGTCGAGAATTTTTATAGAAATTCTGAGGAATTTCAGAAAATTTCTGAGGAAAAGATGTCCCCGCCCAGATGATCCGCGAGAACAGGGCGAGGTCGAGGAAGTTCCTCGCACGGCTCCTACATAAATAACTTCGTCGCGTGACTCAGCCAGGCTCAGATGATACTTTATGACTGCAAATTTCTCTTTTCCCGGATTATACAGATACAAAATGGGTAATAAAAGAATTCTTGAGCAATGCGCCATCAGTGGAGTCATTTCGCTTCAAGGTTGAAGCCCCTCTTTAAACGCGTGTCATACAGTAATCCATTTTTTATTGGCGAGGAAACGCAAAGCAAGCATGAGACAGAATGGGCATAAAAATCGTTTACTCTCACGCATTCGAGCTGTGTAGTGAAGAAAAAAATTAGGTACATACGCGTGCAATGCAGTACTTGGAATTGTCTCGGGAAAGCAATAAATGAAACGTTTTGATCATTTTAAATGGATTCTTAGTACAGTACCAACTGAGTTCACAAGCACAAGGGGCAAAATCACTTACCGACTGAATTATGTTTCGACGTGCTGAAAATCATGTAAATCAGAACAGGGAAGAATGCCATGTATAATCCGTTGACGGGCTCTAAACCAGCCAGTAAAGCGTACGCCATCCCTTGAATGAAAATATATGAAACATATGTCAAATCGATATTATACGATCAATATTTGGTTCGAGAAAATATGACTGAGAAAATGAATAAACGTATGGCAAGGAAAAACTGACAACTTAGCAAATTCCTTCCAATAGAAAAATATTTCCGGAGACGATCGTCAAATAAACACAAAAACCGCCTATACAGAAAACATTCTTGAAAATGTTTACTAAAAGTCTCTCACGAGGAAAGCATACAAAATTACATAACTGCATAAATACTATTGTGAATTGTGCAACATGCAAGAGTCAAGAAAATAATGTAAGCAGAATATTGCAGTAAAATGTTCAATATAACGACATTTTCAGGAAGATTGTTTCCAAGTGCTGGTTAAAACTGCATCAAAAACATTATACGTTTCATAATTCAATAGTGAAAAATCATCAAAGTCGACGAGAAAAATCTTAAGTAGTACAGGGCTATACTACTCGATCGGAAAATATTTCTTCTTATAGCTCTAAATCATTATAAAGCAGATTGAATTTAATATTTTACCAACGATTTTCATAACCATATTTCCAATCAATGACAATAATACAGAAGAACCAGCAGCAGTTTGTGAATACTGTATAGGAAATGGCAAATGTACTTTATATTAAAGACATTGCACCTGTTCTCGAGAAAAAAACTTCTGTTGGTGCATTTGCAAAATTTGTAAGCGTAGAAATTTCGTCTCATGCTAAGACATAATAGTGTACAGTATATAGCAAATGATGAACTCGAAAATCCAGCAAACAATTGAAAAGATGCCATGCTGAGGTCGTTCATATCAAGATTTTTCTTTTTAATCATAGGTTATATGAGATGTCAGAAGGACATGACACTGTTCCAGCTTCGTTAAAAAAAATAAGCGCATACCTGCTGATTTAAGCTTACAAAACACTTTGAATACCTCAAAAAATGTGCGAGTATGTATCCATGGAATACAGTTCAGAATAATTCCTCCATCGATACAAGTCCCCGTGAGTTATGAGTACCGCGTATATCGAGATTTTCTTAGTACTGTACTGAAAATCTTTAAATGATATGCGCGTCATTGCAAAAAGTTCACTGCGAATCAGCACGTACAAACCTGCGCATAAATTATCCGCTGCGTGCTTTTCTCACTAGCTGCGTAATTTTCTGTGGAGTTGGTTGTAATACCGTACCGTGATCCATTCATAGAACAGCATCAACGGAATCAAATGCTGGCGATGAAATACAGTATAAAGCTGATTGAAAGTGTTATTCATCCGAATATTTCTATAATAAAGATGTTGTACCTCATAATATTCAGGAAATATTTTAAGGCTCACTCATTCGAATTAACCTCTTTCGTTATCTCGTAAGGAAAGTAAGAAGCTACGTTGCATGAATTATCTTAATCTGGCAAACTTCATCTGGAAATGAAACCTTTTTTCTATGCAACCAGCAGGGTTTCGCAAGAGATTTGCTTGACTTACTCTCCATAATACGCAACTAAACAATATTTTAAAATAATAAACCGATGCCTGAGTGGAGTATTTTACAGAAATATTTGATCCATGCCATCAAGGCATAATTAATTGAAGCCAATTGTATTTTATTAATTTAGACGTACGCTTTATCTTATGGTTTTTAGTTAATTCCGTGTATGACTATCACATGGATTGGGAGGGTGTTTATCAGCCTGCGTGCGCTGTGGATTTTCTTGAATGATTAATTGGTTATGCAATACTGTATACAGTATAAGGTGTGTTCAAGTTATATATTCGTCTTTAAATGTAAACAATTATTCACAAGCCTGCGGGCGAATCGAACTGAATTGTTTACATACTGTACTTTGGAAGACACTCCTGTTCTGGGGAGCTGAAATATGCCCCCCAGAATCTTTTATTTTTACCATTCATAATGTCCATTCTGCTGAGAAAAGCATCTCAAAATCTTATACACATATTCTCAAAAACCACTGAAGAATTGCTCCAAATTCTGCACAATAATGGAAAAGTTTTGTTCGGTTGATATATCCTGCTGTTCGCTATTGAAATAAGGCGCGCGGAACTAGGACGATATTTAAACAAAGCATTGTTTCAAAATTCGTCTGTTGCTGGTTGCATCAATATAAATAAATCCATGGAGGGAGATCATAAAAAATTGCATGACCGATTGGAGCAATATTTTATGCTACTGCGATACAGTACTTCCAACTGTTCCCGGCTACGGTATATCGAGCACATGAAGTACAGTATATCCATCTGCAGTATAGTATATTCTATTCCATAGTTGAAGAAATCCCAGCTTGAATACTGGTCTACTTATTTTTTCCGGCCTAACCGCGTGAAAATCAATCCTTGCATTTTCAGACCAACAAAATGTATCCATTTTTTTGTTGTTGCTAAAATTCAATGACGTTTATCTTTCTGCCCGAATTGCTTTCTATGCAGTCAGTGGCGGAACTCTCACACCCACGCGGTGGCTCTGAGCGTGCGAAAAACGCCAACCTGGTTGTTGTTGATGGATGGATTTTATTTCCTCTCGAGAAGTCGAAACACGCGTACTGTACACATACGAGGGTTGGTTGATAAGTTTGAGACTTCTGAAACACTGTAAATCCAACAGAGTTTCAACAATTCAAAAAAAAAATTTACTCGAGTAGTCCCATCATTTGTCAACACTTCAGTGCTGCTCAACGCAGTCTCGGCCGAATTTAACGAATTTTTCGATGAGATGAATCCAATGATTACGATAGTGCCAAAAATCGAGTTCCGTTAGTTGATAAATGGCACTCATGTGACTTTTGGCTGTTCTCGACGGTGAAGAACGACCTGAAAGGAATTCATTGTTAGGACATGGAGAGCCTCATTCCCGCCGTCGAAGAGCAGCTTATAATCAACGACCATGTCAATTTTTGGCACTGTTTTAATCGTAATTGGATTTATCATCGCATTAAAAAATGCATTAATATCAGCAGAGTATGTTAAACAGAACTGAAGTGTTGCCAAAGGATGGGGCTATGCGAGTAAAAAAAATGTGGAATCATCGGAACTCGTCTGTTATTGGATCTAAATTTCAAAATGTCAACTTCTGAACCAACCCTCGTATATTCGTTTAGCGTGAGCGTTGATTGCGCGGCGTTTGTGAGCAAGACGGATGATGACGCAAGGGAGAAAACAGAAAATGAAAGTTCAACTGTTTCTTTTTATTGCTTTGTTTTTTAAAGAGAAAAACCTTGGTTTACTCACTGGTGGATTCCTTGCCGTGATAATCGTACGAAGAGAGGAATTCATCCTGCGTGAAAGGCGATCGCTCGAGTCGGATTGCGATGCTTTCGCGGCGCACCTCACTTGCTGCATCCGCCGTTGACCCCGTCATTGCTGCTGATGGAGCTGCTGCGTCGGAGACTAATGCTGCTGGCATCGTTCTCTATCTATACTTGTTTTCCACGTTTATCTCGATGTTGGTACGTTGTTCTCGATGCGGCTCTTGGTGGGGTGTTGGACGTGGCGCCGTTTTTGACCTGCGAGACGCCTATGAACGTATACCAACAGCTTCGCTCTTTAATGGACGATGCTGATGGATTATTCGAGACGCCAGCATGCACTGATAATATTAGCGGAGAATATGTATGATTTTCTTTCCTGATTTAGTCAAGTTCCTTTACGAAACACCATCTTGAGACAAAGGGAAATGAGGATTAAAATACGGCGGCAGTCGCAATCATTCGACATTATTCGAACGCGTCTTCTAGAAATTGACACCATCATGACGAGCAAATGCAGGGGCGGAACGAGGAACAGCATATTGCATATACAAAGGAACAGCATATTGCATATACGTATAGTATCAGAGAATATACAACAGGATGATGGATCAAATAAATGTCGATGAGAAAATCTGAATAAAAATTGACATGGTTGGTCAAAAAAGTAAATATTTACAATACTGTATAAGTGTATGCATGACAAATCCTTCACATAATTGGATTCATCAATGTCATGATTTTTTTTCCCCGCCGCAATATACTCGCTATCTCTTTTGTAATGGGATCAAGACGAACTATCCTCATAAATAAATCCCCGGGTATTTTCTCTTCATCCCCGACGCTTTAGATTTCTGATTATCCCTAAAAATGTTACCACGAGTAGTCCCATTACGGGTGAAAAAAGGGATCACTACACTGAAATGTGAAGGCATCCGATCTTGAACTTCCTCTGTATATATACTGTACGTGCATAGCTTCCTCTTTAATTCCTCTTATACACAGTAAAAATTAAAAACTTGCTACAGAAAGGAACTGCGTTGGGGCATACATGATATGAAGTTCCTAATACACCCGCCTTTTTCTCATTGTCACATTTTTGGTGGATACGAAATAATATTCGGGCATTGAAAATGGTCAGCAAAAAACGATTGAACAATGCGTTAACTGTATAAATGCCTCGCTCTTCCAAAATGAAATATAGTTTCATTTTGCCCAGCAAAAATTTTCAGCTGAACAGCGAAACGGCGCTGAGGAGTTATATACAGCCATCACCGTAACACACGAAGAATCTATCCACCACAATCCCTCGCAGCAACAGCTTCTTTGATTAAGACGAAACTTGATTGACACATCAGTATACACATAATGCCTCATATACAATATAGAAATTGCACGATGATCAGAACATACTGAAGCAGAGCATTTCTCATCCTTTTTGGTCTGGTGATTTAAAATGGTTTGAGGACTGCGTTTTCGGAACAGCACATCGTTTATTTTTGTCCATGGATTGAAATTACTTCCCCCAAAATCGATGGATTTGTCATCTTTGATTGCTCAACTTCCCATTAAAATTCCATGATATTGTTCACAAACGTAGACTTCATGCATTACTCGTGTGTTCAAAATTAGCATCCGTCATGAAGCTTTTTCAAAAGCTAGCCTGAACGCTGCGAAGTGTTCCGGATATATATTGAACAACTCAGGATAGTCAGGAGCCTTTTGGTTGTAGCTTTCAGCATCTTTTCACAAGCGAGTTGGCCGCAGAGGCTGAGCATTCAGAAATAATACAGTACAGTGTTTAGAATTGATGCCTCACGTAAAATGACTTGGAACTTTTGGAAGTTATATTGAACTGACGAACAAAATTTCGTCGTATTATAAAAACGTATATGATCGGAATGGGCAAAAATAAACAATTGTTACAGCTGCCAATGGAACCGCTCCAGTGAATTGTCCGCGATGTGATCACAGGTGAAACCCACTTACAAAACTGAGGATCCTTCCACCCACACAGACCATTTGCGTCGCATAATCCAAAAAATGGTTCCCAGGTCACGTTTTCGCACACCCACTCATTTCATGGAAAGTCATACTGTATTACGCGTGAAATGTTTGTGACGGCGCATCTTCACCTGGGTAAAATATATGCCACGAACTTTTTTCCACACGAGCATGCGAGGAATTCGTCAGACGCATAAATAAGACAACAATAATTTCAAGCCGATTGTTTTTTTTCTCTCCCTCGTCATTTTCTTGCACATTCAACTTCCGAATAACAATATTGCTCGAACGAGCCACTGGCAACGCGGCTCATTTCTGGCACATGTTCCACCCTTTGCTTATGAATAACCTCACGAGTAACGCGAAACTATTCCTCCGCAGGTGAATTTAAAATTTTAAAAAACCCAAAAAAAATTAAACAGAGACGCATCACATTCCGAAGAAAAAATAATATTTTTCGAAGGGCAATTCGGCTCAGAATAACAAGAGAGCGACGTACTTTTTGATACGCAAGTTGAATCACCCTTAGCCTCTTGAAGAATTCAGCAGAATCACATGACACATCGACAATGAACGCTGCAAGGAAATTAGGAAAAAAGCGAATGGAATAAGTTAAAATCAAATCCGTAGAAGTCTCAACTTCTGCGCACTTTGGCCTCTCGCTGAGAATACCCAGCCAATTGAGAATTTCTTCTAATACGTATCTAGTCCCTCTCTTCATACGCTCGTCCGTCTACACGGTGGCTTTCGAGTCATTGCATTGTAGTTCATGACGGGTCAAAATTTTGAGAATGAACAGATTACGAAGAATTCAAGGGATTCAAATCCATAATTGAATGAAAGACCTATGACGCAAATCAACGTAAGAGAATCCTCAGCAAAATGCCGATAGCTCATACTTCTTATATGAAATCATAAAAAACATGCTTTCGATTGTTCGGGAGAAAAGGGTTTTCTAACGAAGTTTGCCTACTGTACAGTATTTTTTAATCGGCCAATTGAAGCAGCGTGGAACACCAAAAAAATTACTAGAAAAATATTTCTCCTCTGCGTGGATGATGGGCATACAAATCATAACCAACCACAAAGATACAGTTCACATCTAACCTTGACTAGAGACCTCCAGTCACCACTGAATGAACAATTTCAATATTTACGAACATGGACGTCCGCTTAGCACAAAAACAAAAAACCATGCTGGGACGGCGACTTTGTTACACTTCAGAAGCCCGAAATTTTGAACGCGATTACTCGTCTGTACGAAATGCAGGTTCACATATTACACGAAAAGCTGGAAGTAGACTGGAGAATATACCTGCACCGGGCAAACAATGAATATTTCTCTAGTCAGATTATTCCAACAGCAAAAGGCGTTAGCGGCACGAATTCAAAATTTTTCATCCGAGTTACGTTTAACTCAAGTATTCCATACTTCAAAAAATCGAAATCGCATTGAATAGACTGAAGAAAAATTCGTAAGGTTTCTCAGCCATTCAAGACGAATCGGAAACCTAGGACAAAAAATAATACCAGAAATATACGAATTACACCGTGTCATAGTTCGATTCAAAGAGCGAAAAGATTTGATACCGTGTCAAATGACGATCTTCGAGCTTGGACGACGTGTGAAAATAAGGCAGACAAAACATCACCACATTGAGCATATCGATTTTTCATAAGACACCTAAAAGCCGAAAAAAAAAACGCTTCACGCTCGATTCAAAAAAAAAAAAAAACACACACAAATCATCCCTTAATATCAGGACGCAAAAGCGGCAAGCCCGAACGAAATTTCATTACATCATTCGCTCAACGCAGAGCTAGAAGACCAACCGTGAGCAGCAAGAATCCTGCAACGCTACCTGTCTGCGTTGGCCGTTGGCGATATCACCACCGGGGATCGATTGGATTTTCCATGAAGGCCTTTCGAACTACCCAGCGAAGTACTATTGTCCGAGTGAACGATCAGTTGCAAACCTTGACCTGAAAGTAAACGAGCAACATGACAAGTCTGACGTCAATTTTGCTCATTAGTCGTATACATCCCAAGATCAAACTCAACACACAAAATTCATTTCACGAAGGGCATCAAAGGTTTCAACGGGTTAATAAATCAATGGGAGAGGAATGGATTAGACCGAATACTCGGGCAACGAACACCCGATCATAATACTCACTTTCCGCGGATTCGTTGCATTTGATTTGAGTACCTTGCAGGAGATCCTCGATCACATCTTGGGGGTCTACTCGAGTACTACCCACGCGAGCTGCGAGTGATACACCTGACCCACCAGACGTGACCATCAAAGGTTCTTCTAAACTACCACCTGTACTCGTAATTTTTTTCTTCCGAGCATTACTAGCATTAGCGCGCTCAAAAGAGCTCGCGTTGCTGTGACCGGAACCGTGTCCGCTGCTTGTACTCGGATTCCTGCAAAGATTGGTGAAATGCGCAGTATTGTAATAGAACTACTGCCATCACATTCAGTATTAGCGTTCTCTAGCGTACCTCATATGACTAGAAGCAGCAGCCACACCAGAGTCTCCAGAACTCGACTGCCTCGAATGGGAAGCCCCCGGCATGGATGCGTAGCCGGAAACACGACTAGCTGCACTGGAGTTCCTCGCATGGCCCATTTCGAAATCACCGCTGGCCGCTCCATTATTGGCGACAGGTGCATTTTCCGAAATACAGGATTCAAGGTCAAGCTGCCCTTGCAAACTCTCTGAAAAAGATGTGACAGTAATGGACGAACTTCTCGAAGAATACGAGGTTTACGTTGGAAACAATGAACGCAATTTTCATCCTAAAAAAGCTTTCAAACTCAGGAAATACACGTTTAAGAGCATGACGCTCCTCGATTTAAGTTTAGATCTTTTTACATAAATATAAGGTCAATTGCTCCAGTCCGACCTTCAGCATAGTACTATACAGTACATGGGAAGACGAATTTGAAGCTCCGATTCTCCTTTTTTTACCAAGCCGGGAATTTTATTTTCATTACTCTTCTTCAAGACAAGGTTGCATGAATGAAAAAACGACGCAACCATCTCCGGTCGCGACGTTTTGAGTCGTATACGTGAAGTATACGCATCAAAACGTACGATTTCCTCGCACGTACATTACGGGAAATAAGCTTGGGAGATTGAAATCTCGTCACCAATGAACATATGCGCATTCAAGCGCGAAAGTTCTACGATAGTTTTCTTACCAGACAGCACCTACCACTTTAACTCAACAGAAGTGTTTCCCAAACGTTCCATTCAGAACATTTTTTGAGCACTACGCAACGCGAGACCATTACAGGCGGCGAGTATCTAACCTGCTTGGGGTCCATGTGATAATCCGGGCGACCTTTGTTTTGCGACGGGACTAACAGGGCATAAAACGGCTTTCTGATTGGTGCTTTTCTCATCAGATAAGGCGGATGATCCATCTTGATTTGTTATATCAACTGCCGACGCCGGGTCTCCGGAAACTCCTATGTCATCAATCCGCTCGGCTTCTCTACCGCACGGAATTGGCCTAAGGGGGTAGAGTATAGCATTATTTATCAATCGTAATCGGTCAAGTTTAGGAAATTTTTTAAACATGAACGTGAAGTATCCGATTCTAATTCAACTCCTATACCAATACGATTGAGAAACGTATCACCTTGTAAAGCACGGATCGCCTGTTTGCAGAACAACATTGACGAGAACTCGCAAGGTGGAATTATGCTGTCCTTGATGACCACTGTAACCCTCCAGAAGATATTTTCTATCGACAGCTCCTCCACCAGCAAATTCAGCAAGATCAATATTCGCATAACCCAACTTCATGCAACTTTTCCCGCCATTCGTTTCCTTTAAAATTAAATAATGGTTATCAAAATCGCTCCAAGAATCTCAAAAATTGTCCAACTTTTCGAATAGAAATTCGGCATAAGCATGGTCTCAGGACGCCCGACGACGCATTAGCTGCAAGGCGGCAGCTGAAGCGGAAAGTTGTGTTCCAACGTACTTTATGATCCTTCACCTCTTCTCTAGAACGGAAATTTAACTCTGATCAGTCGTCAATCGTAGACCGAAACAAAATCGAAAGTTCACCTGGATGAAATTTCACGGAAAGCTCCACCATTCTGAAGCTTGATCTTAGCAAACAAGACTGCGTTGATGAATGGAACCGACGTGAGCTCTTCTAGCGTAAGCTCAACTTGAAATTTGAATACCTTGTTTTTCGCCCATAGCGGCATTTTAAGTTTTTAACGAAGGCAAGAACAAAGTTGACTGAGGGTAAATCACATCCCTCTCACGAAACACATCTCCACAGTAAGGTCGAATGAATTGGTCCTCGGCCAGCGTTATGCAATCAGGAGAATTTAATACAGTCCAATCACCCAATCACAACAGACTCGTCGTAACACAATCACTAATCACACTTCACAATAAATAGTCCGTGATAAAACAAGAGATCTTCCTTTGTCAAAAATAAATCTTTGAATGCTGCTCCGGAGCAATAAGGTCTGATAAATAAGTCCTCGGCCAGCATCACTTAGCGGAGAGTTTTTCATGTCAAAGTCCAACAACTCCGTAACTCGAGACTCCCGTAATACAATCACAAAATTCGCTCTTCACAAAACAGTCGAAAATAAGAACAAACAGCTCTGGTCAGAAGTCATGAACCAAATGAATATCGTCTGCTCTGGAATTGCACGCTTCTCCTCCTACTGTGATAACGATCTCCTTCCTGGCTAAGTCTGGGTGGGATAATCGTCGGGATGTTGGCGCTTCCGAAAAGTAAAAATAGGTGTCACTTCTAAGGGTCCCGATAGGGCCCCCTTTCTTTCAAGTTCGATGAATGTGAGAAGCGACCTCTGGTTTTATTGTACTGTATTTTAAATACAGTAGTACAAGCCTGCCCCCCTCCTCATCATCTTCGTATTCCGAACTTGCTGGGAAAGAGGATCTGAGCTTTTAAAGGGCCTGTGAATATGATAAACGAGAGTAGTTGACATTTCGAAATTTTTAGCAGATGACTTCCACACTTACCTTGTGTGCTTTAGTTCAGGATGAAACACACAGACTGTACTCGTGAAATTTCGCTCGGCAAAGAATGCACTATGCCAGTGTTGGAAACATTTTCGCCGAAGCATACGGTACCGGTACAGTTGATTGTTCCCAAATCCGGGCGTCCGCCATATTGTCCGCTTCTGGTGTAGCGACAGCGTTGGCGAAGATAATCGAGTTTTGTTAAATCGTGTTAGTCGTGATGTATTGCGGCAAGATCAAGTGAAGATTCTCTCACGCCGAAATCATCTGATTTTGGTTACACCAGTATGCAGTTCGAAATTTGAAGTGAAAGAGTACGGGTTTCCTGTGCTAGTGCCCTAGTTCAGCCATTCTTAGTTTCCATCGGGTGTTATTAATTTTTTAGATCTGTGAATAAACAACTTCGGATCGCCACGATTTCTGTTCGAAGAAAAATGTTACACCATTAATTTAAATGCCGATTGCCTCACGTGTGTTCACCAATCCTTGGATTAACTTTTTTGCCAATATCCATTCGGTCGTCAACTAGCTGTATTATCTGGGTTCATCTTTTCTATCATCGTACATTTTGATGAACATCGGTGGTGTTCAGTTGGATATTCTAAGTATGCAGAAATTTTTCTGAACGCATACTTCACTTTACTGTGTATGGAAGCGCAACTACCCTTTAATATGCAAACGCTTTTTGGCTATTACCATAAGCTTATGCTTCAGTGCATTTTAAATTGATTTTAGCACACTGGCCTAACCTGTGCACGTTCACAGTTACTTTTTGAACCGTAATCACTTGTTGATTTTCTTTAATTCAGTGATGCCAAGATGCTTTTTCGAGGATTTTTTTCATTCATTCTGATGAGAGATGAAGTCCTCTTCAGTCTATTCTCACAGTTCAGAAGAAGAACTTACTGTACGACAGAAAAAGAAAAACGGTGTCATTAGACTTGGACGATTTCTGTAGTTCAAACCTCGATTGTGCTGATGTCCAGTCGCGTGCTAGTTAGAACTAGGTGCTCTATTGTGAGCACGAGTTTTTCCTGCTCTCATCTTTTCCGGGTCTATTAAGCTCCGATTTTTTTTAAAGATCTGATTGAGGTAAGCGAATATTATTGCATCTTCAATAAACATTATCCTGAAGTCTGTTTGACATAGTTACGCGTCTTCTGGTAGCCAACCCAGGACTCCTTGGTTTTCAGCGAATGTGAACTACAGTAGGTCATGTTACCGTGGGCTGACAAACCTCCTTACCTGGAATTACACTAAGAATGCAGCATTCCTTCCCGTCAAATTTTTTTCGTCAAACCGAGATTGGTCAGACAAAAATGCTTTTCTTTCGAGATATTAATCGGTGTTGTGGCTAAATTTTTATTGAGATTATTATGCTTGGAAAATGGTTTCTACATTTTCCGTCGCAAGAGTCACCGCAAATGCAGATGTAGTATCATCGGTTTTTTCTTGCACCTTCTTTTGCGTGGGAGTAATCTAGCTTAACTCTCGCCCAATAAATTACTGCTGATGGATTAATCATTCTAGACCAGTTTCTGTGGCATCAAACGTTTTTATGACCAATTTTACGACTCCCTCATCATTGTGTTATGTGAAATGCAAATGTTGTTCGAGATTTTTTCTCGGACCCATTTCATTTATTTCAGAGAAAGTAATGAATTTTCGCAACCTGATGGTCTTTAAATGCAAGAGGCTATTTAGTTTTAGTGCAATGAAAAATTTGGTACTTTTATTTTTCCAGAGAGTTCTGTAGGTTGCGTGTATCAGAGCAACTTGAGCAGTACTTTCAGTACGTGCTCGTTCAAGTGTCGCGAGATAGTTTCCGCTGCGTCGAGAGATTCAAAAAACGTGTGTGAGATCGGTATGGCTCCCGATGTTGAGATAATCGAGCTTGACAACGACAAGCCTTCCACGTCTGGGACAAAACGGCGATCGACGAGAGAAGTTGAAACAGTTGAACTCGAAGAAAGTGATTATTCTGCGCTAGGTATGAGGCGTCCAAAGCGGATGGCTGCAATAGCGGCGACTATTCCCATAAGCCAGATTTTCAGAGAAGACGAGGATCAGTCAAAGCCGCGAATTCTCAAGCAGCTGCGCGATTCGCATCCAAACGCTGTCCCGCATTCAGATAAATCTATTTTAAATTCTTCATGTTTTTTGTGCCGTACTCCTGCGGAAAACTGTATGTTCGTGTCAAACCTTGGAGAATGTATGACACGTGTCACAAGATTGAAGCTTTGCGACAAGCTGAAAGAAATTTCCTCAGAAGATTTAACCGCACATGAAATCATCATGCGCGCCGACATGGAAGTCGAGATTCTGTGTGTTGCCTGCGAAAATCTTGTTCAAGAAGTGGATTCTTTGGAAGTGAAGCTGGCTGCCGCAAAAAGTTCAGTCAACACTCTCATTACCAATTCAGTAACGGAAAGTGCGGTTCGCACCAGTCCCTTCTTGAACATATCTCGTTCCGACTACGGTGTATTCCTGGAAGGAATTGCTCTGGGAGGTCTTTCATCTTCTGGCTCGGGCAATGTGAACGAGGTGAGTTTATGGGTTTGTTCGTTTCGCGTCTAAGCTAATGATCAGCTGCTTCCCATTTTAAACTGAAACCCCGTACATTGCAAGCCTGCGTGCTGAAGACTTCCTCATGCGAGTTGCTATAGTCGGATACCCTTGTGTTTGTGAAACAGTAGCCTTCTTGTCGCCTTTCTCTGCTTTCAATATTCTTGACCAAAATCAGTATTTCTGAGCTCATTTTCCTAGTGAGAATTCAGATACCGTTTCCTGTTGATTTTCCAGTTACTCGTCAAGGAAGAAATAAAGCGGACCGAAGAGGCATTTGATGGAAGTACTTTTGTGGAGAAGTGCATGAGCATCCTAGGGAAATTCACAGAATTGGAAAATGCGTTAAATTCTTCAGTTAATGAACGAACGAGCCCAAGCGAAGGAAAATTTGAGGAGATGATGCCCATTCCTAACAGAGAATCTTTTGAGCATCTAGACGAGAAAGTCATAAAAAAAGAATGCCTTCAAGAGTCGACCGACTTCAAAGAGTCCAACTTCAGCAGCAACGCCAGGTGCTCAACTCACAAAGCGTGGCCGAGTCGGGTAAATTTATTTTGTATTATTGATTGATATTCCATTGATTTTTACGATATACTTCGCTTGGCCCCTTGAAATATTTTATATATTTTCTAGAATGCGTCCAATAATTGAATTAGTTTTAAATCGAGGATGATTTTCGCCAATTTATTCAGCGGAGTCAAATAAAAAACATCGAGCCTGAGGAAAATGAATTATCGCCGGAAGGAGTACAGCGGTCCCCTGATCAGATTTGTCGTGTCTGCGGTCGATATTTTGAAACTGTGAAAGATCGACTCAGCCATGAGCGTGACCATGACGAACCCCCTCCATACATCTGTCCGTTTTGTGCTGACGTAAGTACTGCTATATCTTCATCGAAATTATATGTACACAAAGAGTAGTAAGCTTCACTGTATATTACTTTAGATCACTTAAGAACAGAGATACAGTGCTGTAATATACTTTCAGAGGTACATCGGAGCGATATTCCCTCGATCTAATGAGGTGTATTATTTATGTTGAATAGTTGAGGTTAATTCGTGCGTGGCCGTTCCACTGATTGTGTGAGTTAGAATTATTATTTTTAACGATTCATTTCACGTTCTGGTGTTTCTACCGCACTTGTACCTCAAGCATGTGGGTACTACATGTACTTCATACTTGAATTGGAAATACAGTACGTATTAAGAGAAATACACTGAAGTAATCTATACAGTTGTATACGTTTGAAACTTCGGACCTCGCATCCAATACGGCATATTCATGCTGATGCCTAACTTTATTCTAGGTTCATCGTGAACGCATCAAATTGAAGGATCATGTGAGAACTGTGCACCTGGCGAAAAATCCCTTCATATGCACGCATTGCGGAGATACATTTGTTATAAAATCGAAATTGGACGCGCACTTAGCGTCATTGGCGAAAATCGTTGGCCGATCAGTCCTGGTGTGTACGTTTCCGGGGTGTACAAAAACCTTCAGCTCGCAGCGAGCTTTGGATGGCCATTCATCGGTGAATACATGATACTGTACTTCCAACAAAACGACCGTGCGTTGCTAAAGTAAGCTTTTACAGGCGCATGAAAGTCCAGCAACGTTCAAGTGTGACGAATGCGGAAAGCAGTACAGGCGGAAGAGGAGCTTAAATCAACATAAGCTATCTCACTCTGGTTTTGCGTGCAAGGCGTGTCCTTGTGTTTTCCTGGACAAAAAAGCATTTTTCGAACACGTTTGGCAAGTTCATGCAGGTAAGTGTGTACTCGCACTACGACGACTCGTATAACTGGATTTCTAAAATCGTTTAATTATGTAGATGAAGAAGCAGCCAAGGCTTTGATGAAAACAAAGGTCAGGCTCTCGGAAACAATGCCTTCATCTCAGGTTAGTACCCGTCCAGAATATTTAATGGGGAAGTACCGAATCCACCCGTATACCTTCCGTGTCTTCTTTCTCAAAAGGTTTTCGGAAAGAAGCTTGTGCGCGGCGTGAACATTCCCTAAGATACAGTTGAAGGGATCTTGTTTGTTTTTTTTTCGTTTAAAACTCACGTTTCGTGTGTTACACAGAGAGCTTGATACATAATCAAGGATATTTTGATATTATTTTGCATCGGTTTGTGCAAATTTTTTCGTTCATGTTTTTTAGAAAACCGTAACTGCTGAAATCTTCGCAACTCCGGCCGTTTCGAAAGAAGAGTTGAAGTTGGCTTTGTATTCCTGTCCTTACTGCAATGTCGCGTGTGCAGATACCGACGCTTTTGCATCACACATGGAGTCCGAGCATCAAGATATGTGCAAAAATGTAAGTTCAGATTGATTCAACGTGGTTTTTTTATTGTGGAAAAAGGAAATGCTCACTAGATTCCTACTGGTGGTTGACAAGTTGCAAATGAAGCAGTTGAAATTTGTTGGATTTTTATTCGCCGAAGTGACAAAAATATTCTTCTGGTCGGACAGCATTTTTATCGGCTCTACCTGTGTGTGTCTGGCTTTTTTCACTCATGAATGTAATGTTTCTGTCTTAATTTTAGGGAATCAAAATGATATTTCTAATTTCCGCTATAAATAATTTTTCAGATGAAAAACATCCCGACAGAAACTGGGTATGATCAACGTTTGAAAATTCCTTATAGAATGAAGCAAGAAATACCTCAAATTCAAATGAAAAAACCAAATTTTTCATTTGTTCGAAGAGATTTCCCCGAATGCCATGCATATGCTGGAAAATATTTTTCAATTTTGTACCCGAAGAATTTAGAATAATGTAGGGCAACAGTGTTCGCTCTACTGTATTCTGAAGAAATAGAAAACGTTTCACAAGACTTATCAATCATTGCCTTGAAATGTAACACAGTACTGAAAGATAGCTGCTCCAGAAGTGAACATGGCACTGATCTTGCTGGAGAAAACTCTTGTTATTTTATGCGAGAACCTCTGTTATGATTTTACAAGACTCCACTGAAAATGAAGTTGTTTTTAGTTGATGTCGATGCAGTGAACTTTTCATTATCACGAAATATTTCGAAGTCTCCAAAAGTTTAATCGAAGGAAATCCTACCTACACTAGGAAAGGCGCGAAAAGGAAAGTGAACGGAAGGATACCCTATCGCTAGAAGCAAACATCGAACCATCTCTGTGTTCCTTTCAAGTCTCATTTTTTCCTTGAAATGTGGCAGATTTTTGGATACTTTATCATGAACGCGCGGTATTTATTCCCATCATCTTCCATGTAAAAATTAATTGATGAAGCCTTGCTTTTCCAGAAACAAGAAGGAACTCCTGCAAAAAAGCGAAGAAAAGCAAATAAAACTGGTTGGCCGCCTGCACGCGTTACCCGCTTGAGTGAGCAGTCGTCTTCATCAGCAGAACATCCTGAAGTCCGTGATTCCTCCGTTTACGATTTCAAAATATAATTTATGATCTGTGTTAATTCTGCCTTTCGTGTAGCTGAAGAAAAGGACTTATCATTGAATCAAGTGCGAGACTTGCAATAAGCTATTGGAAAAATCTTGGGAAGTTCTTCGAATGCAGTTCATATGCAATTATGCTTGTGTCTCCGTAATTCGTTTCAAAGATCATTTCTGAAATTCAAAATCCTAACGAGCGTCTTCTGTGTAATATTGACTACCTGTATTCAAAAAATCCTGCTCCGTTAATTAAATCAACCGTTGGCGTACATGCAAAAGGAGGTTACCGGCGACCGAAGTACATCAAGCTTCATGCGTTGCCCGAGTGGACTAAATCACTCGCGTTTGGATTCCATGCAAGAAAGAAATGCTTGGACAATTTTTCAAAACTCACAATACAATTTTTGAAGGGTCACGCTGGTGCCACTATCTTGACTAGTCACGGAGCCGCCTGAAGGATTTAACGTTGTTTATGAAAATCGGATGAGGAAGATTGAGGAAACGTTGTACAGTTTTAATAATTTTGCATTTTGGACTTCTGTTTTTTTCGAACGAACTTGGATTCACCTTTGAAATGAAGGAAACACCGGTAAAAATTTTCTTCTCAGGATTAAAGGATGGGGAAACGAAGCATGTGGTGATGTGATATATGATTCGACTGAAAGAAATGCACGAGGTTGAAGCCAAGTTAAGTAGGGGATAAACTCATGTCTTCGGCAAGGATTATTGTGTGAACATCACTGGGATTTGATTGTATAAATTGTACATTTACCTTGTGCATAAGCGTTTCAATCCATTTGTATTCAGTTTTTAAAGAATCTCAGTACAAATGCCTTTAAATTTTCTGACGAGGTTAGTAACTAGTCAGTTCCTCATAAACCTTATTTTCATACGATTAATTTGCACTGGGCGTTTATTGGTGGAAGTGGACACTCGGTTAGTAAACTGCAGTACTGGGCAAGCTGAATTCGCGATGAGACTGTTCATACTTCTTGATCTCTTCATTGATAGTGTCGTAGAAGCGTTTCTCCATCGTGCTACGTTATGTTTAAGGGTACGATCGGCTTTGTTCATTTGGCTATATGTATTCGAGTGATTGAAGCCGCTGTGGTGTCATTGAATATTTTGTTGTCTTGTGTTCTGAGAGAAGGATTTTCACCATGCGGGAATCGTGTAATTCATTCATCTGTCTCATGACTTGTTGAAGAAAATGCGGTGACCTGATCGCTCAGTTTAAGTGCCCTGTTTCAGCCATATCTTTCGAAACCTAATTTTTAAGGTTATGTGGAATTGTATTGGATTCCAGGATCGCGTATCCATTCAGGTTTAAAAACTGTTAATATAAGACCATTGCGAATAGGAGGGTGAATTTTCCTTTAAAATACTTTTCTTGGAAGAATCCTTTCGTAGAAAAATTTAGTCCGGCATTTCAGGTTGACTTTCGACGCCGTACATAGTCGGGAACTGAACTTGACGCCTTTGTGAAAGGGCGAGAACAGTAATCACGCGATTATCTTGCATTATTTTTTTACTCTTGAGTGTACAGTCACTTTAGTTGGACAGTCGTGAGAATTTTGAACAATTGCCGATGCGGTACGACAATGATGACGGAGATGGTGACATATTGTTGAACAAGCTGAATCCCGTGAGTATTCTCCGGCTGCATGAAGTGGTAAGTACAAATTGATGGCGCAATGTTTCCTGCGGTATGTGGCGATGGAGCGCCATGTAATTTTTTTTCTTGCTTGAAATACCGTGTAATAACCACGTCAGTCATTATTGTCAACTCTGGGGCTAGCGCATTTAACAATTTTTTATAATGCTTTTGCTATTGAATAAGTGATGTGAAGTGTACTTGTGACCTATATGTAAGACTTCTTGCCTTAGGACTTGATCCCTTGATGAATCATGAACCTTGGGCACAGTTTCTCATGGCAGCGATGATTTGAAATTTGCTGTGTGAAATCACAGAGGTATATACATGCTGTACATTGGTGGTGCCAAACTCAAAAGTGGTCAAGGCCCTCAAGGGTAACATTAAAAAGTAAGCCTTCTCTGTGGGCCACAATGGTGAAAATAAATTAAATCCTCCAATGTTCAAACTTCAAGACTCCTTTGAATTAAAAAAGGTCCCTTTATTTTTTCAACAAGCTTGTCAATTTCTCAAAGTAATTTATCTTGCTCAAGTCTTTGTGTTTGAACTTGATATGCTAGAAAAGATTCCTTCAAATGGAAGCATAAACTTTTAAAGACAAAGCATTTTGCCATTGAAGATTATGAAGAAATATTTGTTTGTCCATTCTTCATCGAACACTCTGCATTAATTTTTAAATTTGTTGTGTGTCACTGCTTTCAGTCATTTTTTTTTATTCAAACCTTTGTTGAATGAGAAATTGTCCATTAATTCTTTCATTTGACCAGAAGATCATTGTTTACCTTTAAATCCCTCAGCTGTTTTCATTCATCTGATAGCACTTAACCCAATGTGTGCTCTGCATGATTTTGTAAAAGAAAGATTCCATTTTAAATTCTTTATCTGAAGAAAGAACTGAAATTTAACTCATAATTTTCTTTTCAAGTGCATTTTTTATCCTTGCTCCATATTTCCCAGCACAAAAAATCATGTATTCTTAAAAATTAGAAAAACAACATAATACTGTGCTCAGTTCATCACAAATATTTAATGTCACAATGTATTGTGATATGTGATCTCATCAATTTAAAATTTTCACTACAAGTAAATGAATCATGCATCACTCTTGTATTAGTTCCTGGAATTGAGACCAGTTGTTCTAGAAAGCTGGTGCATCTGTAAGTTTCAAGCATGAGAGCAGGGAGTGTGAACACTGAAACTGAAAATTCTGGAAGCTTTCAGAAATATATACAGTGGATCACCAAGTTATTTTTTTATTTTGTAGTTGGACTGCAAGCATTTAAGGAAATAAATTGTAGGAGTTTCTTGGAACAAAATAGTGAAAATACATCATAAAACTTTTTAAAACAGGAAAAATTCTGCAAGATATTTCTTAATCTACAGCAATTTAATTGGATGGTCCATGAGCCATCTGCGGCCCAGATCTGGCTCTTGGGCACCCCTGATTCTAAAACAATATACAGTATCATGATTACCAATTTTTATAGTTTCCCTGTGCTGGAACAACTTCAATAAGGACTCCGTATTGTATTTTGCTCTGTTTCTTTTTCACTGGGGCTGAACATTATGCATCCTGATCTGGATTGATTTGTTTCTTTTAAATCAAAATCCTTAGTGTTCTCTTCTTTGAAATACTTTACTGTGTAGCATTGATGCTGATAAGGTTTCTGTACCTTTTTTAAAACATGAAAATCACTCTTGCGTTTAAATCTGAGAAAAGTAATCCTGTGGCCAGTCTATGATTTGGCCTGCTTCATGATTTTGATAGTTCTTTAATTTAAATAGTTATTTTACCAAAGAATGATGAATGTTTGCTTGAAAACTGACTGAACTAAAGCACTTTTTTCCTGGAATAAAAACCCACCAATCTTAAGGAATCATGGATGGACTCTGTTCCACTAGAGTAGACAATGTCTAACACTACTTGGACAATTGTCCTGTCTTCAGGCTTTATTGAGGCAGAAGATGCAATTTTTTTTAATAAACAGAAGTTTCCTAAAATGTCAAGGTACTGTAATAAGAAAAGTATCACAAGCAGAAACCAAGCTTTGGGTGATTTTTTAGGGAAACATTTTTTTAAATTGGAAATGAACCATAGCTTTTCACAGGAGAATGCAAAATGAGCCAAGGTTTTCATTTGTTGCAAACAGAAAGAAAAGTTTATCTTGAAAACAATTTTTTTATTTTTGTCTGGCCTGAAACATTTTCAACAGCTTTGTGACATGGGTGGAGAACTCTCACAAAAACTGGGAAATTTTCACCTATCATCATGCTGTAAATCTAGCAATTTTTGTAAAAATCTGAAAAAATCACAGACCCTTGCAATAATAGCATGGACTAAATCATATGCTTTTTTCAGTGTTACCTACTTTAGAAATACCCAAGGTCAATCAGAAGTGGGACAACCCATGTATCTTGAACAGTGTTTCTGGTCATGTGAATTGAAGTCAACTTTATGGTGGCATTAAGTATAGTCATATATTTTTTAAGATACATGCATATTTTATTGAGTTGCAGTTGACTATTATTAGTGTGACTTGCTGATTGTTGTACTGTATGTGCAGTACTGTACTGTAGAATAATTAAGCTTATTTGTACTGCTGGAAGATCTGTCCATGTACTTTAGTTTGCTTTTCTGTATAGAAAAGCAAGCAAAAACGCTTCTGTATAGCAAAGGTCACTGTACAGTATTGAGACAATAAGAAGTTGATTCTGAGGATAAAATAAATAAATTAATTAATTTTTGTCACAAACTCAAAAATACTTCATGCTGTAATATTCTAGAACAACATGATAGTAAATGAGAAATATTGGGTTCACATATACGAACTGTATTTCTTAGATTCAGGCTTTATCCATTCTGTAAGAGTTTTTGCACTTCCATGCCGTTTTTTTTCTTCCATAAATGCAGAATAGTTTCATCTGACGTAATGATTTTCAAACTATTGGAGCTTTTATATAACAGCAGCAATGAGCATACTACAGAACATCAGCTTTCAGAAGTACAGTAAGAAGAGGATAAATCTTCAGGAAGCTCAATTACAGGAAATTGGGAGCTTCTTATTTTACACTTTCAAAAATCCTCTCAGCTATATGATATCAAGAATAGATTCTTCTGGAAGGTTTTACTGCTGTACATGCAAAATGGTTGATATTGAAGTCACTCAATAGCAGGGGGGGAGGGGGTACGGATGGATCTGAAAGAGAGGGCCCTCTATAAGAGCATGGCGCGGGGAAGAGAGGACGACACAACACAAGAATTGCGGCGAATTTTTGCATTAGGCTGGGTATTGTGGTGGGCGGGACATTTCTATTTAGGAGGCAGGGCAAACTCCCCAGGCACAGCACATTCCCCTTGGCTGACAGAGGACTATGGAGAAGTTGTGTGGGAAAGTATTTTATTAGAATTTAAGATTGTTCTGTAATGAATGCAACTATAAAATATAAAAAGAACAATAATTTATCATGCTTTAACTCCTCACAATAAACTTTGCACACACTTCCTGCTATCGTAGTCTGTACCAGGCCTCCTGTGAAAATTGATTTCCGCGGAATTAAACATTTTTCTGCCGAAGTATACGCAGCCTCAAGGATCACCTGGAGAACTGGCTTTCCTCAGAATTTTGTTGATGAACCAGTGGGTAAGTGTTCAAGGTGGAAAAGCCAGCCCTCTGCAGGTTCAAAGACGCCCACCGGACGGCTTCGAACGCATCACTGGAGAGCACCCTGTCCAGGCAAGGTATACTCCTCCCCAGGCGAAAAATACTCCTGGAGTATGTTTTGTGGGAGTATGATGTGCCGTCTACACGGACATAGCTTTCAGCTCAGGGCTGCAAACTTCCACTCCCTCCCCCTAAGAACATTAATGAGTGATGTTATGAATAGCGCAGGATGTTGAGTAGGCATTTCATGTTGAAAATTGTATAAGAAGACAATATACTTTTTAAATTAAGCCTAAAACAATCGAACCTGAGTTTTACATTGATTTTTAAAAGAATGTAAGAATATGTGCCATACTTTTGCCTTAGAAGGCATAGAATTCTACATGGAAGGGATGCCCCTGAATAATTTCAGTTGAAGTCACTCAATAAAAATCCCTGGTGGCTCAGAGAAAGTAGCGCTGGCAAGCGTGCTCTGGAACAGAAAGCCCCGGGTTTTTGTGAGGCTCTCCGTGGAAGTCGGCTGGATGGGTCGTGACGGGATGATGGGTAACCATTGAAAAGCGGGAACTGAAGCCCATGAACCTCCTATAAAGCAGTGAAACTTGTATTCCATTACGTAGTGTGAACTGCGTGGATTCCCTACGTGTGGGATAGTGGATCGAGTGAAAGACAGCATACAGTATATGTTTTAGAAGTGAGGTTTTCGTTGAGACGCATCGTCCTGACTTCGGGCCAGCTATTTTGCTGGACGGGCATTCGAAATGCCGAAAAATCTGTTCGAGATGGCAAAAGTCGACGGAGAAACACGAAACAAGGAACTATCTGTCGATGGGCGTGACACCTCCATTCTGATGGTTGGCTCGAAAAGTGCGGTAAGTGTGAGATGCACCAATGATAGACGAGCACCGAACACTGTGGAGATTTCGTTTTGGACGGATGCTAAGTTACACTGAATTTCAGGGAAAGAGCATCTTGCTGAACAGTTTCCTTGGCAGAACGGATCCCGTGAAACCAACCCTATCACTAGAATATTTTTACGCCAGGAAAAAAATAACCAGTTCCTTCCATGCGGTATGCATTTTATGTTTCATTCAATGATCGGTTTAATTTTCTGTTTTATTCTCCCATTTAGTCTGAGACACCAAAAAGTGTTTGTAGCATTTGGGATATGCAAGGTGGTCTAGGATTTTCATCCTTGATGGATATTCCTCTGAGAGCGTTGAATCTGACAAACCTCACGATATTCATCTTTTTGGACTTATCACAACCCAAGAAACTTTGGGTAACTACTGATGCTCTGATAAAGCAAATCAAAGCAAAGCTGAAGGCAGAGTTGTCAAGCAATCCAGACTTGGCTGCCAAACTTGACGAACTTACAAGAAGCAGACTGGGCTTGAATGAAAATCCAGTGTGTTCCTCATTTCAAGCTGAAGTTCTTACTCAGTTTTTAAATTTAATATCTTGATTATCTTTTAGGATGAAAAGCGCATGGATCCAGTTGAGGTTCCTGTCGTCATTATTGGAGGAAAATACGATATTTTTCAAGTACAGTTTATTAAATTTTCAGTCGCGTGTGCTTAATTGAACATGGACTGATCTTCGTAGAATTTTGAACCCGAAAACAAGAAGTTGATCTGTCGAACTTTGAGACACGTTGCTGTTTGGCTGGGCGCAAGTTTGTTGTTTTATTCAAATTCTGACCAGAACTTGATCAAGAGAGCAAAAGAATTCCTTGTTCATCATGCTTTTGGTTCACCGCTGAGGTTTGTGATTTTTCTGTGAGATCTGTTGTATTAGACTGAATTTGATGTATATCCGGAACTAAATGAATTATAGGAACATTTATTCTCGTTTCGAAGCTGCCGTTCAATATTTTTCATAAGCGTGTTTTAGCCCGGATGTAAGAAACCGCTGGACAATTTTCGATGAATAATTTACAGTACAGTACTATAATTTAGTGTTGCGAAACGTCGGCGTTCGGCGAAACTTTGAATGCGGTGGAAATCTTCTTTAAACTTCAATAATGATGATTGCTTCAATTACTTTGAAATTTTCCTATTTTTGCTTTGATTCCGAATTTGAACAAAATGTGCGTGTCCCGATGTCTTGAATAACTTCGAAATGTGTGAATTTTTGTTCGTTAGAGCGAAGTAATTTTCACTTCGCCGAGTATCTTGAACCATTCTTGACAATTTTCATTTGCTGTTTCTTCTTCGTGACTTCGGATTTTAGAAGATTAATGGAATACTAATGAAAATAACCTCTCGATTAAATGTTCAGCTCTTGTTGAATTGTCATTCTTTTATTCGATTTTAGCAATCTTATTTCGCAAGATTACAACAAGCCGCTGTTAATCCCTGCGGGAACCGATTCATTTCGTCAAATTGAACCTTCAGGCGGAGAAATCGGCTCCAGTTTTGAACTTTGGAAACAGGCTTTTGCCGCAGTTTACCCACCTGAGGAAACTGACACATTGGAATTGCCCTCCAATCCTGCCACGAATGATTCATTCAAAGAATCAGACATAGACTTATTGCGCAAGCAGAAGGATTTGGTACGATTTAATATTCGTGTTAAATTGAGATGTTCATCCATATTTGCGTTTTCTCTCCCCAGGAACTGAAACAATACAAGGAAGAGTTGAAAAATCGTGCATTTTTGTTGTGAAGTCATATTTGTATTTGTTCTGCGATTATTTTAAATCTACGCACGCATGATGTGAACGAGGGTAATAGTCGGGGAAATCCTCTGCCTGGTGGGCTATTCTCGAAAAATCAAATTTTCAATTTTCTTTTCGCTATACTGTATATCTCTTATTAAATACTTTTCGGCATCTCGAAAGTCTCATTAAAAAATACTTTCTAAGTTTTCCTGAAATTAACACAAATCTGAAGAGTGTTCCTGAGCTGTTCTTTCTTCTTTTTTTCCCTCGACTACCCCTTGTATTGCCCTGTCGATCTCAAGTCTGGCTTTGATCTTGAAAAGAGTTGTGAAAAATCTCACACTTGTGATGGCAGCACTAGTCAGAATATTTTGTTGTGTTTCAAACGAAATTCACGCTTTCATCATATTGAAATTCGAATATCTGCGTTTCTTTTACTGATATTCTTGAGTTCAACATTTTGAGATGTGGCATTATGTAAGCAGGTGCAGCTTGTGAAATTTTGACTGTAGCAAGTGATATTCGCCAGGTTCCAGCCATGCCCGTGAGTAAGATTGCTCTCAAAAGGTCAAAAACAAATTTAAATTCGGGTTTTTTTTTTCTACAGAAAGTAGCGACGAAAGGACAGAAGCAGATTTTTGAAGAAAATCAGGAAACATTGGCTTTTTACAGAAAAATGTTAATAGCCTCCAATGCTTTTTATCTGTTTATATCATTCCTAAGGCGAGACACAATGCCATGGACTGATATCGTAAGAATTTCAAAAATTTCGTGTGAAATCTGCCTTTTAAAACTTCGAATTCCTTTTCAAAGGCCTTCTTCATATTCTCCTCCCTCATTTTCATCGGAAGTTATCGTTTCATGGCGTATATGGCCAAAGCGAAAACAAGTCCGACTGGGCAACTGACCGATGCTGGCACAGATCTCAATGTATCTTCAGGAACGGCCGAGTAAGTCGTACGTTTTTATGGGTTTAAAACTTTAAATGTACTGTAGTCTTCTGTGTATCAGACCCCCAACTTCTCACATTTTCGTGAGAAAATTACAGTACTGTATTGTTTTATTTATTATTCTCTTCCACGAACATTTTGTTGGGGATAACTTTACTATACTTTGATGGTACGATTCATATTTCATTAAAGCAAACGAAAGTTTGCGTAAATTGACGGACGAAGTTGGAAAAATAATTTTATTGTCATGAAGTTTTTCACAAAATTTAGAAAAACTTCCAAAACCTGCTCTTTATTCGGTCTTGGATGTGGAATCCGTGTTCGATTTCTTCCCATATTCTGTTGAATTGTAAGTGTTCAGGAATGCTTCAGGGATGCCGGTTTTTGAAATGCTCTCATAACTTCAGAAAAATTATGCTCTTTTCAGGCACGTGAAGGATATAATTATCCTTACGAGCATCTGCCAGTGCCTTTCCGTGATCTCAAATTATTTCTGGCTGTTGTGGCTCTTGGTAAGTGAAAATTTGATCCGGATGTTTTCATCCTTAGCTGAGGTTTGTTCCATTTTTTCCTTCAGGTCCCGTTAATGGCATTTCGGTTGTTCTGGAAGTACATTTTAAAACCGTATTTCTTCCAACCAGTTCCCGTGGAAAATGAAGAACGCAATGAGAAGAAAGCTAAAAAATTGGAGCGGAAAATGGCGAAAGCGAAGTATTAATGCCGATTCTGGGAATTCAGTTGAAAAGTGCTCAGGCTTTTATGACTTTGAACCCGTGATCATGTATGAATTGAAATTGAGATGGTGGTTACATTTTATTCAAGGTTTTTTCTTCGAAAAGGTATTGTTCGAAAATGTTTTTCAGATCGTTGCGAATTTATTGGGGTGATGTGGTCTGTTATTTGAACACTTCTCTTCGATTATTTTTCCTCGCCGTATCTGTTACCTAGGCTGAAGTCATGTTGAAGCCGCTATATATTTGTAAGAAACGTACAGTATGTGCAGACGTTTTGCTGTGATTTCTTCCCCGCAGAAAAAAATTCCGAGTAACTTTTTGTAGGCCTTCATATGTCCTCGGTGCCTTTTTGAGCGTGAACTATGTGGCGTGGTGAAGCTGTGCGAAATTCCATGTCAGACCCCACGACTGTCCCAAGTGTGATAGTGGATGGATACGAAATTGATGATTGTGAAGTTCCTGAACTAAATGACTATCCGTTCACGAATGGAAGTCACTCAGACGATTGTGAGACGACCTCGAAATCTGAGAAGCATGAAAGATTGGAGAATTTTTCTGAAGACGGAAAAGAATCGAGCGAATCCTCGGAAAATGGAAACACTGCTGAAAGCTCTTTCTTGGAAACTCGCGCGTCTGTCGAAAATCCATCAATATTGAAGGGGGAATCAGATTCTGTGAATCCTTACCATGCAGACATCAGAGTTGACGAAAATCATGACGCTATGAGTGAGGCGGACCTGACCATTGTGGATGATGGTGTTAATGACCTTGAGATTTCTTGTGACGACGATGATTTCGGAAACTTTGAGGGAGCAAATTTATTTGAATCTCCTTGTAAATATGCTTATGAAGAGGTAACTGAACTTTTCCGTGGAACTAATTCGAATGCTTTCGAAATAAAACTATATATTTTCCCTCAGAAAAAATCTCTGTTCGACTCAGATGCGATTTCGGTGGAGAATCTCCCTGCTGTGAACTGCGAGGAAGATTTCGGAGATTTTGAAGTTGCTGAAGATGTCCCAGAGGTTCATGAATTAGAAGCAAGAACGATACAGGTACCTGTGGATCGAGTTTTGTGAGAATGCCTGTAGAGGTTAGGGCTCATGTTTTCTTCCTGTGTAATTGCTATAGGTCAAACCGATTTGGGAACGTGTGTTCTCTGAAGATGCGGCTTGTGGATCTCTACCAGACGCGGAAATTAAAAATTTGAACAGTTCAGGGGTGCTTTCGGACGATTTTGGCTCTGTGTTGTGGGACACGGATAAGGCCTCAGGTTTCAAAATCTCTTGGGCAAAATCGCAAGCTTGGAAAAATTTGCTCTCATCTTTGAAAATGGACGAAAGGGACGCTATTGCCGTAAGTTGCGTGTCAATTTAGGTTTCTTGCTGAACTTCCAAGTTTTTGTTTTTTTTTCTCTCTGTCAAAGGTGAAGCAGGCAAAGCATCTACATGATTTCCCCGCGTTTGCTTCTTCGTTGGGATCGACACCTTTAGAACCTCAATCCGCGTCCATGATACCTGTAGATTTGAAAGAATTTTCTAAGGTGGAAGGCCGTTCAGCACCGGAAAAGGTGTTGTTATCGTTCTTTAAAACGCGCTTCTGTATTCAGATTTTTTTTTTAAATCGAGTTTATTTGCTGTTCTTCTCGTATTCCAATGCATATTCTGCAAGATGAATTAAAAATCAACTGAAGAGAGACTTGTATGGCAGTTTGGCCGAGTATTCATTTATAAAATTAGGCCGAAGATTTTTCCATGTTTTTCTGCTCGAAAGAGATGCCTCGTGATCGATTTTCATTTACTGTATTTACATCAGACCAGCAGTAGGCTCGTGTGTTCGCAAGAACAGCATTGAAACCTGTTCAGTTGAACATCTCGTTATTATATTTTCCGTTAATTTATCGTAAGACGCAAACGCTCTTTTGAATATTTTTGGACGAATACCGCATTAATTTGTTCCTTTCGTTTTCCAGGTTGAAGTGCCACCGAAGGATTTCAACTGGGTATCAAGTGAGCCTACCAACCCTCTGTCAGAGGGTACGTACCGATGTTCATATATCACGGGTCGTTGAATTTAGTTCAGTGTTTTTAGTCCGAAATCACTTGTAATCTATGAAGAGCTGCTTTTTATCTGATGATGTCGGAATTGTTCCTCTGCTTTCAAGTGCTCCTGGCGATAGCTTTGGGCTGGGTGGTGATTTTTTTAATATTTTCATTCATCTTCAAAGGCCTTGATTGGAACGAAAGTAACAGTATCAAAAGAATCATAAGATAATGCTGTGATTTGTTAAATCCCGGGTTTGGACTCTCTGAACTTTGATTAGGCTGATGCAGAAAAATTATCCATCTTTCCTAACCCTTCGGTGGTGTGTGCTTCCGCTTTTTAATCGAGTAGCGTCTAGGCTGCTCCTGTTGGATCTGGAAGCTTTGGGTCAACGGTCGGTAGAAAATGACTTGTCACCGACTTGCACTATGCCGTTGTTGCACATTGTTGACGAGTCCGAGGGCTCCAAAGACTTTCTCACGGGTTGTAAGTGTGCTTTGTTCAGCTGATTTATTCTTTTTGTAATTAAAATTCGCGCGGCGTTCTCTTTAAATTCGTTCTTTCATTAGTTAGAGGGCGTTTATTTTTATTTGAAGCTTTTCTTTTGCTTACCGCTTTCTTTTGGTTTTGTTCGGCGAATTTTTTTATAACCACACTTCTAATCTGTGAAGCTTTCTGGGTTTGGCTGTCTTTTAAATTCCTTCACATGACCGTAAAATTCCTCACGTTACTTTGCACTTCAGAATTTTTTGATTCCTCTGGCGTCGCTCTGTGCATTTGAAATTTCGCCTCGGCAAAATGGCTCGAGTATCACAAAAGACTAAGAACTTCAATCAAAGAATGAAATATGGTCGAGAAAGAGCCGTAAAAAGTACTTCATAAAAATCCCGCCTGTTATCGATATTCCAACTACTGATCCGGACGGTCCCAGTGATCCCTTGGGATGAATTACTGTACAGTCCTATCACCTGGAGGTCATCTTTGAACGTACAGTAGTTGAATATTGTTCATTCCTCGGAAATTTTAAATCCGTGATGATGGGGATTATTTTGCTAAAGGTTCGCGACAAACCCCTTTTTGCGCTACACAACTATTGCCGAATTTTTTTGGTAGCAGAATGTTTTACTCTGGTTTTCAAAAACCTGTGCAAGAGAAGGTCAACTGAAAAATCGTGTAACTAAAAATAGTTGGTTTTGATCGTGTCATTAATGCTAGAGCATTCAAGGAAGACAACCTTAAAGATACATTACAATGAAGTGGATTCAATTTTATAGTTCCGAGTTCTATAATAAACGTGTTCTGTGATGCTGTTGCTCTAACGATTTTAAGAGACATTATTGTCCTGAAGTCGGTCTAATGTGATTTCGAATGTTTGCCCACCCTGTATTTGCTGAGCACGCTCCTTGCCGTGTTTTAAGGGGTAGGTACTCATGTTACTCACATTTTCAGTTGGATAAACCCTTCCTGTGCGTACAACTGACACTGCATTGCTTTAATGTCCATTATTCAGCGTTAGGATTTTTTCCCGTTTATGTAACGTACAGTATCTCGGAAAACCTTTGATTTTAACTTCTCGAAGGAGTTCCTGCTGAAGACTATCACATTTTTCTTGTTTAATTTTCTTTTACGCATTTGATTTACTGTATTTGAAATGAACCTCGCCTACTTTTAGGGAGTACACCGGTTGAAAGAAGCGGGTCCAACACTGCGTCACCGAACGGTAGTCCGAAGTCAGTGCCTCGTGTGTATGTTCCGTCGAACTCTCCGCAAAAGTGGAAAGAAATGGATTCTCTGATACTCAAAATCCCTGATTTGAATTATATGAGATCAAAGGTGCTCATGTTTCCGTCGCGTATCCTTTCCGAGTGAAACAGTTCCGCTGTGTTCTGTCAACGAAGGTTGTCCAAAGCTCATGACAATGGATGAATGTATGTTACCGCTAACTTCGCCCTATGGAGACGTTTATTCTACGTTTGTTTGGTGTGGATTTATCACGATTTTAGTACATGTTCTTAATTTTGAACTTTCACGGTATTTACGTACTTTATATGAAACAAGAACTATAATTGGCTAAGTCGATGATTCAATAATTTTTCTCACCTGTCCTGGCCAATCAAGAGATGGAACTCCGAACGACTCGTTGATTTCAGAAGTGGGAAAATTGATTTGAGCCCAGTAACATAGTCGACGATGAGTCAACGGATAATTTTTATAATCTGATGTCTAAACGCGTTTTTATTCTTTTTTAAAGCAAAAGCTAGATTTTTTTGGACAGCTTTAAGCAAAGAGTTTCAAATGTTTCCACGCTATTTTTTCGTGCTCGTGTGACAGAAATGGAAAAAAATTATTTGCTTAAAAGTTGGAGAGATGCATACTGGGGCATAGAAAGTGGTGGGATTTTGAACTCGCGCTGTTAATCGAGTGTTGTCATTGGTGTTCGATTCCGTGCGTTCCGTAGCAAAGAAAGCATTCCTTTTTCTTAGTTCTTATCAGCTTGAAGTCACGGATGTGATTCGTGATTGAGTAAAGGGTAATTGAAAATAGTTCTTGATTATTCGAAAGAAGCGTCACTGCACGTTTCATATGTGATTAATTCTCCGTACCTGCTTCGTAGGTTTGCGCGAAATGTTTCAAGTTGTTGTCGGATGATCCGAAGGATACGTTACACCGATCAGAAATGGAGATCCAAGAAAGAAAGAAAATTCTGAAGATCGCGAGAGAAGATCTGCGTGATAAAAAGTTCTCTTCCGTAGTATCGAGTTGCCGTGGTATTCTCGAAAAAGAACCTGCGAACTACACAGCATTAGTATTATTAGGAGCCGCGTTACAGGATACAGCAGATTACAATGGAGCTGTGGATGCCTTCAAGAAAGCCATCGAAATCAGTGACGATCAAGTTACCGCGTGGCAAGGGCTAAGATTAACTTACGAATCGATGCAAAAAAATAGCAAAGGACTGCCCAAACTTGAGGACCATTTGGAAGTAAATCGAAAGTTAGCGACCATGTTTCCGACTGATCCGTCCAAAACGGCTGATGCGAAATCAAAACTTGTGGACCTTCTCTTGGGGGCGGATAGAAAAGAAGAAGCTATCGATGTGAGTGTTGCATTGATTCATCCAAGCCCTTAACAACATTTCATCTGGATGAGCTGTGATGAAATTTTCAAGTTCGACTTAATTTTCAAATTCTTTTTTAGGTACTGATAGAAGCAGCGAGATCGGCGCCGGACGATACAGATTGGAAGTACAATTTATGGTTCAAACTTGTCACTCTATTGCGACGAAGTGCCCCAGCCAAATATGAGCAGCATTTGATTGAAGGTCTTAGTTACGTTATATCGAAGTCGGATTCCCCCGCAGAATCCGCGGGGAAGCCTGATCTGAGCGATTACGAGTTACTGTTGGATCGTCTCATGCTCTCTGAGGATTACGGCGCTGTCATAAAACAGTGCTACATTTCGTTGAAAGTATTTCCGAATGCGAGGAAGCCGGTTGAAATGCTGTGTAAGATTTACGTTGAACAATGGGAGTCGCACGGGAAAACTCTGAAGATACAGGATATTCTGACGCAGACCAAAATCGTTTCACCGTGGGTCAATTTAGCGCGAGGATTTGCCTTTTACGATTCAAAAAGGTTCGATAAAGCCCGGACCGCTCTGGAAGCTGGATTAACGCAACAAAGTTGTCTTCAAGGAATTCTTGTTTATGCTGAAGTTCTGCTGGAACTCAAAGACCACAATGCAGCCTACCATATTCTGTCAGGTACCCATATTCGCTTTCACTTCGGCAGAATTTAGCCATGATCGTTGTTCCGTAAATCCCGGACTTCGACTTTTTTCCTTGGATTTTAGTGCGTACGATAACTTGTTACTGTATCTGCTTTTGTCGTTCGTTGGATGAAAATATCCATGTCATTATGCATGTCATCTGCTTACTGAAGGGAGCATTGAAGATGTATTAGTGAAAATTTAAATAATAAATAATTTAGAAACAAATCTTTTCGAAATTTTTTGTTTCAGGTTTTTAAACATTTTTATTTTCATTTATTTGAATACTGCTTACGGAAATCTCGGGCGTGCGTATCTATGTACTGTACTGTAATTGTTGCTATGGATTTGCGTAAACCCAGGAGTTGATTTACAGTACTGTATTTTAATTCAGAATCCTTCCTGCTTCCAGGCCCTGGCTCCGATTTATTGTCCAAGGCTGACAATCGCTTGGTGGACAGATTTAACTCTCTTCTCGTCGAATCGATGATAGCGACTGGGAAACAAGCTCGGTTAAAATCGGCTAAAAAGTTGATGAGCGAGGATGCTAGTTTGAAAAATGACATTTCCACGAAAATTCGCTTGAGCATCGGGCTTGAAGATTGGGAGGCTGCTGAGAAACTGCTCATTGACGTGCCAGATTCACCGGAGAAGGTTTTGATGCAATTCAAGGTCTTAAGTGGGCTTCGGAATTTTGAAAGTGCTATGCAAAGCTTGAATGCATTTGTGAATGACGTAGAAATTGCACCGCGTTATAGAGTTGAAGCTTTGATTTGCCTAGGTGAAGCCGAAGTACAACTCGATCACCATGACGCTGCCTTGACATACTTTTTGAGGGCGGCTAAGTTGGACCCACGAGACCCGTCAGCTTTCTGTCGTCTAGGACATTTTTATTTGAAGAAAAACGATGTTGATCGAGCCAAAAAATGCTTCACACGTGCTGCCCTACTGAGCCCGAACGATGTGGAAGTCAGGATTGCATTATCGGATTGTGCTGTGAAAATTAAAGATTTTGACGAAGCGGCAAACATATTGGAAGGTATTTGCTCTGCGTTCACTGTCGAAGAAGTGGAACATGCGTGGTACAGATTAGCGGTTGTTCGAATACATCAAAATCGTGGAGTTGATGCTGTCCAATCTTTGCAACAAGTGATTCGGTGTGATGCGAGCAATTGGCTCTATTGGGAATCACTTGGAGATGCTTACGTTCTTCGAGGGTCCTACGGCTCAGCGCATAAAGCTTTCCAAACAGCTTCTGACCTCAACGACAAATCGATTTATGCGTGCTGGGCGTGTGGAGAAATGCTGAGGTAAGTATTTCGGGGAGGATAGGGATTTAATCATCTTAGACTTAGAGGAAGCTAAAATCGAATTTCGAAATCTTAGGATGCAGAAAGAATATGAGCAAGCCGGAGAATGGTTCAAGAAAGCGTTGGAGATGGATGCGGAATTCCTTCCAGCGCTCGTGAGCGCCGGACAAGCTCTTCTCGGAAAAGCCATCTCGATGAAGTCTCAGATTCTTGATTCCCGTTCTCGAGATTTCGTGGAAGAAGCTTTCGTTTTGGTTGATCGAGCTTTAGGAATCAACGGGAAGCACATAACTGTTCTTAAACTTGGTGGCGATCTCTGTTCACTTTGTTGGTCAATGAAGCCGGGTTTCGTCGTTACCGTGCCAGGAAGGATAGTGAACCAAACGTCTCGCAGGAAGACCGTAGAATTGGTTCACGCAGATGTAATTCAATTAGGGCTTTCTTTTTACCTGCTTTGTGCCCAGTTGGCGCCAAATCGGGGCGAAGTTTGGCTGGATATTGGAAAAGCACTGGCGACGAAAGCAGACTTCGAAAGCGGAGATAGAGTTCCTATCATTTTACAAGCCTTGAAAGCCTTGAAGAAAGGTTTGCATCTGAATCCAAGCATCCCTGCGTTGTGGAACGATTTAGGCGTTCTTCTGTGTCGAGCGGGACTTCCTTCCTACTTTCAGGTTTCTAACGGTAAGTTTTGAGATTTCTTGAAATGTACACTTCCTAGAACTTGATTACGTTTGGATATTTCTTCAACAGCTGATTTATGGTGCCAGGTAGAATTCGATCATTATCAATTTAACGTCGGGGTATTTTTCCTACTTCGAATTTTCAGAAGCCATGGCGCAACACTGTTTCATCCAATCCATCAAGTTAGATTCCCGATGTTCAACAACGTGGTTCAACTTGGGAGTTTTTTACCTTGTTCGTGATCAGATTATTCTGTCAAACAAAGCTTTTGCCAGAGCGCAAGTATGTGATCCGGATGATGTAAATGCCTGGGTCGGGATGGCGATAATTTCTGAAAAAGTTGGGAGTTCTAACACGATGGATTTGTTGAGGCATTCTGCCCAATTGGATTTCCATGGAGAGAATGCACTGAATTACGCCAAATGGGTCATGAAGTACGTCCTGTCGCCGGATCAAAAGTTCAAGAAGTCGGACGAATACAGGATGCAAATCGAAGTGTTATATGCCGTACCGAAAGCTTTCGAAGGGCTAGTTCACTACGTTTCAAGATTTCCGGAAAATCCTGAAGCCATTTTTGCCTTAGGACAATTGTCGGAAAGACTTGGTCTTCTGAAGCAAGCGAAAGATAGCTTTTGCGCCGCTATTAATCTTGTTAATTCCAAGAAAGTCGCAGAAATCTGGGGAAGCGAAGATGCATTGTTGAAAAAATACAGGTAAGATTCAGTTTGAATTATTGAGACGCTGTTGCTTTGCTTTTTCATCACAGTTTGAGACATCTACCAGTAAAAAAAGAAAAGATAAATGCGATATTTTCGGGTTCGTCGAATGAATGTTCTGTAGTCATCGAGAATTTTATCTTTCATGACAGGTTCCACGCTGGCAGAATCTGCTTCAAACTGGGCGAATATTCCGCTGCAGTTGATTTCTTCCGTGACGAAAAAGATGCCAATGTTAAGAATTATTGTTGGCTTGGATTGTCTTTGCTCAATGGTAAAGATCCAGTAGGCGCCCAAACGGCCTTCTCCGATGCCTTGAGATGTGTTACTGATCAAGGAACAGCCAAAGCGCAAGTGTACAGCGCCCTTGCCATCGTTGCTTTTTGTCAGGAAGGTGCGGAAAGCGCGAAGATGCGCGAATTGCTTTTGTTGGGAATGAAAAGTGCTAGTCGGAACGTCGAAACGCTATTTTCCGCTTGTGCGATGGGTATCCTCACTTCTGACGAAGAATTAATCCAAGCCGTTCTAAAAGAACTTGATCAGGAAGCTGATGTTGGCGATCGGAGCATATTTCCGCGGGTTTGTTTCTTCAAGGCTTGCTGGTGCGTTCTACGTGGCGATGAAGTTGCAGGTCTACGGGAATTGTGTCGCGGAATCCACAAGTACCCGAGCGAGGGTGCGTTGTGGAGCCATTTAGCATTGTTCCTTCTCCAGTTTGCGCAGACTAAGCCGAACGCGGTTGCCAGCAGTGCTCGAGTTGCAGCAACGCTTAATTCTTCTGACCCTAACGCATTAACATTGGCAACATTAGGCTATTTGATGGCCGGGAAGCCGACGGAAGCAGCTCGTTGCGCCCAGATCGCGTGTTTCATTGCCCCAGACACGGCTGGTAACTGGTGCGCGTTGATGGCATCCTTATATCCAAGCTGCGGGAATGACGCGAACAAATTTGCCTCCTGTACGAGGATCTTGAGCTTTCTCAAGACTTACGCCAAGTCTCGAGTTGATCGAGGGGTTATGAGTTGGTTGAATCGTTACTGCAAAAAAATTGACGGCAAGACGTGAACGCAGAATTTTTCGTGTTGACGTGTGCAATTCCATCTGACTCACTCGCTCTTTTCGCAGAGTTTGTTTACGGGGGTACGAAAGTTGGGATTGGAAATCGGAAGATTTACGAGATTTTAAGAACTTGATAAATTTTTTTTTTCCTGGGGTGGACCACATCTTGTGACTCGCGTTTTAGTTGCCAATAGATAAAAATGAACCACCTGTGATGTGTAAAGTGATCGCGTTGGAAGACCTTCGAGTTAAATCCACCGAATAAAGCAGTTTTACGACCTGCCGCCCTCTTGAAATATATTTTTAGCCTCAAATCTTCTCAGTCTTAGCCGCCTGCCTTGTTTGTTCTTCTAAAAAGTTTTTTTAAGTCGCATCATGAAGCGTGCGTTATTTATTTTTCGATTGTAAATTTGTAAGAGGGATGATCAGGATCCGGTTTATGTATCCAACCTCAAACAAAGACCAGCACTTTATCTTGTCCTTACGAATGTCTGATCTCTTGAATCATTTTTCACCGTGTTCTGTGCTCATTTCAATGTATTTCTGGACCCTCCTGAATCATGCAGGAAAACGATCAGGAAATGCTGCTTTGGGAACATTCCGGGGAGATCAAATTCCGGATAACTTTCTAAAAGAAAAAAGCAAGTTTATCATTCCTCAATTTCGCAAAAGCTGTGGATGAGTCAGTAGTGCCTGATGATTTATCATGGTTTGTATTAGAAGGGGAATCGATACCTTTTTCAAAATATCTTCTTCTCTGCTTTTGTTGCCTGGAGAGTTGACATAAGAAAGCGCAACGGAAAGCTCCTTGACAAATCCAATCCCCCTCAGTGATGAGGTTTTACAACTTGTGGGTTGACACTTAACATCAACCAAGTGTAAAATGAAATAAAGGCTAGATTTCGAATCGTCATGGACATTTAACTCATCCACAGCTCTGGTGATGCTCGAATTTACCTTCTCGTTTGTATAGCCTTGGTTGCATTCTTGAAGACGTAAGATTTCCTAAATTTGCCCACTTACCGATGTTTTGTCTGCGTTCTAGGTTTGTTCAAAAGGTCTTGCAATTGCTTTATGTGTAAAACTTGATCGCGCGGCGCAGAAATGCATGCAAAAAATGTGTGACACGGTTTCGTGTGATGCAGTTCCCGTGGAAGAAAGCTCCACGAAAAATGACATCGAAGATTGCGGACCGACGGATGTTTCATTACATCTAGACGGGGAAGAATCCGAAAGTCACAGTCCGCGTCGAGACAGCAATAGTTCTGAAGCTCAAAAACCTTTCAAGAAGCGTCGGCGGAAGCGAGGTCGCACCGCTTCACAGCGTTTCAACTGGGAGGAGAACGAACACTCACCATCACCTAGCAAGCCGACGAAAGATTCTGAAAGTATCAAAGACGGTGACAGTGGGTCTGAATCAAGCTGCGTTGAAGAACCTGAGCCTGGTGAAAAAAAAGAAGATTTTAAAACACCCTTGAGATCCGCGAAACGCAAACGGGGTAAGAAGAAAGTTGTTCTGAGGCCGGCGGAACCCGGTGCGCCTGAGAATTCGACTCAGTTTATCATCGACAGTCACGTGGAAACTTCCGGCTTATATTATGACTTTTCATCACCCAGCCCAGCGTCGAGAAGGTGCTGTGTTTTTTCTCAAGAAAAGTCAATCGACTTCCTCTCCAGTTAATTCAATTTAACGTAGCCATTGTCGCCCAAATTCAGTGGAAAAACTTCAATATTACGTTTTTTTTTTTAGTTTTGGAAGAACGTTTTTAGGAATTTGCGACTTTACTGTGAAAAGTGTTGGTCAATTTTCATCAACCCGATCATCTTGGGTTGCGCACCATTTCATGCTCATAATCTGATGATTTCAAGATTTTAAAGATTAGTAATTTTCCCTCGTTTCCTGTTGGATGTAGTACGGTACAGTGCAGATATTGGAGTCTAAGGAAAATCGGGCTACTTCGCTTGTTCGCAACTCTTGCGAAACATTTGACGTACTCGTAAATGCTCGTGCATAGCATGAATGAAGAGCAATTAATGTTGAACACATGTGTTTTCGTCTTCTTAACTTTCCAGGTATGAATACGAGCGGCATATGCAAGAAAGCTTCGAAAGCGAATATTCTTCTGCGCGAGCGATGGAGTTCGAAAAAATGACGAGAGATGAGCTGGTGAAAAAGATCTCTCAATTGGAGCGCAAGGAAAACGAACTTCGAAGGGTGATGGAATCCTTCGATCCTCAGGCAATGGAACGAGAACTTCACGAAACCTTGATATCGGCTCAAAGAGAAAATGCTTCGTTGAAATCGAAACTGGCAGAAATGCACGCGAATCCTGATCTTTTAGAAGTGGCATCAGTGTCTTCTGGGTCCGACTCAGAAGATTCTTCTTCGTCTTCTTCATCTTCCTCCAGCTCTGATTCATCGTCAGAAAGGGAAGACGCGTGACGTTTCTTACTTCAAATTATTGTCTCGAAACTTATGAAAGTTTCCGTTATTGTCGGGTGAAATTATTGACGGGAGTGATTCGAAATTATGACCGAAGGCGGCAAGAGAGCGGCATTGTTCAAGGGATTGTCGCGTTTGACGAACGCCGTCCTGGAAAAAACCGAATTGAAAGCAAAAACAGAATATGTCTTTACATCAGTTAAATCCAAAGCAGGAAGAGTTCTGGAAGAAGCGCGTCGTCGGTCGTCTAAAACGGATCTGGTGGTTAATGCTTTGAAGCATAAATCATCGATTGTTGCAAGTTCTTTGAAGGAGTGCGTCGCTTTCTGTAATTTTTGTACCCCAGCGCTCGAATGTGAAGTTTTTAAAAACAGTACAATTGGCAATTATGAGATGGATTGTGAACGTTTATTTCAATATTGATTAACCGTAGTTTCGAACACGTGTTCGAACTTGTTTTTGAGTGCTGCATTGTTTCCTGCGTTTGAAATACTATATTCATTCGTCGCTGCATAATTTTAAAAACTTGAATTTGGATCTTTTCTTATGTTTTGCTTGTGATTTTTTTTATTATTTAATACTTTTTTTTAGTTGACTGTTTGCAGCGATGCGTTCTTGATTATTCTTCATGTTTCATCAAGACATGTCCTCAAGGGGGAGATTGATTTCTCGTTCATCACCGGGAAAGTGTGCGTTATGGCGATTCCTGTGGAAGGAGTCGAGTTCGCCTACCGAAGGCGAAACAGGAGCGAAGAAGTCGCCAAATTTCTGGAGCATCATTTCGGAGAGCGTTACCTAATCTTCAATGTTGACGCAGACGAAAAAACTATCAATGTGGCTCGGTTTGGATTTCGAGTGCGCGACTTCCCCGTTACTGCGCAGGGTGGAAACATTTTTCTGCTGCACCTGGTTCATTCACTGTGTGGCGTTATGTATGATTACTTGGAAAAGAATCCGCTTTCGAGTGTCATCGTTACGTGTGGCGTGAGTGAATTTCAACAATATTTTTTTGCACAATATTGTACGATTTATCTGACTTCCGTTCTTTACTATGTTTGAGAGATTTCCCTGCTTTGTTGATCCAAGAATAAGTTTCGCGCATTCCGGTTTTGGACTTTTCCTAACATGCAATTGCCAATTCTGAATTTTCATCCCCACTTGAACCATTAAAAGTTACGTAACACTGAAACATTTAAAATTTAGGTGAAATTGCTGAAGGAGATCTTTCGGGTCATTATTTTGTAAAATCCGGTTTCACTGAGAGCGTGCAGGAAGTCGTACTACAGTAGTTCATCAACTTCGTAATCACGCAGGAATGGAAGCGTTCATGATGAACTTGATATTGGTGTTCAAGCTACTTCATTAATCATGTTGGTAATTTTACAGGGAAAAAAAATGAATGATACTTCGGAATGATCTAGTATTATAAACTGCCCGTCAACTGCAATGTGAAATGCTTTAAAATCGAACTACGCGCGAAAGGCAGGCTCCCCTCCTTTTCCTCATTGAACGGCAAGGCCGACTGACTTGGAACAGTTAATGCGATTGTTTGTGTCCTTTATCCAAGAAGTTTAAATTAACTTATTTTTAATGCATGCTTCAGGACGGAATATCATTATGTTCCATTGTTGTGCCATGTTTCCTGTTATATGCTGGGGTGGCCGAAACTCCTGCGGAGGCGATAGGGATGTTCCGGTTGAAGCGAGGGATTACTAAATCACTGTCGCCGACGCACGCGAGGTTAAATCCTCGGAATAATTGCTCCTTAATTTCTGTTTTCATTTTAATTTTTTTTGCGTAGGTATCTCAATTATTTCGGCCGATTGGTGAAACGTGATGTTCAGTCGCACGGTCGGCGATGTTACATAGAACAGATGAAAATGAGACCGGTCCCTACGTTCAGTTTCATGAGGTAACTAAGTATTGAAAATTGTCAAAACGCTCAAGTAGCATGGGATGAGGATCTAGGGAGGTCATTGATCTTGATCTTTGTTACTAATTCGCGAGAAGGGATGGATGTCGTCCGTACGTGGAGGTTTGGCAAGGGGAATCGCTGGTTTTGACGACCATCAATGATCATGACTGCCTGGAGTTCTATTGCATTGATTATCGTTCGAAGGCCAGTTGATTTTTCGAACATATGCAGTAAGGATCTTCCAGCTCATTTTTTATATCCGCGCCTATAGATTTCATTACCTATCGGAGCTGTTGTGACCGGTGATGTGACGATAATCCTCTACCATGCGCGACGTACCTTGCAAACGTCGGCTGCGTCTGGTGTTCGTAACTTTAAACAAATTTTGGATCCTGGTCCAATCCGAGACGAGTTTACTGGGTCAGTGGGGAATTGCACTGAAGCATACCGGATGCAATCTGGTCGACGACCTAACTGCGCTACTGATGTGATGGGGATACCGGTTTTCCGGTTCCAGTTCAATACAGCATTCCTTGAAGAAAATTGTGCCAAAATCCGTCTCTCAAGGCATATATTCTTTCCATGTTTTGTCACCATACCAAAAAATTCGGGAAATTGCCTTATTAACGTTAAAAATGAGTTTCTTGGATCACAGTAATGTACTGTACCTCATTTGTTTCGGACGAAAAGCTTTAATCTTATCGCCTTCATGATTTGAATAAGCAGAACGTGACAAGATTTCTCTTCCTGAGTTTATGAAATTTTCACGATTAAGTTCGCGAGTGCGAATATAGTGCGGTACTGTATTTTGTTATCTGGTGATATCAAGAATCATCTACTATCGCAACTAGTATTGCAGGTGTAAAATGATAGCTTCAATCAATAAGAACTAATAAACGGATAGATCGTCTTTTCCGAAAAGCTTAAACTTTTGAGAGCAGAGAAAATATGACGTTCGGATTGAAATATACCGGTAATGTTTCATTGCATCCACGTAATGCTCGCGAAAGAAACCAACGCATTCAACCGTGTGTAAAAAACTGAATTAGGTATACAATTCACAGAAGTGAAAAGAATCGATAATGATCGAGATATTTGAATACAAAAGAGAAGACACTTGTGTATGTCATTCTCTCAGATGAGGAAAGACTATTCTCTTTCGTTTTTCTTGTTCATTTGTTATTCGAATGTGCAAATCAAAATAGGGGAGACTTAGACTCTGATGCGGATTGGACTAAGCTGTCCGGAGAGTTCACAGTGCTGTTGAAGTTGAAATCTGAGCAAGGTAGTTCGCCCAGCGCGTATACCAGCGCTCCGTGGGAAAGCTGCGACTCCCCCAAGTCCCCAACAGTTTTATTCTCCGTCGCGAGAGAATTGGATTCATTGAAGGAAAGAATGTCCTGTTGGAGTGGGCCTTCTTTCCTTAAAGACTGCGAGCACTTCGATGACGATGCGGCTCCCCTTATAGGCGGTAATCGGTTTTTCTTGATTGAATGAGTGACACGCATTCCGAAATTATTCATGCTATGCATCGTGTGAAATTGAACATTTATAGATGTCCCGAAGAAGAGGTACGCTTCTGCTCCTAGAGGACAAGGTGATGCTTTTAGTTGTCAGTTCTCTGATCTGGATGATTCCGATGTGGATGCCGACGCATCGAATTTAAACAAAAACGACGCTCGGAACTCTGGTTCTTTCGTCCAGGAAGAACGGGCTACCCTTAATGCATCGCTCAAGGTGCAAAAAACGTTTAGCCGAGAGTTCAAGGACGTACGACTCATTTCTCTAGATGAAGAGCCGAGCGCAGTCAAACTTGACCCGTATTCGGCAAAGGCGGATTCCGTTGAAGACGATGACGACGATCTTCTGAATTTGCATGATGACCCTCCTGGTGGTTTTCGTCTGGTGGATGTTGATTCTATGGGCGACGGAAGCGAAGCCTTAATCAAAATTGTGAGGAATTTATGAATGTATCATTGGTCATAATGTGTTGAATACCAGATGCTCGTCAGAATGCAGACTTAGGAACGTCGGCGTCCATGACGCGTGAGGATGTGTTCTCCTTCAACATGCCTGCAGGTGATGCTTCACCTCCAATGGATTACCAGTGTCCCGAGATCAGTTGTGGAATATCTGAAAGTCTGGAAATCAAATCTATCTCAGCTGCCCCGGACCATAATTTTGCTTTTGATCCAATCGCAGAGAATTTGGACGATGCTTCTCTACGTGTGAGCTCGATGTATTGTGCTCTATTCTCATAATGTCTTTTCTTACGTTTTGCAAGTCACACGCCGACATTCGGAGAAAGCCAGAAGCTAATCAATTTTTTTGTTTTGCTCTGTGCCACCAATTTTTTCGTGAGCCTGACGTAGTTGACCCATTCAGAATGCAATGGTTTTAGAAAAAGCTGCAATCAGAACGAAGTGTAAGCATAAGAAGTGGACATGAATGAAGAGCTCCCCATTTTATTTTATTAGTAGTGTACATGTATCTTTTTTTATTCCACCCGTTCGATAAAAAATAAAAAAACGAGAGTAGAAAAATGGGTGACCTTAATTTTTCAACCATTTGTCGTAAGTTTAGCATTTTTTAAATGGTAATTTCTGTGAATAAAGTACGTCTTCAAGAATGTCAAGATGCCTGAACACGAGAATTTTGAAAAGGGGTCGAAGTTACTTTGACAAGTCTAGAAAACTGTATTTCGGATTATGTTTGGTTAAATTAAATGGTTGACTTTTGATGCCGTGTTAATTTTAACAATCGATCGGAGCCGGGAGATGGAAGAGAATCGAATCAGCGTCACGTCTCGTAAGCGATAAAGAGCGCTCCGTATTTATCCTCATAATAATCTCTGGTTGATTTTCAATCGAGGTGTATGCAGGTCATCAATAATGTCATTGACTGCTTCTAGCGATAGTTCGCGTGTTGCTTCTCAAACTTCAGAGGTCTCATGAATGAAAAGCATTTTCATGTGCTGCGAGAAATTTGCGACATTATTACCGTATATTTCTGTGTTCACTTCGATAAGCGAGTAGGTTTTTTGGTGTACGTTTTTTGTGTTTAGAATTCGTGCGTCAGATACTGTACTTGTCAACCGGGTAGGAAATTCGTTGTTGCGCACGAACTTTTTGCATTTCTGCACCAGTAGATTGAGGCGTGGAAACGCGGGAAAGAGACGAACATCAGAGCGTTGATTGCATCAGTGCATTACGTTTTGCCTCGTGGAATCAATTGGCATCCTGTCAGCTTGTTCTCCGTGTACAGTGAAGCTGAATTGAAGCGACATTACAATCGAGCATGTCTGATTCTGAGCCCGAATCGATCCGTAAGCGCTGCATGGACTTTTCTGGGAGTAAATTTCAATTTCCTTGGGAATGAAATCGTGTTTTTGCAGGATATTTCGGAGAAAGATCTTGAATATTCCCGACGAGTATTGACTGTCCTACAAGATGCCTGGAATCATTTCCAAAATGGAGGGGAGCCGATGTCACCAATAAATTGCTGACTCTTTTCACCTTAGTCGTGCAATATTGACCACTAATTTTACTCTAATTTTTCTGAATCAAATTCTTCTGAATCCGTTTGTATTGAAATAATTTGATAAGGCAGAATCTGAATGATTCATACTTGACTTGAGTGATTTGCCCGGCTCAACTTGCTCTACGCATTTCCCCCCGTAAGTGTGCAGTTTCGTGCCATGGCTTCTGCGAGAGGGCGAGTGTTTTGAAAACTTCGCAGGTTTTTTTGAGTGAACTACGGTCATCGTGCATTATTCCCGTTTATTCTTTTAGGTTATTTAGGTTTGTTGAATTGCGCGACTATTGCGCTCGGTGTAACGCATGCCTTCTAATGTGATTCGACATCACTGAAAAAAAAATCGGTGTGGCTTGTGCGCTCAGGATGGTGCCACATATCCGTATGGTGTTTAGAATTCGCAGTGGGTACAGTTCGCTGAAAAGAGGTCGAATTAATCTTTCGTCGCTCGCGTGTTTCTCATCGGCTAGTTCTTCTCTGGGAATCCTCTTTCGGCAGGTGAGATTTTCAGGGCGCGAGAACTCGTCGAAAATTCATGTCTTGAAAGCCTTATTTTATGAGTCGAAGATCGAAATAATTCGAGGATATGATTGTACAATACTCCTGAAAGAATTATGATTTTTTTCGGGAAAATCAAATTGTAAATCTTCGAACAAGATCCGTCATTTTTCTAACAATTCAACTAAAACATCAACTAGAGTTTCAAACCACTGAAAATCTCAGAAGAATATAAGTTTATTTTGCTTCAAGATGCGTTATTACGTTTTTATGGGTTGGTCGTGAACAATTTGAACTTCATCCGTATCCAGTTGTTCGAGCCTGTAAGCTGTACGTACACGTATTTGATATGTGATCTGGACTCAAAAAAAGCCGTGTTGGTCGATCCCGTGCTGCAAGAAGCAGTTCGAGATAGGAATCTTATCAAAGAACTTGGCGTTGACTTGATTTATGCAGGTGAATTTTTTTATATTTTCCATTAAGCTTTTCTGTTATTGGTGTTCGACTCGACATTGAAAGCAAATCATCGAACTTCAAGAAATTGTTTTACTGTGTTATGCAACTGTTAGCCAATACTCACGTGCATGCGGATCATATTACCGGCACTGGCAAACTCAAAGAACTTGTGCCGACGTGTAAAAGTTTGCTGTCCCGTGCCAGCGGTGGTGAAGCGGATGTGCTTGTTGATCATGGAGAAGTCATCGAGGTCGGCAAGTTGCAGATTGAAGTCAGAGCGACCCCTGGGCACACAAATGGTGAACTTCCGTATTTTCATCATCTCTGAAAGATTCACGAAGGTCGCTGGCGTTATTGCCTAGACGTCTTCTGAACGAAGATTTTGTTTTAGTTTGCACGCCGATTATGGGATACCGTATTTGTTTCCACATTAATATTGACTTCTTGCTGATCGATTGAAGCGGCATTTTATCATAGGATGCGTTACATACGTGCTGCATGATCAGCGATTGGCGCTAACGGGCGATGCTTTGTTGATTCGAGGCTGCGGACGTACGGATTTCCAACAGGGCGATAGCAGCAAATTGTACGATTCCGTGCATCAGAAAATTTTCACGTTGCCAGAGGATTATCTGCTTTACCCAGCGCATGATTATCGAGGTAACTACGGTTTACTGAATTAAAATACAGAATTCAGAAGGAACTAGAAATGTTTAGGCTTTTACCGTAACCGGATGCATTCGACTTGATAATGCATAAAATATAATCAACTGTTCTTGAAAAATAAATTCAATCCTTGCCTGATACAGTATTGACTATGCTCCCGTAGGTGCGTGATGAATTTGTTTTATGGTTGATCAGTTGTTAAAACTTGAAAGTTTCTCTGTTGAATCATGATTTATTACTGAATGCCCCGATCCAACAAAAGATGCACAGTAAATTCAATGGATTAAATTTTTTAAAAACTAAACAACCTGTGGAATTGCTCAATTGCTTGAATATTGGTTGACATCTAAATCCGTCCGCAATTCAATTCAGCGTGCGACTAAATTTAAAATCATGCTGTCAATCTTTTTTTTTGTTTGGCTTAGAAAGAACGAAGTTTTTTCACGGTTGATGGCAGTCGGGTAATCGAATTTCTGCTCAGTCTTCCGCAGACCGATTGCTCTTTAAACTGTTTGTTTCTTTAAATTTTTTTGTGGATTCTTTATTTATTCGCGAAAATACCTGTTTTTTTTTTTCAATCTGGAATATATCTGCATTATAAATGTGCGGTTATTGGCGTCATTCGGCACCATGAAATTCCAGGATGACTGTAAGTGCTGAAGTGAGAAGCAGTTTTTAACCTCGCGGATCCACGTAACTTCCGATTCTGTTGAGCATGTGAAACATGCTAATTAGCCTCAGCGTTTTCCGGAAAATATTATTCATTGCCACGAGATTTCTTTCCCCAAGGGATGACTGTTACCACTGTAGCCGAAGAGAAGAAATGGAACCCCAGGTTGACCAGGCCTCGGTCAGAATTCATTCGTTTGATGGCCAATCTTAATCTACCATACCCTCGAATGATCGGTGAGTCGTTGCGGAAGGAGTGTTATTTCGTCACTGCGTTTTTGTTGTTACGATTGGATTCGATTGGCAGATTTGGCGTTACCAGCGAACTTGGCTTGCGGTATGCATCACGTTCCATCGGAAATCGACTTCTCTACGAAGTAGGCGTCTTATTTTAAAGTAAGCCCATAGCTTTCTGAGCAGAATTGATTGCGTGGAAGAGATCAAAAATGTGTATGTTCGTTTTATTGGTTGAGGTCATGTAATTGGGTCGTTTTGCGCTTTGATCCCATTGCGCGATTTTTGCTTTGATGTTCAATCGAAAATCGACGGAGTATTTTGGGAGAATAAGATGCAATTGCTTTTCGTGTCCAGAGGCGGAAATTGAATCATGTCAATCGGAATTGAATGCATTAAAGGACAGTTCGAAGCGTCCGTTTCAAGAGATATATTCATTTCCCTTCTAAAACGCAGCAAACACTCAATATTCAATTAACTTGAGGACTTCGGAAAATGCCCGGACCCATGCAACAAATCAAAACCCCTTTTTCGAATTCGGAGGAATATTTGAAGAATATTATCATTCACATAATGGTCGCCTCATCAACACCAGTATTCAGCTATCAACAAACTCATCAACAAGTTCAAATGAGAGGGAAAGAAAAGGAAAACACGTCCCATCCCACCGGAAATTTTTGGCGTAACATGGGAACAACGTTCGCGATCCTGAAAGACAATCTTACGCAAGGAAAACCTTTGAAAAATAAACCCGTCGCATATCGAGTGGTACAGCACCAGCAGCTATACTCAAAAAGGCCCTTTTTGCCTCCTCGTTTGTATCGGCTAATGAAGTTCTTCTCTGCGTTCGGTTTACGAAACCTCCTGCATGCTAATACTTGCTGAATATTCGAGTAACTATCGATTGCGGTGCGTAACCGGATTCAACTCGGTGGAATCCGGATGCTGATCACTGCTCGCGATGCGAGGCTTTTTCCCTGGTTTCTGGTATTGTTGCTTTCTGTTCATTTTTGTTTCCTCAGTCCGTGGCTTCGTACAGCCAGTAACTGACATCCTCAAAAAACCGTTCCTTTTTTTTTTAGTTAGTCCCGCTTGAGAGGCACACTCGGTACAAGTTGCTTTCGCATTATGTAAGTTAGACGTAGTACTGTAAAAACCGTCTGTATGTGTGAAGGTACAATGCATATACAGTACAGTACTCAAACGCGTCTCAATTGCTATTCAGGTTATGTGCTAAGTTCATTCGGTATTGCTTCGCCTAGTCGGAAAACGTTTACGGGCAGAACGGTGTTCGATTTTATTTTGTGTTCATTTCGAACTTTCTGCTTAGTATTGCTAAAATAGATTCTATTTAGAAATCTATTTAGAAAAATTTTTAAATTTGACAAAGAAAACCAAATGTACGTCCGTCGCAGATTTTTAGTGTTGTTCCGCTCAGGTCTCCGACTCCAGTACATGTTAGTTTTATTCAAGAATGGCCACAATTTCGTTCAGTCGATTTAATGATCTGATCTGCGAGGGGATTCCGTTTTTTCTGATGAAATGTCGCCCTCCATGATTTAGTACGAGTACCATGTGATCGGCGTTCGGTGTTTCTGGATCCAGGCATATTTGAATTAACACACAAATCTCTCGCGAGTCGCATGTAAGACAATTCGATTGACCTTTGTTCTCAGAAAGAAGAAAATAAATAAATCCGGGTTACGGTCCTGAATGAAAGACGCTGTTAAGGAACGTGTTGCGGGATCAGTTCCGACCGACTTTCCATTCGAAACCGTTTTGGATCCTGGATTTACCGCCTCATAAGTTGACTTGGAATCGCCCGATGATTCACTTGTACATCAGCGTTTGTGAATCTTGAAGTTTCTTTCCCGCATCATGTCACCGTATCGAGTGTTGTATCTGGAAATTCAACGAAGAGGACTTCGACCTTTCTAAAGTTATTATCTTGTTGTGAGTCGTTTATCAAGAGTTCCAGTGGAAATGGAGTAGGTAAATTATCGTATTTTCCGGCGATGATGAGTTCTCTCGAGGAAGAGGTAGATTTCGAACGCCGGATATCGACGTTTTCGACACGAAGCACTAATCATCGGCATTTCCGCCTTGCATCAAGTTTCTCCTCAGTCACCGGTTGGCGATTCCGCACTGCACACGTCGATCGTAGCTTTGTCACCGTCTGTCACCGTTAGCACCATTTCGTTTGACATCGGGTTCGCGAAGCTTTTTGAAATGGAATGCGCTATCTGGGCGTGGCTCATCCCTGAAAAAAAAGTCGAAGGGTTCATTTTCAAAACATTTCAGGCAATCGTTGGGTTGTTCTCATGTTACGCCAAAAATTTCCGGTGGGATGGGACGTGTTTTCCTTTTCTTTCCCTCTCATTTGAACTTGTTGATGAGTTTGTTGATAGCTGAATACTGGTGTTGATGAGGCGACCATTATGTGAATGATAATATTCTTCAAATATTCCTCCGAATTCGAAAAAGGGGTTTTGATTTGTTGCATGGGTCCGGGCATTTTCCGAAGTCCTCAAGTTAATTGAATATTGAGTGTTTGCTGCGTTTTAGAAGGGAAATGAATATATCNGCACAAAAAAATTTAGTAGATTAAAAAATTAATCTAAAAAACCAAGTTTTCAAAAAGCAAAAAATAACCTTAAACGTGGTGCGCATGGAGATTGTTGGGAAGAAGTGAAATACAAATGAAATAGATGCGCACCAGGTTTAAGGTTATTTTTTGCTTTTTGAAAATGTGGTTTTTTAGATTAATTTTTTAATCTACTAAATTTTTTTGTGCTTTTTAGTCTTACTTAAAAAACGTGGTTTTTTAGATTAATTTTTTAATCTACTATAATTCTTGCTGCTGAAGGACATTAAAATACCGTAACGTTTTTGATTGGAAATTTCAGCTGAAAACCAGTCCTGAGTTCCACGTTTATTAGCGAAAGCCGTAAATCGCTAAGAATATTTCAGGTTTGGTTTTGTTAGTCTAATGATTCCCTATTGTGTGTGGATGGCGGTGAATGTAATTTTATTACGTATATATGGTATTAAAATAACTTAATAACCACTTCCAGAAATTTGCCCACCTAGTTTTAAATCAAATGAAAGCAGATTTTTCAGAATAGGTTTCAAACACTTAAATGCATCTCCATATACTGTATATCACCTTCATTTGAATGTATGAATCTATAATTTTTTTTACCGATTTTGCAGGCGGTTAGAGCCACCCCATTTTTTTCAATAATTTCATCCATGTTAGTGATAAAAAAAAATTTAGTGAAAATGTTCCGAATTTGACGTGCATGCGAATTTCGTTTCGATACATCAATTGTAAATGATATTTTTTGGTTAAGTGACGGATAAGTATATGACGTAAGTGTCCATTTTTGTAGAGAAAGAATGTTCTTCAAGGCATGGCTGCTAATAAATAAAAATAAGTAGGAAATGAACAAGGACTTCCGTTTTTCAGAGCTTTAGATGCACAGAGCTCTCGACTTCCTAGAATATTTACCTTAAAAACTTGGGCAGGTAATTTTGAACTGCAGTATCTCATATGCGGCATATTTGAATCTGACCTCAGATGAAATATGCATGCGCTTGTCACGGTTCGATGATTTTCGAACCGTAACATATGTGCGTGAAAATCTCACTACTTACAATCGTCTGAAGTATTAATGCGTGAAGGAGGGCCGAATGGAAGACACACGACACATTTAAAAATTTGAACTGTTCGAGATCTTTATTTTCAAATGAATACGCTGTCTACTTATGTTGATACCAGAAGAAATTTCATGAACGAACTTCGACGGTTTTTTGTCTATAGGAAACTTGTACTTTTTTCAATTGTGAAATCGTTTTGAGACCTTAAATTAAAATGCATGTAGCAATTAAAATTAATTATCAAAAAAACAAGCGAAATTTTTTTTTAAATCGCCAGTTGTTCTTTCCAAAATGAAAACTAAGAAACATCCGTACTTTTGAAGTGTTCGGTTTTAATCCTGACTCCAAGATGTTATACTCCCTTCAAATGCTTACAGTTTAAAATTGGATCAAAAATGCACCCGGAAATCTGATGCAGAGTAATTCAAAATGTATGACCTCTGAAATTTTAAGAACTCGATGGATCCGAGTTCTCTCAACTCTCATATATGTGAACAAACGGCGACAGAAGATAAGTTTTGCATCAGATGACCCGAGAATGAGATGCTTAATAATTTACAAGGGGTTTAAAAAAATGTATTTCCCCTGAAAACGCGAAATAAAGTTTATTTGAAGGGCTCTCCTGCAGGATCATTGTTCATCCAGTTTCTAAGCTACGTGTTATCGATATAAATTAGTGCCTATAAGGAGCATAATTTATACGAAAAAGCAATTTACTTTACTTCGTCCCCGCTGATATACTGAATACAGTTCAAATATTATATATGAATATAATAATCTAATAATATACTGAATTTAAATTCTTATTTACGTGGCCCGCTATTTAAACATTAGTTGGATTAGGCCTATACTGTACTGTACTTTCGAATTAGGACGCAATGCTGCTAGATGGTCTAAAAAGCATTTTTGATTATATCGTGCGCATACAGTATAAGCAAATATATTTTCATTTTTGTTTATAATTTGCAGAAAGTACGCAGCAATTAACCCGCGTATGAAAATATGCAGAATAGAACGAACACCGAGAAACCAACTTGAATCAGATTTGAGAAATACTTTGGATTTAATTTTTTTTAGCGAACATGAATGCCACGGTATATTGCCGTTTTATTCAAGAACTAGCGGTAATTTTTACTGTTCGTACTTGAAATTCAACGACGGAAAGCGTCGCCTTCGTGTCTGTACATCCGTGAAAGAAAGGAAAATTGTACCGCTTTCGCATCGTATCGCTACGAGGAAAATAAGCGGGGCGCGAGAAAATCACGAATTTCGGATTAAGGTCGCACGTTACCTTCTGTAGACCGTCCATCGATCTCCAGGATTGTTTGACCTATTCGGAGTCCCTCGGCCTCGAAAGCCGATCCTTCGGCCTGAAACACATAAGAAATCAAAAGAGCGTGACGTGAGAACAGCACGCGCCACTCCATTCATGTGTCGAGCTAAATTCGTGCTCATCTTTTCGTTCATTATTAAATCGTGCGGATGGTTCAACTCCGAAGGCAGCGCCTCAAGCGGCAGATAGGAGATGCTGATGAAATAATATTTCTTTTATCAAGTAAAGACGTTTTCATTTTTGACGTGAGTTTCTTTTGATTTCTGTGGACTTCGCCAGACTTGATTGAGCCTCGTCGACTCCGATTGTAATACAGCGTGAGACCCCGAAATTTGGACACCCCAACATACGGACGATTCGACTTGGGGACGCTTGAGGTTTTCAAAATTCTGACCCGACATCCGGCCAATGACTCAATTTATAGACATTTTTCCGACATTTCTGGAAACATTTTTTATTTCATTTTTCTAAAATTTCACATTTGTTGAAGAAACTGAGTTATCTATAGTTACAAATACAGTACTTTAAATAAGGTTATCTTGAAATTACCCAAATTCATAATCAAAATCAGTCTAATTTTGTGCATGTTTTTAAAAATTCATTTGATCATTCGTGCTCAGTACTGTATATCAAAAGCTGTTCTTGTTATTTGCTTCTTGAGCTTTTTTTGAGAAAGATGTGATTGTGCATGGTTTTCTTCTGTACATTCATTTCCTGTATCTTTAGAGTTTGATGAAAACTATTTTATTCTGTTTCTCGGGAGACTTTTTCTCGCTGATTGATTGATAGGAGAACCAATCAAAAATGTTTCCATTGAAGTGTATGGGAAACCGAGGTCCCGACATGCGGGCGTTCTGACATAGGAACAAGGTTGACGCACCAATTACGTCCGCATCTCGGGGTCCCATTGTGCTTCAGTTCAAGTAGAAAATTAACGTAGACCCACTTTACTTTTGGCTCTTGAAATACAGAGTCTGAAAATTCCAGTTGTCCTTGGGTCGCCTTGAGAATAAATTTGTGTCCTTATTTCAATCAATATTTACGCACGCAGTTCATATACGGGCATTTCTACATGAAGCACGCATCATATTCACACCAGCAGATCTGAATAATGCATCAGCTATCAAAATAAAACCCGTTATGGGAACACTAAAACCTGCTTGTTCAGAGCCATTCGAATTTGTATTCATATACTGTAATAGAGAAGAAAAATCTTCAAAAATATAAAACTTCCCTGTTTCTCGCATTTTCTGAAAACAAATCCACTTTTCGATTCTGGAAATGAACGAGAAGTGCCTCGGAATATTCTGCGGCAAGTTTTATTGCCCCGATCGAACTGATTTAAAATTAAAACTATTCAATAAATGTACAGTATAAAATCCGCACCCATTCCAGCCTGCAAAATACAGTATTGTAATTTCTCAGGTTCATGCAAGAACATTTTATTGAGAATCTGATGGAGACACACGCAGTCGCTTGCTTCACAATAATCTGAGAATGCTTTCCATCTTTTTTTTCAATTGTCCGGAACTTTATGAAAAACCGAAGTCTAAACCCCATAATGAACCCCGACGAAAAAGCTTTTTTCAAATATTTTTTCTTAGGAATATTTCCTTAAATATTGCCGTTTTTGTCGCGCCAAATAAATCGGTTGTAAAGGCTCCTATTCGCGTATAAGTCCATATCGGTGGAACTAATATCTTTACATTTTTTCTGATTACAGTAATGAATTTCAAAGCGTCAGGAATATTATAATGTATTTTGTCCCCATTTTTCTAATCCTAGCTGAAGTGTGAAGAATTGAACAAAAACCGCTTTAGTTTCCCAAATACTGTAATATTTTCCCAAATAATGAAAAAAGGGGAATGAAGAACTGTGCATTAGGGCCTGTTTAAATGCCACTTCATGCTGAATTAACCTCGTCATTATGTCCGCTATGTAAAAAAAAAAAAAAAAGAAAACTCGGGCAAACAGTTCTTTCTTGCCTTCCGAGTTTTTGATTTAGAAAAAACTATAGTTATTTCAGAGAATACCTATAGCTAAGAGTCCTAAGACTCGCCGTCAGTGCAATGCAAACTGAAAATCGAAAATGTAAAGAGGAGGAGGTATTAATAATTTGCACGGAAGTTTATTTTCGAAGTATTTGGCGATTTATAATTTAGGACGTGTGCACACAGGACAGCTGCAATTTTTAGACAAACCCGGTTTTTATTTTTTTTTAAAGAGAAGGAACAATTGCTTCAAATATTTGCGCATAAAAGCGAAGCACTGCGTTTGAATGGAGTCTAGGACAGCTGAACAGCAGTCCGTAGATTTTCGGGTCATGTTTCGCGGTCACAGTTCACTCTCGATTTTCCGTGACAATGTTCGGATTTTGACCTAATTTCACTAGCCATTATATTCCGCTTATTCAAATTTTTTCTTCGCCAGAAGAATGCACAGGCGAGCAAACAATGGAACGGTTCAGAAAATGGGGCAGTTATTGAACCTGCTGGAGCGGAGAGGCGGCAATGTAGTCTTTTTTTCTTCTTCTTCCGTCGAGAGTCGATGACCGGACCGTGAAACATGGGAAACCTCTGTCTGAAATACCTACATTAAATCTCGTCAAAAGAAATGGCAGCAATGATGGCCGACAGGTGCTGCATTTCACCCTCTGGTGGATTCAATTCGTAATAAAAATAATATGAGCCCCGACACATGGACGCATAAAAATAAAGACGATTCGACTCAGGGACACTTATTGAAACCGACGTTTGGAAAATGTCTCGAAATATGGACAACTCTATTTCTAGAAAATCGAAAATTTTGTCGATTCACATTTTTGATTTCTCTTGAACAAATTGAGCTACAGTGTTCATATTCACAAAAATAAAAAATGAACATTTATATAAATTTACTCAAATTCGTAATCAAAGACAGGCTAATTTTGTGCATGTTATTGAAGGCTTTTTTTTGTCATCTGTTCACTGTACAGCAAGACTCGTCCCTATCCATTCTTTGCTTCTTGAGCTCATAGTTATGCAAAAAGATCAAATTCTGTGTTGTTTTCTTCTGCAGTTATTTTCTGCATAGTTGAGTCGAGAAAACATTTTACGCAACTTTTGGGGACTTTTTTCAAATTTTTTGATTAATTGGAGCGAGAACCAGTTGAATAATTTCCCAATGAAATCTGTAGGAAAACGAGATCCGACATGCGGACGCTCCAACATAGGGTAAATGTCGAAGCACCAATTATGTCCGCATCTCGAGACCCCACTTCATGTCATTAGGCAATGAATTCGCGGAAAATATTTGAATATTGAATCCAGAGAGACATCATAAATTCAAAATTTTGATCGTCACAAGAACAATCATTTTTCATTTTTTATGCATAAATTTGCATTTGATTGATTAATCAGTGGTCCATCAATGCGTCGGGACTTTGTAATCGTCTCAGCTCTTCTTCTTGGATTAAAGCGTCGCAAAAAGTTATAACATCTTTCGCACGGATCTCACTTATCCCGTTTCCCTAAAATTATACCCAAGTGATTTAGTTACTATGCCATACTCCTAACGAGGCACCAACGTGCAACCCATCGTGAAAATAAACTCTGATCAATTCCCCGATGATATTTGTTGCTGAAAAAATGCTGTATATATTTCCTTCCGTTTGGAATAAGAATAAACATCGAACAATATGTGTTCTTGTCTTGATCCTCTCATTCTAATAGTTCGTTTGGTATTCCAAAGTCCGCGAAGCAATGCAGTACTGTAATTCCTAACTCCAAAAGTATTCGACGCATTTGAAACAATCTTAATTAGTCCCTTTTTTCGCCACAAATTTTTATTATTTTTAAAATAAAATATCTACCCTCGTTATATTTGAGACGACAGATTTTTCAAAGAACTAAATACTGTATAATACGTTTCGGTTTCTGAGGAACGTTGATACGAAAACTGTAAGTTCGACGAAGGATACAGGTACTGCAGAAGAACAAAGAATAAAGCTCTATACGTACATCACCCGCTAGAAGACGAAGTGCCGCATTCGTAGATACCTAAGACCAAAAAACGGGGCGAACTGAAAGGGTTATACAGTTGGGTAAAAAGAATACTGTGCTGTATAAAAAGAAATAAAACGATGCCAGGAACAAAGGATTAGGTGGATATACATCAAGGTGACCCCGCAATGCCGCAGGCTCTTCGAACACGGTTCTCCTTATAGCCGTGAACCAGATCCGAGTCAATGGATGGCAGGTATCTCCCATTATTGTCTGTTAGTGTTGCCACTGATTTATAGCGCAGTGCAAAAAGGATTCGTTCATACGTGAAAGGATATGCTTTCGTCTGTCTTGAGTACTTTTTTTTGTTGGAATCGGATAAATGATTGACGCACTTTTTGTCGAATATTATGTGCGCTTATTTTTGATATTTTCATGACCAGCAGTGTTCCAATATTTGCTCACTCATCGAGGTAAAATGAAAAAAGCAAAAAAATGCGCAGCTATGAAAAATGCACCACATAATTGTGAGGAAATACGGGTTATATACCAAATTTGTTAGTACAGGACAGTATTAAGAATTTGCAGATCTGAGAAAAATGTCCAAAATATTTCAGATGTACGATTGAAAGATCTTCGTATAATGGCAACGTTGCAGGACTGAAGCTCTTTGATAATGGCTAGTTTTCTTAGTGCTGCTGAATAAAAATAATGCTCTAAAAGGCTGAATTATGTTTGGGCGAAAAATAAAGAGCTGTTATTGAAGACAAGGCCGAATTCAATAAAAAATATTTAATGAATATACCGTAATTTCGAGACTTCTTTCGAGCATTTTGTATTGTATTGCATCCTCGGTATTGTTTAATACGATAAATTTTGATCAGGAACTTGGGTATGTACTGTACTTAAAAAAAGTTTCATTTACAAATATTTTTGAATCGTGCAGTTTATTTTGAGGATTTTCCTTATTGAAACCGAAACACCGAGAAAGAAAAAAACTTCTGAAATCTTTGCCTCATATGCTGGTCACTAAAAAAAACTCTGAAATCGTCATAAATATATATATGCGGTACAGTATATATTTTTTACCTGCTGATTGTGCCTATATCTGAACAGCTTTAGCATTAACATTTTTATTAGAGTTTCCCGCGCAGATAATTTTTAAAGAACTTCTAATAGCTCTCGCTAATTTTATTTTCCTCGTGTATTACGGTGCATGAGCCATGAAAAAAAAAGATTTCTAGATACGGAATAGACGGTAATCGTCATGATCAAGTGTATGTATTTTATCGACTGTGTCGGAATTTATAATTCTAGAAAAGCATAAAGAAAGTTGAGCATTATCCAAAGAAAGTATATGCAGAAATAACGAGGAACTTTCGACCATCAGCTCGCCTTTTTAAGAGCGATTACATGGCAAC